GAGGAGTTCAGATGATGTAAGGTGAAGTGCTGCATCACCGCATGAGCATCAGCCCTCTAGTCTAATACATACTGTAGACTATAGTCAGGCTTTTAAAAATACTTATTTAACCAGCCTAGATGTTTTTCCATATAGATTCAAAAGGAATAGTTTGACTTTCAAGGAACATGAACAGGTTCACTGTGGCTCAGTTGGTGGAGCATGGTATGTGCAACATCAGGGTTGTGGGTTTGATTCCCATGGGGGTCCAGTATGAAATTGTATGCACTCACTACTGTAACTTACTCTGGATAAGACTGTCTGCTAAATGACTACAAAGGGGAAAAAATGCCCTCAAGGCCAGAGTCTGAGGTTTGGAAATCTCTTTCTGGTCACTCTAGTCTAGTCTAATAGCAACAGGGCAATGTCATGGGATCAACCACACTCTCTTAAGGGTGGTGGTGGGGGGGGGGATACTTTAGCTAATTTAAAATTAACTATTTTATATCAAATATTGAAGACAGGCTTTTAAAAATACTTATTTAACTAGCCTAGATGTTTTGTCATATAGATTCAAAAGTTATGTTTCTTAGTTTACTCTAAAATTAAGAAAATTAATACTATAAAGAATGCCCACATAAAATATTCAAACGATATCTTAAGAATGTAGGCCTACACAATTCATATTTTATTCCGGCCTGTAGGTTTGAATGTTATGTGGGAGGGTGTTTTATTGGATTCTTCATGCAGGTGCCGGAAAATTGTTTAAATTAGTGTGTAATATATATACTGTATTTGTTGCCTGCTCTGTACATCTTCGTAGCACGCAGGCCTCAATGGGTTCAGGCTGCAAAATTTGATGAACTTAGGAGTTATGATAGAAAACCAGCTACTTTGGAATCAGAGATAAAATGCCTAGCAACACTGTTGTTTTCCAATAAGTATTTTTCCCATGGTGTTAGCTTTTCAGAGGAACCAGACTGAACAAAGTCACTCAGTCATTGCAATGGATTAGAGTATTTGGTCTCTAATCAACTAACTGCTGTATTTCACCATTTTAAGATTTGGCATCTTATCATGTGCATAGTTCTACTTGACCATTAGATGCCAAGTATTTCAATCCAATCAACATGATTCAAAGTGATGGAGAGCAGACCCCTAAGTTGGGCTAATTTTCAGATGGTCCTCTAAAAAGGTTCAGTAGAGATTGACCGGTTCATTGTGGTGTCTAGTATTTCCTAGAAGACCTTAATTCACCAATTATACTTTCTGCAATCTGAGAGTTCTCTAACTATAGCAGCGAAAATCCCTCCAACTCTCTTTCCCATTGGCATGAGTGGATCACACAGACACTGTTGTTAGCAACCAGGAGCAACAGAGCGCAGGAACAATTATACCTATGACCTAATGCAGTTCTACCTGCCAATTTTGGCCGGGGAGTAATGGAATAAGCTAAGCCTAGCCAGGGCTGGTATAGATGGATTGGATAGGCAGTACTGTGGAGAATGAAAAGCTGTGTGACTTTAACATGACACTAGATGTTTTGCTCCACTCAAAAGGTTTAGGGGGATGAGTTATTGTGTAACAGTCACCAGGTGCTCTCTGATTGTCACTGTTATAGAGCCATTGTTACTTTTTCCATATTAACTCTGATTTGCAGACCGAGTGAAACTCAGCTTGGGTCATACACAAAAGAGCTAACGGAACAGAAACATGATAGAGTACCAACTGCTGGATATCACTGTTATTCGTGATTCATCAAACATCTATGTTCTCTGATTGTTCTTTCCTGTCTTTTCCTCATTAAAAATGTCCTTTAAAATGTTTACAGTCATTCAGAGGTGATATGTTGGCCATTCACTAGAACACATCCATTCTCTCTGACATGGTTGTAATCTAACTAGGCCACAGTGAAGTAGACTACAACCCCCCCCCCCCCCCCCCCCCCCCTCTTGTCTAATGTTACAGTTCTTAACATAACTTCATAGACATTTGTGGTTTTCAAACAACTTTTACACCTCACTTGACACTTGCCATCCCAGTAAAAAGCAGCGGTCTGCTGTATTTGCATTCCACTGAGGCTGTGGAGTCTAAGTCATGGTCCTCTGGAGGATGTTGTGAAGATCAGAACCATGTAAGCTGTCAGAGCAGAGAGATGTTACCATATCACACTGAGATGCTTTTCTCATGTCTATCGACTCATGAAGAGACGTGGTGAAAGACAACTAGGCCTGGAGGCTCATATAGTGGTAGCACTTAGGCGACTGCTACGAAGAGTGGGTGTGTAGTGTGTGACACCACTCGGGGGAGTAAGGATTGTGTCAGGGCTAGAGCACGTAGCACCATTTTCCCAGGCCCTCTCAGGCCCTGAAACACACTCCTCTGACTTCCTGGCGCTGAGGGAGGGAGGGGTTGAATCGCGAGCACGCATCTCTTATCAGAACCCAGAGCCCAAAAGCACAACTTCCTCCAAGGCGGCCCGAGGAATTTGGAAAAGGAAGAGCCTTTCCCTTCTTGGCCTTATTAAAATTGGAGGTCTCACTGATACAATCATGCTTATACGCAGGGAGAATACAGTGGTGAACAAGGCACAGCGAAGTTCATTGTTCACTGTTTTTGGGCCATATTTCATACTGCAACTGGGTCACCTGTCTTATGCCTTTTCCAGCCCTGTGATGTCATTCTGACCACTGGTTTGGGTAGCTAACAGTTTATTTACATCTGGGAGCAGGGTGCTATTATAAGGGGATAACAACTTATTCCACCATAGGCTTTATGGTCGTTCCACCAATTCGGTGCCTTTTGAGAAGCGTAACTTGTTTTTTTGTTTTTTTACTTTTGATTTCACCAGATTTTAACATTCTGTCATAAAGAGCACATGTTCATCTTCATTAAAAAAAACTAGTTTTCCCATCTAAAAAAAAATACTATAGCAAATGCATATTAAGTTCCAAATAAAGTAACAGGATTGACCGTAACAGGGTTGACGATTTCATCTTAAATCAGCCATAAATCCCGTTTTGACAGGGGGAATGAAAGCTTGTTGTGTCCAACAGGGAGTGGCAATGGAATGCAAAAAAAAGAGTTGTTAAAACATTTGTAGCCTGTCGATCTATAGGTAACAGCGTTGACGTGTTAGGCTTGACCAGCTCAGTTTTCCACCACAAAACACCGGAAAATGGCAAAAAAGAGTAGAACCAGCTCACCTGATTTTACACTATTTGACTATTAGCTGTTCAAATCAAATCAAATGTTCTTTGTCACATACACGTGTTTAGCAGATGTTATTGCAGGTGTAGCGAAATGCTTGTGCTTCTAGCTCCGACAGTGCAGTAATATCTAACAAGTAATATCTAACAATTTCACAACATATACCCAATACACACAAATCTAAGTAAGGAATGGAATTTAAGAATATATACATATATGGACAAGCAATGACAGAGCGGCATGGACTAAGATACAGTAGAATATTATAGAATACAGTATATACATATGAGATGAGTAGTGCAAGATATGTAAACATTATTAAAGTGACTAGTTTTCCATTTCTTAAAGTGGCCAGTGATTTCAATAGGCAGCAGCAGCCTCTAATGTGCTAGTGATGGCTATTTAACAGTCTGATGGCCTTGAGATAGAAGCTGTTTTTCATTCATAAAAATGTTCAATTCCTCATCAATCCAAGGGGATTTAGCAGTTTTTACAGTCATTTTCTTAATGGGTGCATGCTTTTTAGTAACTGGGATAAGCAATTTCATAAATGTGTCAAGTGCAGCGTCTGGTTGCTCGTCATTACACATCACAGATCAACAAATATTCTTTACATCAACAACATAGGAATCATTACAAAAGTTATTGTATGACCTCTTATACACTATATTAGGCCCAGCCTTTTGTTTTCCTAGATATGGCTCCTATATTGTGATCACTATATCCGATGGATTTGTATACTGCTTTCAAACACATTTCTGCAGCATTAATAATGATGTGATCAATACATGTTGATGATTTCATTTCTGTTTGTAACTACCCTGGTAGGTTGATTGATAACCTGAACCAGGTTGCAGGCACTAGTTACAGTTTGAAGCTTTCTCTTGAGTTGGTAGCCTAATGAAAGCCAGTCAATATTGGACAGGAACAGAAGTCATCCTCCTTGATTTGATGAACAGCGGTCTCATCTAGCAGAGTTTATCTTACCTGCGTCAAAGGAGTCTTGTGATATTCGCTGCTCGTTTTTCCCCTGTTTACATATGTCAGCCATCTGCTTTTTTGTTGTCATTTTGTCAGACACACTTATCCAGAGCAACTTACAGGAGCAATTAGGTTTAAGTGCCCTGCTCAAGGGCACATCGGCAGATGTTTCACCTCGTCTGCTTCGGGATTAGAACCAGCGACTTTTCGGTTACTGGCCCAACGTTCTTAACCGCTAGGCTACCTGCCACCCCTGTGTAACTCAACCTCCAGCTGTCTTCCCCTGACCCCCACAGCCTGGGAGAAAAACACCTCATTGCAAGAACTCTCTCTTGTTCTTTCTTTATCGTTTTCTCTCTTTAACGTTCTCTCTTTCTCTCTGGGTTTTATTTCATGAAGTACCAGTGAGTTCGAAGAAAGAGTGTGCTTCTTTCCTTCTTTCCGCCATCTGTCCCTGACAGTGCTATGTTAATGGTTGGAGTTAGCAGATGGGTGGAACATCAACAGAGTGGACATGAAAGGCTGTGTGTGGCCGGAGGGACTGAAGCCACTTCTGACAAACGATGTCTGCCTTTTCTGTGTCTGACACACATATGCCACGTTAGCCAATTAGGAGCAATTAGGCTGGCCTCTTCCAAACATCCACTGTAAAAGAGATGAGAGGAGAAAAATGAGAGAGACGCTTCTATTTTTGTCCGCAATATTTTTGCGAGTGTAATTAAAGTGTAAAATAGCTCGCTTAATATGCACAAATATTTGCCCTGTTATTAAAATGGGCAAACCAGAAAATAATTGTCATTGAATTTGAATATTGTTTTTTGTTTGCAGAGATCGAAGCGAAGGAGGCTTGCGATTGGCTGAGAGCGGCCGGCTTCCCCCAGTACGTGCAATTATACAAAGGTAAATATCAAATAGTAATCCTCTCAAGCCATCAAGCACAATCTATTACAGTACACACCACATCCACATGTTTGCTCATCCATAACAAGCAGTGTCATATCACACTTTCATTTGCCTTGTTTGCCTCTCAGATTGCAGGTTCCCCATTGATATAGACTGGGTAAAGAGTGATCACAGTTTTCTGGATAAGGATGCACTTGATTCACTCTGCAGGTGAGTAGCTGGACTTTACATCCACTCTCTCCTTGTTCTACTGATGAAGTGTGTGCAGTGCTGGAAGACTTCATTGGGCTGGGGAAAGAGAGAGAGAGGAGAAAGAAAGAAAGAGAGAGAGAGATTGGAGAGAGAAAGACAGAGAGAGTGTGTGTGTGTGTGTGTGTGTGTGTGTGTGTATGGGTGCGTTTGTGTGTTTGTGCGTGTGTTTAGGAGTGGGTCCCATGCTGCTGTGTTTGTTTAACCACCATGCTTCTCCTCTGCTTACAGGAGATTAAGCACTTTAAACAAATGTGTGGAGCTGAGGTTGGAGCTGGGCAGATCAAAGAGACGGGTGAGTGAGAGTGAACGCCGTGGAACACCAACATGGCAGCTCTGTCAGAGACACAGCAGTAACCAGAGGAAAAGCTCCTAGTTAGCATTTAACACTTCGATTTCCACTGATATCGATGGCTAGATAGATAGCTCCACCTACCTCCAAAACCCCTCAAAACTTAAATAGTCTTTGTTTGAGAAAGTGCAGAGAAGAATTAGGGTGAAAAAACTCATCTAAAATTAATCATGTTGCATAATAATGTTCTACTTAAAGGCCCAGTGCAGTCAAAAACTAGATTTACCTGTCTTTTATATACATTTCCACACTATGAGGTTGGAATAGTACTGTGAACTTGTGAAAATGATGATAATACCCTTAGTGTAAGAGCTGCCTGAAATTTTAGCCTGTTTTGGTGGGATTGAGTTTTGGCCTTCCATGTTGACATCACCATGCGGTAAATTAGTTCATAGACCAATAAGAGAGTTCCTAACCTCTCTGCCATTAACCTCTCCTCCCCACTCAGACCACTCCCAGACAGTACAAGCAACATTTTTGCTTGAGAAATTGCTCTTTGCTAAGAAGCTATTCTTTACAGTGGGGAAAAAAAGTATTTAGTCAGCCACCAATTGTGCAAGTTCTCCCACTTAAAAAGATGAGAGAGGCCTGTAATTTTCATCATAGGTACACGTCAACTATGACAGACAAAATGAGAAAAAAAATCCAGAAAATCACATTGTAGGATTTTTAATGAATTTATTTGCAAATTATGGTGGAAAATAAGTATTTGGTCAATAACAAAAGTTTCTCAATACTTTGTTATATACCCTTTGTTGGCAATGACACAGGTCAAACGTTTACTGTAAGTCTTCACAAGGTTTTCACACACTGTTGCTGGTATTTTGGCCTATTCCTCCATGCAGATCTCCTCTAGAGCAGTGATGTTTTGGGGCTGTCGCTGGGCAACACGGACTTTCAACTCCCTCCAAAGATTTTCTATGGGGTTGAGATCTGGAGACTGGCTAGGCCACTCCAGGACCTTGAAATGCTTCTTACGAAGCCACTCCTTCATTGCCCGGGCGGTGTGTTTGGGATCATTGTCATGCTGAAAGACCCAGCCACGTTTCATCTTCAATGCCCTTGCTGATGGAAGGAGGTTTTCACTCAAAATCTCACGATACATGGCCCCATTCATTCTTTCCTTTACACGGATCAGTCGTCCTGGTCCCTTTGCAGAAAAACAGCCCCAAAGCATGATGTTTCCACCCCCATGCTTCACAGTAGGTATGGTGTTCTTTGGATGCAACTCAGCATTCTTTGTCCTCCAAACACGACGAGTTGAGTTTTTACCAAAAAGTTATATTTTGGTTTCATCTGACCATATGACATTCTCCCAATCCTCTTCTGGATCATCCAAATGCACTCTAGCAAACTTCAGACGGGCCTGGACATGTACTGGCTTAAGCAGGGGGACACGTCTTGCACTGCAGGATTTGAGTCCCTGGCGGCATAGTGTGTTACTGATGGTAGGCTTTGTTACTTTGGTCCCAGCTCTCTGCAGGTCATTCACTAGGTCCCCCCGTGTGGTTCTGGGATTTTTGCTCACCGTTCTTGTGATCATTTTGACCCCACGGGGTGAGATCTTGCGTGGAGCCCCAGATCGAGGGAGATTATCAGTGGTCTTGTATGTCTTCCATTTCCTAATAATTGCTCCCACAGTTGATTTCTTCAAACCAAGCTGCTTACCTATTGCAGATTCAGTCTTCCCAGCCTGGTGCAGGTCTACAATTTTGTTTCTGGTGTCCTTTGACAGCTCTTTGGTCTTGGCCATAGTGGAGTTTGGAGTGTGACTGTTTGAGGTTGTGGACAGGTGTCTTTTATACTGATAACAAGTTCAAACAGGTCTGTGAGAGCCAGAAATCTTGCTTGTTTGTAGGTGACAGAAATACTTATTTTCCACCATAATTTGCAAATAAATTCATTAAAAATCCTACAATGTGATTTTCTGGATTTTGTTTTCTCAATTTGTCTGTCATAGTTGACGTGTACCTATGATGAAAATTACAGGCCTCTCTCATCTTTTTAAGTGGGAGAACTTGCACAATTGGTGGCTGACTAAATACATTTTTTCCCCACTGTATATTTTTTGACCATTTTAATTGAAAACAATCACATTTAGGTACTCATTGTTACCCTGAAATTATTTGACTTTGAGATAAAAACGTCTACATTGGACCTTTAATGTTCTCAGAGACTAGTTATTTCAGAATGTAGTTCTCTTTGTGGAAGATAATAAAGAAGGAAAATATATTTAAAAAATATTTAAAATGATATATATATTTACAAAAATATATATGGGGGATTGGAAATTATGCAGACAATTACATTGATAGAAGCCTAAATCTATCTGCAATATTAAAGCTGATCTACCCCCTAAAAAAAAAAAAAACATGGCTCATACAGTACCTTGATTGTCTTCTTGTAATTCTTAGTGGGAGGAGTCAGAGGATGAGGATCCCTGTGCCATCAGCACCAAATGGGCCTATGAGAGGCGGACGAGGCGCTGGCATCGCCTAGAGGGGATGGGCTTCCTGTGTTCACCGGACAGCCATGATATGTCCCCGTGTGAAGCCAACGACCGCCACGAGGTCTGCTCCCTCCACAGCACCAGCAGCACCGAGAGCGAGGGCCGTGAGGGCCCCAAGACTGCCACTGACGACCAAGAGACCAGCAGGAGCTCGTCTCGCTGCTCTTCCACCAACAAGACCATGTCTCTGGACACGTCGTTCAGCGGGCCCCCCTCCCCAGGGGGCGAGATGCCCAGCTTCAGCAGTGCTGAGGAGTGCTTCCCGGACAAGCCCCCCAGGAAGAAGGGCCCCAGTCTGCTGAGGAAGATAGAGAAGCTGCGTCTGAGGGGCACGTCCACCCTCTGCTCCCCAGGCCACAGTGGCCACAGCAGGACCAGGCTGGTCATCTCTGGCCCCGTGCTCCAGGAGGGTCTGGATGTCGAGCACAGGCTGAGACGGCTGCAGTGCCTGGACATCCCCACCCTGCAGGACAGGGATAGGGGCCGGCCGGGCAGCCAGGCCTCCTCCTCCTCACCATCCTCCCCCCACTCAGGCAGCAGCAGCCCAAGCCCATCGGAGAGCAGCAGTACTGTCAGCACCCCCAGCCCCATCAGCAAGGTACGCAGCAACTGCAAACGAACCGGCGGGGTCCGAGAACAGCTCCAGGGGGGTCTCCAAAGAGGCCCGGTCAGAGAGCTCCAGGACTACAAGAACGAGAGGAATAACCACGAGAGCCTGGTCTTCCAGATTCCCCAGGGGCACAAGCCAGGAACGTTCCCCACACCCCTCACCCACAACAATGTTCTGTTGCCCATTGACAACACCTCCGTCAACTGGAGGACTGGGAGCTTCCATGGGTACCGCGGGCGACGGAGCAGGGGGAGCGCAGCGGCCAAGGACCAGGATTCCACCTGCTGCAGCCCCCCAGCCTCATTGGACCACCGGGCCAGTATCTATGACAACGTGCCAATAGGCCAGGTGATTGGCCAGGAGGTGGAGCATCACAGGGTGGCGGACACAGGGGATATCAGCGAAAACAATGATGTGTTCTCTGCGCTGGACAGCGTGATGGAGCGTATCAGCGGCCTGCAGCAACTCGTCAACACCTGGACGGACAAACTGTCAGAGGACGAGGACTCTGACTCTAACCGCGGCTCCACCCCCTCTCCCTGCCCCTCCTCCTCCTCCAACCACATCTACCTGGAGATCAAGGAGGCTGAGGAGCTGGGGCCGGGAGCCGTAGAGGGGGAGGGCGATGTAGATGGTAACAGGGAGAGCCTAGAAAAAGAGTCTGTGGATGGAGATGACACCGAGGCCCAGTCACTACCACGCAATATCAGGTGAGAACAGGCTGGGGAGAGAATGACAGCTGGCCTGAGCGCTCATTAAGAAGGCATATTGGAAGCTTATTACTCATACACACAGATCCATTACTTATGTCATTGTATCATTGAGTATAAAAATGAAAATAGGTTTTGAAAAAAGTCATATTGTAATTGCATGAACTCTATCACTGAACACATTTTTGTTCTGTTGTGTCTGTTCTACAGACGGAGCCAGCACCACTGGTCAAGCGAGCAGAGCCTTCCCTCAGTGACCCCCAGCAGCCCAGGGGTTGAGGCCCAGCCTGTCTCTCACCTCCACCTGCTGCAGAAGCTCTCTCTGCTTAAACTCACCGCTCTCATGGACAAGTACTCCCCCTCCAGCAAGCAGGGCTGGAACTGGTAAGGAATGGGAGGGAGAAGTGAAGAGGGGGGAGAGGGAGGGGGGAGAGGGAGAGGAGAGATGGGAGGGTATGGGTAAGGTAGAGGTGAGGGAGAGAAAAGGAGGGGTTGGCCAGAAGAATCAGGGGAAAGTGGAAGTGCGATGGATGCAGCATGTTTAGAGGGTCATTCACTATTTATGTGAAGTTGCAACCTTGCCTCTCACAAGACAAAACACAGGATGCTTTCAGAGCAATAACCCCCCCCCCCCAAAAAAAAAAGGATATACAATTTGTTCAGCATCTGAAAAAGCCGGCATGACAATTCCTGGGGAAATTATAGACAGGTTCTCTTCGTTTCTTTTGGATAAGGTCTGTAGATGGGTAATATTTGATATGTATATTATATTTTATGTATATTATTTATATATACCACACATGCGACCTGTGATAAGACTATGTAATTTGTATGTTAACAAAGTCTATTAACTGAATATCTGACTCCATAAAGATGATTTAGCAATATGCAAGAGACCATAGTTGAGTTACAGTAATAGAAAGGTCAAGACAGGTTTGAGAATGGAATTCTAAATGCAGGTTTATTTAATTAACATTGTAAAATTTATGGTTTCACATACAAGCCATAAAGCTTAAGTTACATAGCATTAACAAGCATTACAAGAAATTATTCCAGGCATGATCAGAGAGGGAGAGAGAGAAAGAAGTCACAGCCTGAAAGGCTACGCCCCAAAAAGTCCCTGGGGTGGAGAGAGAAAGAGAGAGAGTGCATCTCACCAGCACAGGTCAGGAACAAAGACGAGAAAGAACAATGATTCTAAGACCCTTTTATAACATCTGAGTTGTTTGGATTCAAAAACACAGCCTTGGCTGTGTTTTTGCTGGTGACCAGCCTTCGCTGTGTTTTGGAAACTAGTGACCAGCATACCAGCATGTGTTTTGGACGGTGGTGACCAGCATAAACTGGTCACCAGCGTACCAGCATATGCTGGTCTCCAGAAAAACCAGCATCAAGGGGATTAAATATTTAAGACAGTACATTACATATATCATAAGGCCTTACTTTGAGGACATCGTTTTCCCCTAATACAGTGGTAAAATCAGGCCTGAAAGTCACATTATACTGGCTTGCAAAGTGATGTTTAATTCCTATTGTAATCCAGCCAGAGTGGGGATATCCAACAATTGGAACTTTTACTCACCCACAATCTGCATTCAGAATGACTGCCAGGGTTAGAATGATGAATAAATGAGACTACCTAAACCATCTAAATTAGAACAACGATGTCAGTAACGGGTGAAATAAGTCCAAATAACAGATTGGATTAGTTTAGAAAAATGTATGTTATTTATCTTTATGTAGCATAAGATTAATGAATCAATCAATGTACATGCAAAAACACAAAACACAAAAAAATAAACATTCTAACTGCAATAGAGTTCTAAAAATCTAACTGCAATAGAGCATGCTGGGGAGTATGGTAATGATGGGCGTGGTTTTACAAGACTAGCTAGCTAGACCATTCTGGACCAGCATAGATCAGCATGGACCAGCTTGGTCACCAGCACACCAGCATCACCAGCATAAACTGGTCACCAGCATACCAGCTTGACCAGCTGGTCAGCCAGCCTAACCAGCTAGCCCATGCAGGTCAGATCAACATGGACCAGCATACACCAGCATGGACCAGCTTGGAATTTAGGCTGGTCCATGCTGGGTTTTTTTAAGCAGGGTAGGTACACTCCCATCTAGCTCTTGGAGGGGTGTGTCTAGTTACATTTCTGGCATTGGCCAGGCCTCAATAGAGCCCCACAGTGGAGTTGTCATAATACCAATAAAACCTAGCGGTCAAACAGGGAAATGGTTCCAATCATTGATAAAAGTCACCTTGTCCTAGAGAGGTTTACATGGTTATCAAAACGTCATGCCAGGGTAAGCCTACACGAAACACAGCCCTTATTTGAAGTGTTTCCCCCCAAAAAATGAATGGTGGAAAAACGATTGGAACCATTTCACTATTTCACCTCTAGGTGTTATGAGTATTTTGTCTCCAACTGTGGTACTCTATGTGTTTTAAAGGGTTAAAGGGAGCTTGGATCCAAACCGATTCTACTTTCTGACAAAACATCTGTTTACATTCCCAAACAAAGGGCTCTATTCAATCCGTATCACGGAAGCTCAGCGTTACAGTGTGATTTGAAATTTAAAGGCAATGTTCCCGCATTAGCAGAGACTGCATTCACGGTCAACGCTGCATATGTCGGCTCAATCGGAAATTATCTTAACATTTATATCGCGCAATCTATAACACTTCAGCGATACAGATTGAATAGAGCCCAAAGTTTTCCTGCATTTTTAGGAACATTTCATCTCGACGGTTGACGGCAGTGACCTCAAATAGCATTACATGCGATGATGTATGACAACTCAGCACATCCCAATCAGTTTTGTCAGAATTAGTTATTACTTTTCATTGTTTGTAGCTATTTCCTCACCAATGTTTCGAAACCTGATCTCCAAAACTTGGTTACCCCACTAATAAAGTGTTTGACATTATTCCTTTGTGTAGCCAACTGGAGGAAAAGTGATTGCTTAAGGCAAGAGGACAGGGTAATTGACTTTTTGAGAGCAGAGTAATTGGGCTATTTGTTTTAACAATCATTGAGCTAACTACAAAAGAAATAACCTACTCCAGTCTCTCTTCGCTTTCCCATTGATCCTGTGCTTCAGTATTCTGCACCCTCACTGCAGTGGAACTAGCTTCATTCCAGACAACTGGTGTCTGGTATTTGCTGTGGCCAAACACCTTTCCCCTTTGCTTTGTCTCTACATACACACAGGTACACACACACATGCACTTACTCACACACACACACAGTCTTGCGCAGCTAACCTTGTGGGGACATACAATTCAGTCCCATTCGAAATCCTATTTCCCTAACCCCTAACCCCAAACCTAACCCTAACCCTAACCCATACCCGTACTCTTACCCTAACCCTAACCCTAACCTTAAACCAAAAACCTAACCTTAACCCTAACCGTAGCTCCTAACCCTAACCCTAAAGCTAAACCTATCTCCTAACCCTAAACCCTAGAGTGAGACACACAGAGAAAAACACACATGCTAACACTGTGACACACACACAATCACATTAAATCACTGGCAGAACACCATTAAGGTAATGAAATGAGGTGAACGCAGCAGATATCTTTTAATTGAACAGCTGAAGACTATAATGGAAATGCTGCTTGTAATGGGAGAGAACACTATCAACGAGAATCATGCTGTATGAAAATGTGTGAATTTAATTCCAGTAGTTGGTTCATTTCTGCAATCATACATTTGATTGGCTCTGAAGCTCGCTATCTCAAGGTGCCTGAACTTGATTTATGGAAGAATAATGAGAGGGAGGCTTTAAATTGTCTTCATGTTATCTCCTCGGCTACACAGGCCGCTACCAAAACAACCTATTCAGTATATAAACCAATTGGGCTTTAAAATAAATGTCCTGTGTGCCCACATGAAAAAATACTATAGTGTATACTATGGTAGGAATACTATATTTTTGCAGATTTTACTGTAGTATTTACTGTAGTATACTGTAGTATTTACAGTTTACTATAGTATAAATACTGTAGTAAAAAAAAAAAGGTACATACTATAGTAATTAGTGTAGTGTTTTTGGGAACTGTAGTATACTGTAGTATTTACTGTAGTGTTTTTGCGGACTGTAGCAAACTGTAGTATACTGTAGTATTTACTGTAGTGTTTTTGCGGACTGTAGCGGACTGTACAGTCGTGGTCAAAAGTTTTGAGAATGACACAAATACTAATTTTCACAGTCTGCTGCCTCCGTTTTGATGATGGCAATTTGCATATACTCCAGAATTACATGAAGAGTGATCAGATGAATTGCAATTAATTGCAAAGTCCCTCTTTGCCATGTAAATTGATTTAATCCCAAAAAAACATTTCCACTGCATTTCAGCCCTGCCACAAAAGGACCAGCTGCCATCATGTCAGTGATTCTCTCGTTAACACAGGTGAGAGTGTTGACGAGGACAAGGCTGGAGATCACTCTGTCATGCTGATTGAGTTAGAATAACAGACTGGAAGCTTTAAAAGGAGGGTGGTGCTTGAAATCATTGTTCTTCCTCTGTTAACCATGGTTACCTGCAAGGAAACACATGCCGTCATCATTGCTTTGCACAAAAAGGGCTTCACAGGCAAGGATATTGCTGCTAGTAAGATTGCACCTAAATCAACCATTTATCGGATCATCAAGAACTTCAAGGAGAGAGGTTCAATTGTTGTGAAGAAGGCGTCAGGGCGCCCAAGAAAGTCCAGCAAGCACCAGGACTGTCTCCTAAAGTTGATTCAGCTGCAGGATCGGGGCACCACCAGTGCAGAGCTTGCTCAGGAATAGCAGCAGGCAGGTGTGAGTGCATCTGCACGCACAGTGAGGTGAAGACTTTTGGAGGATGGCCTGGTGTCAAGAAGGGCAGCAAAGAAGCCACTTCTCTCCAGAAAAAACATCAGGGACAGACTGATATTCTGCAAAAGGTACAGGGATTGGACTGCTGAGGACTAGGGTAAAGTCATTTTCTCTGAGGAATCCCCTTTCTGATTGTTTGGGGCATCCGGAAAAAAGCTTGTCCGGAGAAGACAAGGTGTGCGCTACCATCAGTCCTTTGTCATGCCAACAGTAAAGCATCCTGAGACCATTCATGTGTGGGGTTGCTTCTCAGCCAAGGGAGTGGGCTCACTCACAATTTTGCCTAAGAACACAGCCATGAATAAAGAATTGTACAACTTCTCCCAACCATCCAAGAACAGTTTGGTGACGACCAATGCCTTTTCCAGCATGATGGAGCACCTTGCCATAAGGGAAAAGTGATAACTAAGTGGCTCGGGGAACAAAACATCAACATTTTGGGTCCATGGCCAGGAAACTCCCCAGACCTTAATCCCATTGAGAGCTTGTGGTCGATCCTCAAGAGGTGGGTGGACAAACAAAAACCCACAAATTCTCCAAGCATTGATTATGCAAGAATGGGCTGCCATCAGTCAGGATGTGGCCCAGAAGTTAATTGACAGCATGCCAGGGCGGATTGCAGAGGTCTTGAAAAATAAGGGTCAACACTGCAAATATTGACTCTTTGCATAAACTTAATGTAATTGTCAATAAAAGCCTTTGACACTTATGGAATGCTTGTAATTATACTTCAGTATACCATAGTAACATCTGACAAAAATATCTCATAACACTGAAGCAGCTAACTTTGTGAAGACCAATACTTGTGTCATTCTCAAAACTTTTGACCACGACTGTAGTATACTTTTGTATTTACTGTTGTGTTTTTGGGGACATTACTGTAGTATTTACTAGTGTTTTTGTTTTATTATCTTTTTCCATAACCTGTAGGTAGGTAGGACTGGGTTCTGAATGGAGAGTTCAGAGCTTCTGCTCTTTTCTATAACCTGTAGGGAACACAATATATGGTCTATACTTGGCATGTAGGTTTCAGTTTTAACCTGTTTATCTTCAACAGCAAGCCTTGACCTCCGTCTTGTATTGTTTGTCTCCCCTCAGGACGTTCCCCAAGCCCCCACGGAAGGCCAAGGCCCAAGAGCTGAAGGGCAGGAGGGTGTTTGGTGTACCCCTCCTCCACAGTGTGCAGCAGACAGGGGAACCTCTACCCCCCAGCATCCTCAAGGCCATATTCTATCTGAGGACAGAGTGTCTCGATCAGGTACTGGACTCACTTTAACCTCCTGTACCACCAGTAGATGTACATTATGGCTACCACTGGCTACCACTACGCTGGCCACCAGCTCTGCACCCTCCGCTGCAACTTGCCCATGCCCCCCCCACTTCTCCTTCACACAAATCCAGACAGCTGATGTTCTGAAAGAGCTGCAAAATCTGGACCCCTACAAATCATCTGGGCTAGACAATCTGGACCCTTTCTTTCTAAAACTAGCCGCCGAAATTGTCGCAACCCCTATTACTAGCCTGTTCAACCTCTCTTTCGTAACGTCTGAGATCCCCAGAGATTGGAAAGCTGCCGCGGTCATCCCCCTCTTCAAAGATCCAAACTGTTACAGACCCATATCCATCCTGCCCTGCCTTTCAAAAGTTTTTGAAAGCCAAGTCAACAAACAGATCACCGACCATTTCGAATCCCACCGTACCTTCTCCGCTATGCAATCCGGTTTCCGAGCTGGTCATGGGTGCACTTCAGCCACGCTCAAGGTCCTAAACGATATTATAACCGCGATCGATAATAGACAGTACTGTGCAGCCGTTTTCATTGACCTGGCCAAGGCTTTCGACTCTGTCAACCACCGCATTCTTATTGGCAGACTAAATAGCCTTGGTTTCTCAAATGACTGCCTCGCCTGGTTCACCAACTACTTCTCAGATAGAGTTCAATGTGTCAAATCGGAGGGCCTGTTGTCTGGACCTATGGCAGTCTCTATGGGGGTGCCACAGGGTTCAATTCTTGGGCCGACTCTTTTCTCTGTGTATATCAATGACGTCGCTCTTGCTGCTGGTGACTCTCAGATCCACCTCTACGCAGACGACACCATTTTGTATACATCTGGCCCTTCATTGGACACTGTGTTAACAAACCTCCAAACGAGCTTCAATGCCATACAACACTCCTTCAGTAGCCTCCAACTGCTCTTAAACACTAGTAAAACTAAATGCATGCTCTTCAACCGAACGCTGCTTGCACCCGCCCACCCGACTAGAATCACTACTCTCGACGGGTCTGACCTAGAGTATGTGGACAACTACAAATATCTAGGTGTCTGGTTAGACTGTAAACTCTCCTTCCAGACTCACATTAAGAATCTCCAATCCAAAGTTAAATCTAGAATCGGTTTCCTATTTCGCAACAAAGCCTCCTTCACTCATGCTGCCAAACATGCCCTCGTAAAACTGACTATCCTACCGATCCTTGACTTCGGCGATGTCATTTACAAAATAGCCTCCAACACTCTACTCAGCAAATTGGATGTAGTCTATCACAGTGCCATCCGTTTTGTCTCCAAAGCCCCATATAATACCCACCACTGTGACCTGTACGCTCTTGTTGGCTGGTCCTCACTACATATTCGTCGCCAAACCCACTGGCTCCAGGCCATCTATAAATCACTGCTAGGCAAATCCCCGCCTTATCTTAGCTCATTGGTCACCATAGCAACACCCACCCGTAGTCTGCGCTCCAGCAGGTATATCTCACTGGTCATCCCCAAAGCCAACACCTCCTTTGGCCGCAATTCCTTCCAGTTCTCTGCTGCCAATGACTGGAACAAATTGCAAAAATCTCTGAAGCTGGAGACACTTATCTCCCTCACTAACTTTAAGCATCAGTTGTCAGAGCACCTTACCGTTCACTGCACCTGTACACAGCCCATCTGAAATTAGCCCGCCCAACTACCTCATCCCTATATTGTTATTTATTTTGCTCATTTGTACCCCAGTATCTCTATTTGCACATCATCTCTTGCACATCTATCATTCCAGTGTTAATACTAATTGTAATTATTTTGCACTATAGCCTATTTATTGCCTTACCTCCATAACTTGCTACATTTGCACACACTGTATATATATGTATTTCTGTTGTATTTTTGACTTTGTTTTGTTTTACCCCATATGTAACTCTGTGTTGTTGTTTTTTATCGCACTGCTTTGCTTTATCTTGGCCAGGTTGCAGTTGTAAATGAGAACTTGTTCTCAACTGGTTTACCTGGTTAAATAAAGGTGAAATAAAAAAATTAATAAAAATTATTCAAGAAATAGTTAGGGTCAGGCTTTAAAGGGACAGTTCACCCCAATTTCTAATTTGGTTAGATGTTTTCATACATAAGATTATCTAATACAACCCCCCCCCCCCCTCAGGTGGGTCTGTTCCGTAAGTCGGGGGTGAAGTCTCGTATCCAGTACCTGCGTGACATGGTGGAGGCGGACCCAGATGGTGTGTCTTACCAGGGCCAATCAGCATTTGATGTGGCTGATATGGTGAAGCAGTATTTCAGAGATCTACCAGAACCTGTGTTCTCCAGCAAACTCTGCGAGTCCTTCCTGCATATCTACCAATGTAAGTGGACAGAATCTGCGTAACTGACTGACTGTACTACCTAATCATAACGTCAATGATGGTTAAGTAGGCATTGTGAGACCAGTTTTGGACATTTTTATAGTATAATCAATCCTATCCACCACTCCAGTCTAACATCTCTCACCCCTTCCTCATCCTCCACAGACTTCCCCAAAGACCAGCAGTTCTGTGCAGCCCAGGCGGCCATCTTTCTCCTGCCAGATGAGCACAGAGAGGCCCTGCAGACACTCCTCCTCTTCCTCCGAGATGTGGTGGGCTGCGTGGATGAGAACCAGATGACCCCCACCAACATCGCTGTGTGCCTGGCCCCCTCTCTCTTCCACCTCAACACCCTAAAGAGAGAGGGCAACACAGCCAGGTATGGTGCACTGCCTTCTGGAAAGGAGTAAGACGTCAAGTTATAGATGCTGATCTAAGATCAGTTTGGTGGATTTGGCCCTTATGGTTGAAGTTAGGATTGGGGGAGTGTAAGGAGATCCTGGAACGGTGCAACTTCTAGACGAGAAGAGTTCTGGAGATCTGGGTCCCACATTGTTAAAGTTATATAATTCTTACCAGCTTCCCCCTGATGCTAGGACAGCAGAGTCCTTGCTCCATCTTCTGAAAAACATCTGAAAACCTACCTCTTCAAATAGTATTTTAAATAAGACTTCTCAGTCCCCCCAAACCCCCCCACCCCCCCCTCAAAAAAACACTTACACTTGTATTTTCCTACAAACACTGATTTGCCAATAACTTATTTATTTAGGAAAAATGTACTTACTACGACTGTGATATGTGGTTGTCTCACCTAGCTATCTTAAGATGAATGCACTAACTGTACGTCACTCTAGATAAGAGCGTCTGCTAAATGACTATAATATAAATGTAAAATGTCTTACGTTGTTGCATAAGATTACTCCGGTGCTCTTTGCTTTGTGTTCATCGCCACAACGGCAGGTTTTAATTTGTCTGTTTTTGAAATGTTGTTTTAGTTTTTCCTACTTATGCTGCATCCGATTCATGGGTTGTTTAAATTCCCAGAGATTACATCAACTGTAGTAATCTAACCAAAGCCCTATTTCCCTGTGTGGTAATGAATAGCTGTCGGCTGGGTTTAGTTTAATGGCAGAGTGAGAGAGAGAGAGAGACTTATGTAACCCTGCCGAATCTCCCATCTGGCCTTAATGTTTCTCAGATAGAAGAGATCTTATATCTGTAATATTATTCAGCTGGTTACTGCAAGAGAATGAGAAGGAGAGAGAGAGGGAGGAGGAGAAAGGGAGGGAAAGAGGGAGAGCGACAGGAAAAGGGAAAGAGAGAAAGAGGGAGGGAGAGAGAAAGAGATGGTCCAAGTGTGAAACAGAGAGAGATATTTGAGAGAGATGGTGACTCATTTTTTAAAACACATCAGTCTTAGAACTTTCTTTTTGACTCTGGCACTCTCATTAGCTTCACAAGACTGGTTATCTGTAGTTGTTGGCTCTGAAGTGAAGTGCTGTGAAGATAGACCGCGCGCACACACACACACACGCACACGCGCACGCACACACGCGCGCACACACACACACACGCACACACGCGCACGCGCGCACACACACGCACACGCACACGCACACGCACACACACACAGCTCAGCTGCACACACTCTGCTGACATCCTGTATTCTGACAGCATGTCGAGAAGTTCCACTTCACATCAAAAAGTGGCATTGTGGACCAAGTGATGTCATATAGCACAGGCCTGATTGTGTCCTCCTCCCCCACCTCCTCCTCCTCCTCTCGTCATGCCAGCCTGTCCAGGGGAGCCAGTGGGCTCAACCATTTCCCCACAGGCTGTCAGAGTAGAGCACAGATGGAAGTCATAACACAACACAATACACACTCTGTATCTCCCTTCACTGGAAACAGAGCTATGCCTTGAAACACGTCACACATGTCACACTGGGAACAATGACCAGAACAAATAAACACGGACTGTTATGTTGTGGCATATTGTGCATCTAGGATACAGTGACGTTAGAAAATATTTCACTGCTTTGCTTTTTCTACATGTTTTTCTTGGTTTGGAAGTCGATGCTGACGTTGCTTTTTACATAAGCATTGAATAACAGTCTGCTTGCAAGGATCTCCAAAAACTGTAGGAGAGTATAGTGTAACGGCAAAACTGTACACCCTAAATCTTTAACTCTGATGTAATGACATTTCCTGTTTCTCTGACCTAGGTCGAGCCACAGGAAGTACAGCCTGGGTAGGCCTGACCAAAGGGACCTGAGTGAGAACCTGGCCGCTACACAGGGCCTCGCCCACATGGTGACAGAGTCCCTACGCCTCCTTCAGGTACACACTACAATACAGTTACACTACAGCCTGTTCTTTATTATTTATTTATGTATTTTTGTGTGAAATTGGTCCACGGGCCGCCATTTGCCCATCCCTGCCGTAAACCATTTGCAGGGGAAATTAAATGAAGAGGCACTCCATCTATGTTATTCATTTCAGTCAGCTCATTGCATTTACTTGATAATACAGAATAAAAATATTAGAAAATAAGAATTTATGAATGCCAACAACAGGCTATTAGTCACCATATCTTCGCTTGATGCAATAGCATATCGATTGGTCAAGAAGTCATACAGTATATCTTGTGACAGACGTTAACATGCAATGTTTGGTTCTGGGTGTCAAGATTAAGTAATATGTGACCTTACGTGAAAAAGTCTAGATAACTCTTCCTCTTTCTTTCTCTGATCCTTCCAGCTTCCAGAGTTCTGGCCAGACCAGAGTGTGCGTAGCCCCAGTGAGGAGGCTCTCTGGGTGGATGGGGGTCGGAGTTCGCCCTCTAAGGGTGGGGAGGAAGAGCAGGATGAGAGGGCCAGACTGGACCAGACCACCCAGCACCTGCTGAGAGAGGCCAGGGAGAAGAGCCAAGGCTGGGAGTCCTGCTCTGGACCAGACCACGTGGACCTGGCATTTAAGAAGGTGTGTGATGGAATCTGATGGAATTAATAAATGAATGAATGAACGACAACAAATGAATGGATGAATTAAGGAATTAACAAATTAATGAAATTGTTGTCAAAGATGTCAAATAACATATAATAGATACAAGTTACTGCTTGGTTACACTGACCCCCCCTATGGTCACATGGTTGTGAAAAGTTTTTTCTGACAGCACACCAAAACAACAACACCAATAAAGAACACTGCAGACTATTAAAAGGGTTATTATGTATGAGTCAACATCGAAACACCATTGATTGTCCAGTTAGTCAGACCAATTAACCTTTTACTGCAGTGGACTAAATCAGGGTCACACAGTGTTTCTTGGTGTTCTTAAAAAAATCTACTTTGAAACGAAAGAATACACCTCACACACATGGTTATGGGCACACAAAAAAAAGTCCAATGTCAGATATGGAGTTGAAATGTATTCAATTTTGAGTTTGCATCCCATTATTACACTTGATATACATCACAGAAGACTGAAATATAACAAAACCGTTTGACATAGAAACACCAGATTTTCAGTGTTTAAAAAAGATTAATGTTTAGTAATTATGAAATTATGAAAAATATGAATAACATTACACCCATGAGGCCACTAGAGGGCGATTTGGTCATTTGACTGCAGGAAAGGGTTTTAAGCACACTGAGTATTTGAGCTAAGATATGTGTATAGTAAAAGGAGTTATTGAAGTTCATAATCAGGTTCTCACAATGGGTCTCACCCACTCTCCCTCTCCTTCCCCTCCCTCTCCATACCAGGTGGATGACGGCTGGCCGCTGCGGTTGTGGAAGGGCTCCATTGAGGTGGATGCCCCCCAGAAAGAGGCCCTCCAGCGGGTCCTGAGGGAGCAGGGTCTCTGGGAGAAGACCCTCAAACAGTCTGCAGTAGTCCAGACCCTGACCAAGGACACTGAGGTCTACCGCTACCTCCTGCAGGGCCTGGGACCCCGATCGCCACAGGAGCACCTCCTGCTGAGGTAATGAGGCGTTACCAGGCCAATACTGCACAGCGCTGCACGATGCTGCATGGGTCTTTAGGCAGGCTGCTGACTCTGTTGAGTAGAAGGGACAGATGAGTCAGGGACAAACAGAGTTCAGCTTGGACTTGAACACTCTGGCTAAAGTTGTTTTGACATGGTGCTTGTTGCTGTACTATTGCTACATGTTGGCATCACAGTGAATGATGAAAGAGCTAGTTTATACTAATCATGTTACATTAAAGTGTCAAAGTCAAAGGATTGTTGACCGTTTACTCAAACATCTAATCAAATGTTGGCTGAATATCTGAGGGTCTATTTCTCACGGAGCTCAATTCTGAAAGTCTGTTTTTAAATTAACCAGAAGAATCTCCTATCATTTTCTCATGCAGGACCTGGCAGTCAGACCCATCGGCTGGTCCTGTTTATGTGTCTGCTGTGTCTACAGAGCACCCTGAGGCCCCCATGGAGGGGGTGAGAGCCCAGGTCCTCTCTTGTCTCTACCTGGTAGAACCCCTAGGGGCCAAGAGGTCCCGACTCACACACCTCTGTCGCACAGATACCAGGTAGGCAAGACCGAGGGAGAATGTGAACGATTTGAGAGAATGCACAGTCTTTAAAAAATATATCCAGAGACACGCTTATTCTTTACCTTCTGTAATGAGGTATTCTCTGCTTTTGACTGCAGCAGTATCTCAAGTGCAATCACCGCCTCTCAAAAGAGACACACTTAAATAGAGAAGGAAAATAATGAATAGAAAGAAAAGCACCCCTTGTGCACACATTAGCTCTCTTCAAAGTTCCCTATAGATTTTCTGCTTCTTACATGAACAATTTATTCCCTGCATGGTTCTGCTGGGTTGTTCTGTAGACCACCGCTGTTTCCATTTGTTTCGGCTGATTTAATTAAACAAGCCATGCAATGGAAAACAGGTGTCTAGAAGCACACAGAGAGAGAGAGAAGGGGGAGGAGAGGGAGATAGAAAAGTGTGAAAAGTGTGAAAGGGAATGAGGGGGATGTAGAGAGGGAGAGAGTGTTCTCCCCCTGCATTATACATGTTAGCTATTGTGCTGCTCCAATGGACCATCATCAGTAGAAGTAGTTGACTACTCACTTAGGGCCCGATTCCGATTTAGGAATTTTCGCCTTTCCTACGCACACGTTTCCTATACACTTCTGAGTATTTGGTATTCAGACTTACCTTATTCAGTCGCGTAACGGGCTTTGCAGGTGTGGTTCCCTTGCGCACGCTGAATAAATGTAATTCAACCACTGAAAACCCTCACACTTGCTAGCCAACAGATTTTCTAGTGGAGTTTTCATTCAATGGGGTTTTCAGTACATTTATCTTAAGCCATCCCTTTAAATACGGTGTACATTTAATTAGAATTTGAGAGAACGGTTTCAGAAAATAGGGATCAATGAAAGAAAGCCATCTAAATACAGTATATGCATACTCGTCTTCCATTTCAACACCAACTCCTCTTTTCAGTTCGCTGCAGCTAGCGACTGGAATGAGCTGCAAAAAACACTCAAACTGGACAGATTTATCTCCATCTCTTCATTCAAAGACTCAATCATGGACACTCTTACTGACAGTTGTGGCTACTTCGCGTGATGTATTGTTGTCTCTACCTTCTTGCCCTTTGTGCTGTTGTCTGTGCCCAATAATGTTTTTACCATGTTATGCTGCTACCATGTTGTGCTGCTGCTATGTTGTGCTGCTGCTATGTTGTGCTGCTGCTATGTTGTGTTGCTACCATGATGTTGTCATATCGTGTTGCTACCATGCTTTGTTGTCATGTGTTGCTGCCATGCTATGTTGTTGTTTTAGGTCTCTCTTTGTGTAGTGTTGTGGTGTCTCTCTTGTCGTGATGTATGTTTTGTCCTATATTTTAATGTATTTATTTTTATCCCAGCCACCGTCCCCACAGGAGCCCTTTTGGTAGGCCGTCATTGTAAATAAGAATTTGTTCTTAACTGACTTGCCTAGTTAAATAAAGGTAAAATAAAATAAATAAATAAAACTGGTAGATAAAAAAATAATCTGATTTTGTAGATTATTGAGGCACATTTTAGGGTTAGGAAAGACTGTATGAATCATTAAAAAAAACAGGTTTGGAGAGCTTTTACACACAAAATATATTGATTAAACAAAAATACAGTGGTTTGATTCATTCAGAAAATTGCCACATTCAGCTCTTTAACACATGGTAATGTTGGTAGTAGATTAGTGTACATAGAATTATAATACAATTAAGTATTAAGGGTGGCAGGTAGTTTAGTGGTTAAGAGCGTTGGGCCAGTAACCGAAAGGTTGCTGGTTCTAATCCCAGACTAGGTGAAAAATCTGTCGATGTGCCCTTGAGCAAGGCACTTAACCCTAATTGCTCCTGTAAGTCGCTCTGGATAAGAATGACTAAAATGTAATGTACAATAGTACTGTGGGTTATACCCTCATCTATTGCCTGCACTAACCATAGAACTGTGTAATGACAGAGCCAAGTATTGCGCCATGCGTCAGGTTCAAACTTACTGTTTGGTCTGTGCTCCGCTCCATAACGATTTTAATTAATTTTTATATTATCAACTGGTACTAATGATACTCAGCAACAACCACACGGCCGTGATGGTGTTTACAGAGGAAGCAAATGAAGGTAAACTAAACAATGTAATTAAATAGAATGATAAGGGCTCCCGAGTGGCGCAGCGGTCTAAGGCACTGCATCTCAGCGCTTGAGGCGTCATTACAGACCCCTGGTTCGATTCCAGGCTGTATCACATCTGGCTGTGATTGAGAGTCCCGTAGGGCGGCGCACAATTGGCCCAGCATCGTCCGGGTTTGGCAGGTGTAGGCCGTCATTGTAAATAAGAATTCGTTCTTAACTGACTTGTCAAGGTAAAAAATTAAAATAAAAAAATGATGTAGGCTATACCAACTGAGGGGAACTAACAGTAAATTGCCAGTTGAATATGTGTGGTTATTAGGCCTACTGACAGTAGATACTGTAGGGTGGCAGGTAGCTTAGTGGTTAAGAGCGTTGTGCCAGTAGCTGAAAGGTCGCTGGTTCTAATCCCTTAGCCTAATAGGTGAAACATCTGTCGATGTGCCCTTGAACAATGCACGTAACCCTAATTGCTCTGGATAAGAGCGTCTGCTAAATTACTAAAAATGTAAAAAATATTGGCTCATTTTTAACATGATAGAAATAGGAAACAATGAAAGTCGGGGTAGCATATAATTAAGACGTTCGAGAGTGCCCATCCCTGCAAGTTAAAAGGCTGTACAATTTAAATTCTGCATAATGGCACAGTATTTCATAAACTTTACTGTTGGAAAGTTGATATGCTTCAGTTTGCTGCCATATGACTGGTTTCACATTTGTCTCCAGCGATTATAAGGTAAAATATATCTAAAACAAGAGTTATTTATATTTACAATGCCCTTATACAAATGGATTACTAATTTACCTACTATAGCTCTTATCAATAGCTCGTATTAAGTTCTAAATTATAGTGCATGGAGAATGGTGTTATTTCTATCGGGAAAAAGTAGATACTTTATCCACTTGGAATCGGTTGGTTCGCTAGACCTTATTCATGGTTTCCTCTCGCGTAAAATTGGTGGAATTATTAGGCAATAAAGTCAAGGTCAGAATACGGTGTATCTGTAGACACACCTCCACCACGCCTTCATTTATCCAATCTCCATCCAAAACGAATAGCAGGTGAATAGCACACTATTCTCATGCTTAAATTCAAGGTCAGAATACGCATAGAGAGAGAAGTGCATAAAAGGAAATTACGTTCAATTTACGTGTGCTTAATTCGGGTCAGAATCGGGGCCTTAGCCACACTCATCACACTAGTTTCAATAAGGCAGCATAGAGATTTGAACGAGACGGTTTGCCAACAAGACAGATTCACACGATTATGATGATTATCTCTGCAGGGTTTTCTCACTTCATTACATCAGAACTGAGCGGTAACGGAGATAACATTTCTGCCTCATTCTACTCTCTTTAAATACTCATAGAAAAGAGCTTGGCGGGCCTAACGTATGGGCTTATTTGCAGTGCCAGTGGCATTAGGTTTTGAGTGCTCATTTTCTTATCATCGATAATAAACTCACAGTTCTTTGGTCTGCTGAGCTTAATAGCGAAAGCCAATGAGACTGATATCGAGGAAACTGAAAGTGAAATGGTCTTAGTCAGTGTATCTCATACACCAAGGTTTGGTTGCGTTCCAGGCAGACTATATTGCAATCATGCTACATCCCACTGGGCACAGATGTCATTGAAATGACGTGGAAACAAAGTTGATTCAACCACTGTGTGCCCAGTGGGATACAGCAACCCATGGTTGTTCATCACGTCATTTACTTTGCAGTCACGCATCCGATTGCTATATAGTATGATGTGGTTAGGTCTGGCAGGCAACTGCAATGTAGTCTGCCTGAAATGCAGCCTTTGTGTCTCTCTGACTGTGTTTCATCTGAACCCTGGTGACACTTCCTGTGTACTAACTTCCTGTTACTGTGTGTGATTTCCAGGGGCCGATCCAAGGAATGGCACAACAGAGTGAGTGGACACCTACTGGCCTCCAACCTTCTGTCCATCAGGGACTCATTCAGACCTGACCACAGAGAGACCAAGATCTAAGTCATAGCTCCGAGACAGAACCCAGGCCTCATCTACCCCGAGAGGAGGACAGATGAGGAGAGAACACAAACAGACAAACAGACAGAGACACAAGCCTCCAGGCATACAGCTGTAGCAGAGAGGACTGGAGGAGGGGGTGAAGGCAGGAGGGGGAGCTGAGAAGTTGTCTTAAACCCAAGACCTGATGTGAATTCCAGAAACCTCCTTTTTTAATATGGAGACAATTGCACCTCCGGACTCGCACCAGGGGTCGTCTGATGAAGTGTTCAGGCGGAGGCGGCAGAGCTTTGCATTATCAAGAATGACGCGGGAGCCTGTCACCATGATGAAACGTCTCATCCCATTTGACTGACTGTTTCAGGCGTAATGCATGGCAGGGGGGCCTCCGGCGGAGCACTGCCAGACGCCACAGGTTTTAAGAGTTAAAAACAGGGCCTGTGTAACAGTTCAAATATACCAAGAGCAAATCTACCTCTTTGGAGAGAAAAGCCTCGGTTGCATCACACTTTGAAGCGGGACAAAGTTAAGGATTCAGGAAAGCCTTGTCTTGCAGTTGGGAATTGGGAAGATTCTCTTGTACATTTGTGCCATTGTGGCGGATATTCTGTGAGGCACGTTGCTGTCCTCAAAATTGTACTCTGTATTTATTATTTTACTGTCAAAAGCATTGTCTAATTACTTAATTTTAGTTGTATGTGTGTATTTGACTTGACACAAGTGTTTCTCTGGTAATGTTGTAAACTTGTATCACAGTATACTCACTAAAAGGGTCAGTTACACTATGTTTATAGATGTACATATTCATAAATGTGTGGTTTATCTAATTACATTTGATTATTAAGTGCCTTTTATTATTCCTCAAAATTATTTAACAAAATATTTGTATTCAGAAATATTCAAATAGATTTACTTAAATATTGGTTTTCAAGCTTTAGGAAAACTGCAGCATACCATTTTTGTAATATGTGTGTGGAATCAAAATGACAACTGATTAAAATGTTGATTTCTCTAGTCTTCTTGCTTTGTGTGTGTGTTGTGATAGTCTGCTTGAAACCCAGCCAGCCAGTCACACTGATTGTTTTCTCTGAAGACCCTGAAATAGCTAACAGCCATAGGAAGATGATGTGTCACTCAGTGCTTTTATCACACAGAAGATTTACAGGGCTTATGATGATGTTGATTTCCAAAGACAAACATTCTCTCTCGCCCTCTGTTACAATATGCTTCGGAAATTATTTACGCTGTCAAACACACCCACTCGTTTCATATTTGCATAATTATATTTGCATATCTTATTGATTCCTCTCCTAGATCACATCTCCTAGAATCCCCTTTAAGCACCTAGTACCGAGGCATTCTCCTAAGATCATGAATATGCTGAATAACTGCATGTGAAGGGGAAGTAAAAATACCTCACATGGTTAGGCCATCAGGCTGGATATAAAAGGGGATTTTGTTGAATTTCTATAACAGTCTTTTAGAAGATAAACTTTTAGCTTATAACAGGGCTAGTGCCTGTGGCGAAGATTTCAGATTGGGTTCAAGTAACTCCATCCCATATGGTTGAGCAATCCAGAAGTTTCTTGACAACTTGATGATTCTGGTTGCGTTTACACAGGCAGCCCAAGTCTGAGCTTTTTTTCACTAATTGGTCTTTTGAACATTCAGATTGTGAAAAGATCTGATGTGTTTGGTGAAAATACCAATTAGTGGAAGAAATACCAGAATTGGGCTGCCTTTGTAACTCAAAGGTCAAGATGGACTCAAAGAGGAGGCCAGAAATATTACTCCACAGACCCTCGACACCTAACTTCTCCTCTAACCACCTAACACTAGGTAGCCTAGTAGTAAAGCACGAAAGACTGGGCTGTGACTACAGTCCATGGAAATTGAAGTAGACATTTGAGGAAAAACACACATTCATTTTGTGCAGTGCAGTCCACTGCCTGGCTGAACCAGAGGCAGAATAAGATGAAACCATAGAGTACTGCTGAGGGATCTCTATTCCACTGTGAGTAAATCCTATTGCTGTTCCAGGTGTTATTGAAGCTCGGTGCCAAAACAATGTGGCAAACCATTTTCCACCTGAAGCCTGTGTCAAATCCCCTTTAGCACATTGTCCTTCAACCGGGGACATGTGCACCGAAGTACCCATTTTGTGGAAGATTTATACATTTTTAATAAAGGCACTGGGAATCACTGTTCCAGTAGGTATTAAGTTGCTATAAAGTCATGCAGTGGAATTATAAAATATTAATATAAATATGGACATTTCATAAGTTCTGGTGACGGATCATACACAGACACTTCCACTTGTCACAGTTTATGAGCTCAACTCGAGTTTAGAGAGGTATATTATATTGCTCGTGGCAACCTTTACAGCATAATAATAGTCTGTATCCATCTACAACAGTGCATAACTTTCCCATGGGCAAACACAGCCTTACAGTTAAAGTCTTGGCTGCCTCTGAGTGTGAGATCTATCATTTAGGTCACTAAATTAGTTTGTTCTTTAACTTAGTGCACCTGCTAACACAACACTTAGTTGAGATGACAGAGAATACATTGTTGGTTTTGAGGGTTAATCAGACTAGTCCAACTTCATTTGAGAGGCTAATGAGTATAATTTGAAGCCACAGATCTAATAAGTGAGCAACCGCATGCTGTGGTAAACTCAATAAAGCCCTGGCAAGGGGCAAAAGTCTTCACACAGAAATCACTGAAGTGGAAAGCCATGGTGGACACCCTATGCTCCAATGGACCCAAGAGGACCAACTAAGTAAAGCCAGTTAAGTCACAAGCTGTGTGAAGTCACTGATGCACCTTGTTCATTGAACATGCACAGAAAATATATGGTATTTAACTAACAAAGGAACTAACAGGATATTTGGCATCGAGACAAAGACAAACCGATTAGTCCTCTTGTTATTTCTCCTTCCCCTTGTTATCATGTGTAATTTAGAACATAAGTCCAGTCTAATCAATACCTGGTCGGTCTACAGCTACCAGTGCAATGAGTAAATAATAAGCAATGGTCCATTTAGCTGGACTAATCAATTCCATTAATCACACAGCTGATTATCAGGATGGGACAAGGCATTCATCATTAGTGAACTGTTGTCCCAAGGTCTCTCTGTTGCTGATTCACACTATAGGGCAAACTGTGCCTAGCCAAGCCAAGCTGTACAAGGGCTGGCTTGGTTACACAGCCACCATAGTTGCTGGAACCCTGCTGAAAAGGACAAAACGAAAAAATGAAAATCAGTCAGCAGGTTTGGGTCAGCCCTGTAGCGTGAATCATGCATTTGAGTCTCCAATGTGAGCAAATTATGGAGGCTTTAACAAAACAGTCGATAAAATGTAATTGCATCAATGAAATTAAAATCATTGCAATTTAAATACATTTTCATAAATATACAGTACCAGTCAAAAGTTTGGGTTTTTCTTTATTTTTACTATTTTCTACATTGTATAATAATAGTGAAGACATCAAAACTATGAAATAACACATACGGAATCATGTAGTAACCAAAAAAGCATTAAATAAATATATTTTATATTTGAGATTCTTCAAATAGCCACCCTTAGCCTTGACAGCTTTGCACGCTCTTGGCATTCTCTCAACCAGCTTCACCTGGAATGCTTTCCCAACAGTCTTGAAGGAGTTCCCACATATGCTTAGCACTCGTTGGCTGCTTTTCCTTCACTCTGCCGTCCGACTCATCCCAAACCATCTCAATTGGGTTGAGGTCGGGGGATTGTGGAGGCCAGGTCATCTGATGCAGCACTACATCACTCTCCTTCTTGGTAAAATAGCCCTTACACTGCCTGGAGGTGTGTTCGGTCACTGTCCTGTTGAAAAACAAATGATAGTCCCACTAAGCCCAAACCAGATGGGATGGTGTATCGCTGCAGAATGCTGTGGTAGCCATACTGGTAAAGTGTGCCTTGAATTCTAAATAAATCACAGACAGTGTCACCAGCAAAGCACCCCCACACCATAACACATGCGGAGATCATCTGTTCACCCACACCACGTCTCACAAAAACATGGTGGTTGGAACCAACAATCTCAAATTTGGACTCCAGACCAAAGGACAAATTTCCACCGGTCTAATGTCCATTGCTCGTGTTTCTTGACCCAAGCAGGTCTCTTCTTCTTAATGGTGTCGTTTAGTAGTGGTTTCTTTGCAGCAATTCAAACATGAAGGCCTGATTCACACAGTCCCCTCTGAACAGTTGATGTTGAGATGTGTCTGTGACTTGAACTCTGTGAAGCATTTATTTGGGCTGCAATTTCTGAGGCTGGTAACTCTATTGAACTTATCCTCTGCAGCAGAGGTAACTATGGGTCTTCCATTCCTGTGGTGGTTTCATCATAGCGCTTGATGGATTTTGAAACTGCACTTGAAGAAACTTTCAAAGTTCTTGACATTTTCTGTATTGACTGACATTCATGTCTTAAAGTAATGATGAACTGTCGTTTCAATTTGCTTATTTGAGCAGTTCTTGCAATAATATGGACTTAGTCTTTTACCAAATAGGGCTATCTTCTATATACCCCCTCTACCTACCTACCTACCTCAGGACACAACTGATTGGCTCAAACGCATTAAGAAGGAAAGAAATTCCACAAATGAACTTTTAAGAAGGCACACCTGTTAGGCACACCTGTTAGTGACTACCTCATGAAGCTGGTTGAGAGAATGCCAAGAGTGTGCAAACTGTCATCAAGACAAAGGGTGGCTATTTGAATAATCTTTTGATTTGTTTAATGCTTTTTTGGTTACTACATGATTCCATATGTGTTATTTCATAGTTTTGATGTCTTCAATATTATTCTACAATGTAAAAAAGAGTAAAAATAAAGAAAAACCCTTGAATGATAGTTTATATCATTGGAGCAATAATTGACTATTGATATGAAAGTGGATTGAAAAGTCTAAAATATAGTTAAAACACTTGATTGATTCACCATCTTTTTCAGGACAGGAAAGTATTCTGCAGTCTTGGCTCTCTGTGCTCAAAGTGACCAATATCACAGGTGCATGGGTTTCAAATATGTAGACTAAGTCAGATGACAGATGGGGTAGCTGGACTAAGATGACAGAAAACCTTCCCACTGTCGACTTCAAAAGGCCCCAAATCTGAGGCTCAAATAGCAAAAATAATATGCTCTATTTAAGCGTCACCCTTTGCAAGAAAGGAAGGATACATGTTTAGCTACTTACAGTGGCTTGCGAAAGTATTCACCCCCCTTGGCATTTTTCCTGTTTTGTTGCCTTACAACCTGGAATTAAAAAGGGATTTTTGGGGGGTTTGTATCATATGATTTACACAACATGCCTACCACTTTGAAGATGCAAAATATGTATTACTGTGAAACAAACAAGAAATAAGACAAAAAAACAGAACTTGAGCATGCATAACTATTCACCCCCCCCCCCCCCCCAAAGTCAATACTTTGTAGAGCCACCTTTTGCAGCAATTACAGCTGCAAGTCTCTTGGGGAATGTGCTCTACAACATTCGGAGAGTGCGACCCTGCCTTACACAGGAAGCGGCGCAGGTCCTAGTCCAGGCACTTGTCATCTCCCGTCTGGACTACTGCAACTCGCTGTTGGCTGGCCTCCCTGCCTGTGCCATTAAACCCCTACAACTCATCCAGAATGCCGCAGCCCGTCTGGTGTTCAACCTTCCCAAGTTCTCTCACGTCACCCCCCTCCTCCGCACACTCCACTGGCTTCCAGTTGAAGCTCGCATCCGCTACAAGACCATGGTGCTTGCCTATGGAGCAGTGAGGGGAACGGCACCTCTGTACCTTCAGGCTCTGATCAGTCCCTACACCCAAACGAGGGCATTGCGTTCATCCACCTCTGGCCTGCTGGCTCCCCTTCCTCTGCGGAAGCATAGCTCCCGCTCAGCCCAGTCAAAACTGTTCGCTGCTCTGGCACCCCAATGGTGGAACAAGCTCCCTCACGACGCCAGGACAGCGGAGTCACTCACCACCTTCCGGAGACATTTGAAACCCCACCTCTTTAAGGAATACCTGGGATAGGATAAAGTATTCCTTCTAACCCCCCCCCCCCCAAATTGTAAAGTGGTTATCCCACTGGCTATAGGGTGAACGCACCAATTTGTGAGTTGCTCTGGCTAAGAGCGTCTGCTAAATGACGTTAATGTGCCCTTGAGCAAGGCACTTAACCCTAATTGCTCCTGTAAGTCGCTCTGGATAAGAGCGTCTGCTAAATGACTAAAATGTAATGTAATGTAAATGAATGTCTCTATAAGCTTAGCACATCAAGTCACTGGGATTTTTGCCCATTCTTCAAGGCAAAACTGCTCCAGCTCCTTCAAGTTGGATGGGTTCCACTGGTGTACAGCAATCTTTAAGTCATACCACAGATTCTCAATTGGATTGAGTTCTGGGCTTTGACTAGGCCATTCCAAGAAATGTAAATGTTTCCCCTTAAACCACTCAAGTGTTGCTTTAGCAGTATGCTTAGGGTCATTGTCCTGCTGGGAGGTGAACCTGTATTCCCTGTATTTAGCGCCTTCAATTCTGACCAGTTTCCCAGTCCCTGCAGAAGAAAAACATCCCCACAGCATGATGCTGCCACCACCATGCTTCACTGTGGGGATGGTGTTCTCGGGGTGATGAGAGGTGTTGTGTTTGCGCCAGACATAGCGTTTTCCTTGATGGCCAAAAAGCTCAATTTTAGTCTCATCTGACCAGAGTATCTTCTTCCATATGTTTGGGGAGTCTCCCACATGCATTTTGGCAAACACCAAACGTGTTTGCTTATTTTTTTTCTTCAAGCAATGGCTTTTTTTCTGGCCACTCTTCCGTAAAGCCCAGCTCTGTGGAGTGTACGGCTTAAAGTGGTCCTATGGACAGATACTCCAATCTCCGCTGTGGAGCTTTGCAGCTCCTTCAGGGTTATCATTGGTCTCTTTGTTGCCTCTCTGATTAATGCCCTCCTTGCCTGGTCTGTGAGTTTTGGTGGGCGGCCCTCTCTTGGCAGGTTTGTTGTGGTGCCTTATTTTTTTATTTCAATTTTTTAATAATGGATTGAATGGTGCTCCGTAGGATGTTCAAAGTTTCTGATATTTTTTTTATAACCTATCCCTGATCTGTACTTCTCCACAACTTTGTCCCTGACCTTTTGGAGAGCTCTTTGGTCTTCATGGTGCCGCTTGCTTGGTGGTGCACCTTGCTTAGTGGTGTTGCAGACTCTGGGGCCTTTCAGAACAGGTGTATATGTACTGAGATCATGTGACAGATCATGTGACACTTAGATTGCACACAGGTGGACTTTATTTAACTAATTATGTGACTTCTGAAGGTAATTGGTTGCACCAGATCTTATTTAGGGGCTTCATAGCAAAGGGGGTGAATACATATGCACGCACCACTTTTCCGTTATTATTTTTTTTGAAACAAGTTATTTTTTTCATTTCACTTCACAAATTTGGACTATTTTGTGTATGGTCCATTACATGAAATCCAAATAAAAATCCATTTAAATTACAGGTTGTAATGCAACAAAATAGGAAAAACGCGAAGGGGGATGAATACTTTTGCAAGGCACTGTGTGCTTCCTTCCTTCGCGATCGACAGTGTGCCGGTTGTTTCTCGTCTTTCATCTGAAATAGTGTATTATTTGGCCGGGTCAGGATCAGCCCAGATTTACTGCAATAAACAAAGGTCAATGTCTAACACATAGATCTCAAATCCCCTGTGCAATTATTGAGCTGTAGCCCAAATCAGTATTGCTGTTTTGGCAGCCACTCCAGCCATTCCTCAATCTCTTGGTAGGTATTCTGACATTTATATGGAGAATGATGAGCAGGGTGCCAGATCCTTTTTTACAAGCAGTAATTTTTATTTTATTTGGTATACAGTAAAATCCCAGGTGACGTTAATGGGTTGAAGAGGCTATTTTTTTCTGTTGCCCGAGGAGATGGGACGAGGGCGTGGTGATGATGTCACATCCTGGAGATGGGGTTGATGCCCAGGATGTCAAAGCCTTTGGCCATGATGGCAGCAGTGGCGTCACACAGGAGCATCCTCCACATGTTTACTTTTACCACCTCACCTGTCGAGAGAGAGACAGGACAGCGAGAGACAGAGACAGAGAGATGGGTCAACACATAGATCGGAGGTAATTTCAATCCAATCAAATTACACAAAATCACGTCCCAATAACAGAGCAGTCACAAAATCAATGTTCACGATTCAACGATCCAAGGGGCAGATTGCTACACGGTGAGGAGATCCAATAGAAATTAAGCCAGAGAGAGAGGGCAAATTAAACAGACGGGTCATTATAAGACATTAATGTAATTGACAAACAATACCATTTCCCATTCATTTACACTAACAAATCATCTGTTAACGTCGTATTAGAGTAATTCAAGCACTTGGTAATGTCCACGCCATTGTCATCCAATGATATATATCCCAGTTGGCTCCTTTAAAACCAATTTAGCAAAGGATGACAAAAGCAAAGATAGGGTGTTATTGAGAAACACCCATAGACTAGTCATGAAAGACTTGCATTGGTCTGTAGACTAGCATTTGTATGGCTAAAACTCAAATTGGCCTTCATTGTTACTATGGGTGGAAAACAGGCTGACATTCAGAATGTAATTCTTTAGAGTCTAAGACGTTGGGGGAGGGGAGGTGCTAAACTGACATATGGAATTGTTTTAAGATGGTCATACTATGGATCATTTAGCTATTTGATTTTGAATTTTAGGACCCCTTTAGGAATAAAAAAAATATACAAAAATGTTTTGATAAAATATTGATGTTGGCCTTTACTACTAAAGCCCATAGAAACGCATTGAATAACACATTCATAAATGGCAAAAGGTACAGTCAAAGAATAAATCATAAGAAACAAGGTTTTGAAGTGTCTGTCCTAAATCTAGGATATATAAAATATATAAATATATTTTTTTATACACATATTTAATCCGGAACCGGTTACCTTCAGACGAGTGCTGTGACACTTGGGGGGGTCGTGAGAACACCATAGTGAGTCTCCCCTTTCCATAGAGTGGTCATAATGGTCTGTAGGTCAAACCGTTCGGACGCTACAGTTTTCGTGAGAAGACCCATTTTTGGGATGTCTCATGGTCTGACAAACACCGCTCTAGCTCTGCCACCTTTCACCGCAGACGCGGAAGTGCGACACTGGAGGATGCGGTGGATTGAGATGCAGCCAATGCAAAATAACATATCTCTAGCTTAAACTAACAGATTTTGATCTGGATTTTTTTTGTTATGTAACTTAGATTAACGCACCGGTGTGCCAATCGACTCTAGGGGGTTTATGTGCTGTTGTGGCCTATAATTCACACTCAATTTGGTTGCAAGGAGGGCTAACTTGGGCGCTAACTCGGGAGCAGCACGTTAAGCTAACACTCTGTGGTATGCTAAACCCTAGGTAAGTAGGACTTAGCATTAGCGAAGCGGCCCACCGTAGGGTAAATGCTTACAGATGCGAGTGGATGGGCTAACAACGTCACTTGCTCTCTGACACCTCTGACTGGAGTTGTTTGTGAGTGTCCCTCCCAATGGGCAATTTAGGATTATTTGAGACCAGCAGAAGTCTGGGGCTGTGCATGACAGCAACTACCGAATGGCAAAGCCAAGAAATATCTCTGATTTTAAGAGTACTCCTAACAGGGATATGTAGAACCAGCATTTAGTATGGACCATTGGATGGATGGATGTATGGATGAATGGAGACAGACAGACCAACTAATAGACGGTTAGATAAAGATGGACAACTTTCTCAGTCTCCATCACCCCAGTGTCTCTGCCCTACCTGTCTGGCGGTCTTTCTCAATACAGTAGCAGCTGTCGTAGAACTCTGTGAAGGTTGTGGCCAGCTCATACAGGTAGTCACACAGCGTGTGGAGCAGCAGGTCATCCAGGATCTTCTGGAGGATCTCAGGGAAGCGCAAGAGACACTTGCCCAGCTTCCACTCCTTGTCGTGCTCCAGGAGCACCTCCGTGGTCTCTGCTGCTTTACGGAGCGCTGCCTCGTCGATGTTAGCCAGCCGGGCTATGGACCTGCAGACAGAGACACAGGAGGGGAAGGGGTATGAATTGGAGTAGGATATGGCAGACCAGTTCTATTTTATAAAGCGTACCTACATTGTGATTACATTGTAACTAGGCAGGTTATCACATGATTATAGCAATATGTGTTAGGTGGGACTACAATTGACAAATCCCAGGTGATGCTGCAGGTCCAGATAGTTCAGTTGGTTGGAGCATAATCTCTTGTGGACAGTTTCTCGTGGACAGATGAAATCTGTCAAGGCTCACATAGAATTATGTGATTACGAGCAGCAGTAGTTCCTGGTTTTGGGTTTGAATCATTGATTATTTGGACGAATCAGGATGCGGCGAAGGCGGTGCTTAAACTGGGGCAGTGATTTTCAAGCTCGTGCGAAGATAATAAACGGTTTCCACTAGATTCCAGAGCCACAAAGTCAAAATTGGTTAGATGATAAAAATTCATGAAAACAAAGATGTCCTTTTTGGCCACGATAAACATGGGTGAAATTAGCGGAAGGGAGTTCAATTTGCGAGGGAGGAGACTTTGCTTCCTTCCTTTGCACAAAGGTAATCATAATTGTTAATGGTATTTCCCCCCAGAAGTAAAATACGAAATTACAGACTTTCGCGAGATAATTTTACTTCTGGGTAACCGAGATTAGTTGGAGCATGATGCCGGCTATCAAAAGAGACTATATCTGATCCTGACTGGGACTGACAGTGAATCAAATGATCCCAGAACAATGCCATTGTGTTCTTTGGCTATCTCCAACCGCAGATCTACAAGATGAGCAGCATTCCGGGTTTCAAACCCAATGCTCAAACAAGCGTGTGTAACCCCAGTTCCCCTCCACAGCAGGAGCCACCGCCATCTGTGAGTGCTCTATTGACTTAGTGTGTGACCATCGACCACCCTGAACAAGACTGCTTTTTCCCCCTCCACCCATGTGCAGATAAATGGAGACTGAGACTGGGGGCGTGGCCACTCTGGGCCAATACCACTAGGGGACTGCAAGGGTCCTTCACCTGATGCGGGTGAAGGCGTAGAGGAGGTAGGCGGCCGTGTTGCCCCGGTCGTCCAGCATCTTGTCGAAGGAGAACACGTAGTCGTTTATGCGGTTGTGCGATAGGTCGGCGTACTTGATGCAGCCGAACGCCACCGAGCGCTGGGCCTTGGTCAGATCCTCCGTGCTCAGCACCTGGGGCAGAAAGACATCATATGATCAGAGTTACAGCCAATCAGGCATGTGTTCAGTCACTGGACATCTGATATGGGTCACAACTTGTTTGTGTGTGTCACAAGAGTTCTGGGACAAGTTGAAGTACTGTACTGTACTGCTATAAGTCTGACCTGTCATTCTGACATTCATGTCGAGTCAAATACCCTGTTCGGTATGGACAGGCTCACAAGTACCTAGAGAGAGTGGGGATGTGTGTGGATTGTGTTAGTATTTGTATGTATAGGATTTGTGTGCTTGAGTGTTTTGTGCAGGGCGGGTGTATTTGAATGAGGTTGGGACAAACAGGTGGCAGGGTTGGGCACGTGGCCAGCCCCGTGGTGCCAACGATGCTACGTAGGGGCCTGGAGAAAAACGGGCTGGGGGAGTACGCTTACTGCGCTAACAAAATAAAAAGATCTCAGAATAGATCTGAATTGGCTCCCTCAGCCGGCGTTTGCTTAATTGATTACGCCCTAGGGAGCAGCGCAATTATACACCCACTAACTTTTCCGCATAATTTAATGCAGCGTGTGTAACTTTAGATATCCTTGACAATTATAGGCTTAGCAGAAACACATCAGCCAAACCCCACTTCAGAGGACCTCTTCTTGCTTCATAGACACACACACAAGTAATAGGATCAGAAAAAAAGAGGCGGACTGCGATTTGCAGGCAGACAGCTACGCCAGGTGGAAGGAGCATGCGTTTCTGTATCCCAACGAGCCTTTAGAACACAAAGATTAGAGAGAGGCATCGTTCACAGTGCTGTGTTCAACGCAGGAGACAATCTGCAACAGCAGTAGCTGTTTGTTCTCTGTTTAAAACTCCAAATGGACTCACTGTGGGGCTTCAGTAAAGACTTCACACAGCCAGGCTGGTTTCACACTCATTAGTAAGATGACTGTTCAGGCTGTAGTAATGACGTGTTCTACACTCTCCCGTTAGTGTTTGGGTGGGTGCGTGTGGATACCCTGCAGTTTCGTCCCAGCCAAGTACTATCAACTATCACACCTGATTTGCCCTCGACAAAGAGTTGAAGAGTTTATGGCTATGTAGTATTGTTGGAAAGACAGGCAGCATCCATTCTTCACCTTGTCCCTGTCCTTCTCCTTGAGTTTGTCCATGGACCTCTTCAGGCCTTCGTCCAGCAGGTCCATCAGCCTCACCGTGTCCCCGGAGCGAGTCTTAAACTTCTTTCTGTGGACAAACAGACAAAGACAACACTCAGGCCCTGTTAAAATCCATCTCAAAAACACATCCTTCCTTCCTTCACCAGTAATCTAACATAACTGGATCTGCGACAACTAAGTAGTGTTCCACTTACATGGCTCTATCCAATCATGTTCAATTAATGAAATAATGTTAAATTAGTGATCATGAGAAATGATGTGTGCTTTTCCACTTTCCCGTATTGGACTGTGAACAGCGTTCAACAGTGCTTCAGCTCCCTCCCAGCCTATAGTGAAGTACTAGGCGCTAACCACCACTTAGTTTGCTCCTCTCACCTCCCCTACAGCCTCTTACGACCAACAACCCATTCTCTGCCTGTGTTTGATGTTTTATTAATGCACTAGGTGATATTATCTGCTGGTTAACGAGACTCCTAGTAGCCATACACAACAAGATGATGCGCGACCAATGGGCCAATAGAGCAAATGAATGGACAAATAAAAGCTAAGTGTGCTAATTCAATAGGCTGATGAGGCCACAAGCGGGTGGGTGTTCTCTTGGACGGCCCAGTACAGTATACTGAGCTATGAACACTAAATTAGGCATGTGTCTGTGATTGTTGGAGTATGCCAATCTGGGTCGCATTCATTAGGCACCAAATGGAAGAAAACGTACTGAAACAGGAGGTGCACCCTGGACTTGTCCAATAAGAAGCACTCATTTTCATTTTCTGTTGCAAACTGTTTTAAAACTGTTTTGTTGTTGTGTGCCCTAGCGAATAGGACCCTGGAAAAACGAACTTCAGTAATTTGTAGATACTCACTTGTCCTCTCCCAGCACCACTCCGAAACCAGCGTGCTCCACTCGTGTCACATTGGGGTCGTACCAGCCAATCATCTGAGCCGCTGCAAACACTAGCTGGAAGTGGGTGCCCTGTTGTGAAAAAAACAGACATACGCATAATAAACTACAGCCAAAAAAATTAATAAAAATAAAACGAGTATTGGACACCAGTTAAATGTTTAGACAGAGTTTGACAGGCTAATAGTGACGGTTGCAAAACATTGCAAGTAAGCCTCATGATTTTGCATGTATGATCCATTCCAGTAGAAACTTCTGCAGCATAAAAATTACGGTGAACACTCAGACAAGCCAATGCTTGTGGTGTTGAACTACAGTGAGTGAGCAGTACTCTGGAGTCCCCTACTCACGGCTGTCTCTGACAGCGTCTTTCTTCTCACAGAGAAACCAAGACACAGACGGCTGACCCCAAGTGGATTACATTTTCAGCAGGTGACACCATTGGTGTCAAAGCCAGGACCTCAGAGGCACAACAGAGGTAGCATGGTCCCAGATCTGTTGGTCCCTAATGCTGTCATTGTCAAAGCCAAACATGTATGGCATGACAATGAGTAGGCATGATAGCACAAACAGACTGGCACTCAGGCCTCCCTCCACACCCTTCTCACCTGGCCGCTGTCCGTCACGTAAATGATGATGTCTGCCTTCTCGTCAAAGATACGGTGGCGCAGGGCGGCCAGGTCTGATGTGTCGTAGGTGTAGCCACCGTCAGACTTCACCACTGTCAGGGGGATCTGCTGGCCCGGGGCAAACACTATCTTACGACCCTCGTCCATCTCCACCAGGCCTGGAGGGAGGGAGTGAAAGAGAGTGAGTGATTGAGCGAGCGAGAAAGAGGAGAAAATGACTGGGAGTATTGCTGAGACAACAGTGCCCCCTTCTGGTCACATAGGCCAACTACAGCAAACTGCACAGTACAGCAACCAACCTGAGGCGAAGAGTACATGATGTCCTTCTAGCTCAATATGAATAAGCTGAATATCAACTGAATGACAACGTAAAGCTATCTTTGTTTTGATTGATTTAAACTGAATGACCTTTGGCCTCAAACTCTTTGACCACGGCGGTCATCTTCTCCTGGTAGAAGGACTCTCCTCTCTCGATGATCTGAATGTCCAGACAGTTGTAGATCTTCTGGAATTCTACGAGAGACAAAGACAAGAGTTGGTGGGTAAATCTCTGTTAGAGTACAGTAGCAACATCAGGGGGAAATCAACACTAAACACATTGCATGTCTTTGGATGAGACTTGAGAAAGTGAAGTCACTCGATCAAGGGAAAAAATAGATAAAAGGATGGAGCAACCTAATTGCCCTTCCTCAGCTGTGTCTCCGTGGGCACTGCTGGCTGATAAAGGCATTGGGAACATTGTCTCTCTCTCTCGCTCTCCCTCCCTCCTCCTCCTCCTCCTCCTGTCTCTCCCTGTCTGTCACGTCAAGGTTTAAATCCTCCCAGAGATCGCACACAGTATGGAGAGCTGTGACCTGTCAGAGCTCCGACGCCTCAGGCTTGCCATGACCTTTATCACACACACACACAAAGTCCAATTAAACAGAACTGACAATAGAGCAGTCACCCTGAAAACTAGTGGCAAGAACCTCATCACCCCATGTGAACATTCCATTTTGAAGATTTTAAAAACTCCATGGTGCTGATGAACATCTCAAACTCCAATATGCCCAATGCCACAACTTTATCTGGGTGTCCGATTGTGACCTTTCATTCAAACCTGAACTACTGTAGCCTATATCTTAATTTTTGTGAATTTACTTCTGCTAAATAATGTTATCTTTAGGGCCCTAGTTATCTTTGACTCTTCACAGTACTTGGCATAAGGTCTAACTACCCCTAGATCAAATACTTTATTAGAATTGTTTAACTTTCATCATCCCTTCATCTATCCATTCATCCCACCCACCATTCCTGGAAACGTCACAGATGAGGTTCCATCCTTTGATGAAGGCTGGGTCTTTGCTCTGCAGCTTGACCACACACTGGTAGGCCCTCTTCTTAAAGTCCTCCTCCTCATCAAAACGCTTCTTAGACTCCTGGTACACACAGACAGAGACAGACAGACAGAGACAGACAGAGACAGACAGAGACAGACAGACAGACAGACAGACAGACAGACAGACAGACAGACAGACAGACAGACAGACAGACAGACAGACAGACAGACAGACAGGGAGGGAGGAATCACTCATATCAGCAGGGGAGACAATAGGTAACATATCTGATGACGGCTAGTGAGGAACAGAATGTATTGTATGCCTAGGATAGTCTACACAACTCAAAAGTTGGCCAGAGGAAAGGACATGCCATTTCTGATGCCAAACCCTTTTTCTTGTCTTTTTTTTAACCCACCACCTCCATCTAGTGGTCAACTTTATAGAAAAAGCAGATGTTTTGGGTGGACTCACTTTGTAGAAGGCCTGCAGGTCTCCGATAGGAGGGGACACGGTAAGGTAGTTTGGGAACTTGTCTTGCAGGTGAGCGATGAGCATCCCAAACTGTGTGCCCCAGTCCCCTATGTGATTCAGCCTGGGGCACACAACACAAATAAATGCACAGTGATGACATGGTAAACCAAAACACACACACACACACACAAAAGGATATACTGCAGAGCAGGGTGTCACATAAATAAACTAGCATACGGTGCAATGTGGGGGTGGCTCTGGCTCGGTTGGTATTAATTTGGCTTAGTCATGGTATATTAGTGACTGGCATTTGCTACAGCTGTTTAATAATGTACCACAAAAACTACACACAGTTGAAGTCGTAAGTTTACATACACTTAGGTTGGAGTCATTAAAACTTGTTTTTCAACCACTCCACACATTTCTTGGTAACAAACTATAGTTTTGGCAAGTTGGTTAGGACATCTACTTTGTGCATGACACAAGTACTTTTTCCAACAATTGTTTACAGACAGATTATTTCACTTATAATTCACTGTATCACAATTCCAGTGGGTCAGAAGTTTACATACACTAAGTTGACTGTGCCTATAAATAGATTGGAAAATTCCAGAAAATGATGTCATGGCTTTAGAAGCTTCTGATAGGCTAATTTACATAATTTGAGTCAATTAGAGGTGTACCTGTGGATGTATTTCAAGGCCTACCTTCAAACTCAGTGCCTCTTTGCTTGACATCATGGGAAAATCAAAAGAAATCAGCCAAGACCTCAGAAAAAAATTATTGTAGACCTCCACAAGTCTGGTTCATCCTTGGGAGCAATTTCCAAACGCCTGAAGGTACCATGTTCATCTGTACAAACAATAGTACGCAAGTATAAACACCATGGGACCACGCAGCCATCATACCGCTCAGGAAGGAGATGCGTTCTGTCTCCTAGATATGAACGTACTTTGGTGCGAAAAGTGCAAATCAATCCCAGAACAACAGCAAAGGACCTTGTGAAGATGCTGGAGGAAACAGGTACAAAAGTATCTATATGCACAGTAAAACGAGTCCTATATCGACATAACCTGAAAGGCCACTCAGCAAGGAAGAAGACACTGCTCCAAAACCACCATAAAAAAGCCAGACTACGGTTTGCAACTGCACATGGGGACAAAGATCGTACTTTTTGGAGAAATGTCCTCTGGTCTGATGAAACAAAAATAGAACTGTTTGGCCATAATGACCATTGTTATGTTTGGAGGAAAAAGGGGGTTGCTTGCAAGCCGAAGAACACCATCCCAACCGTGAAGCACAGGGATGGCAGCATCATGCTGTGGGGGTGCTTTGCTGCAGGAGGGACTGGTGCACTTCACAAAATAGATGGCATCATGAGGAAGTAAAATGATGTGGATATATTGAAGCAACATCAAGACATCAGTCAGGAAGTTAAAGCTTGGTCGCAAATGGGTCTTCCAAATGGACAATGACCCCAAGCATACTTCCAAAGTTGTGGCAAAATGGCTTAAGGACAACAAAGTCAAGGTATTGGAGTGGCCATCACAAAGCCCTGACCTCAATCCTATAGAAAATGTGTGGGCAGAACTGAAAAAGCGTGTGCGAGCAAGGAGGCCTACAAACCTGACTCAGTTACACCAGCTCTGTCAGGAGGAATGGGCCAAAATTCACCCAACTTTATTGTGGGAAGCTTGTGGAAGGCTACCAGAAAAGTTTGTCCGAAGTTAAACAATTTAAAGGCAATACTACCAAATACTAATTGAGTGTATGTAAACTTCAGACCCACTGGGAATGTGATGAAAGAAATAAAAGCTGAAAGAAATAATTCTCTCTACTATTATTCTGACATTTCACATTCTTAAAATAAAGTGGTGATCCTAACTGACCTAAGACAGCGAATGTTTACTAGGATTAAATGTCAGGAATTGTGAAAAACAGAGTTTAAATGTATTTGGCTAAGGTGTACGTAAACTTCCGACTTCAACTGTACATTCATAGGTTATTGTTTAGGTACTGTTTCATTCCTATTTTACCATGTACTTTAAGTAAACACCTGGTCATTTCTGTACCATAAAATAAAGTGATACCAGTACACTTCAAAAAGAAACTAACTGTGTATGTTTGTCATATTTTGACTGATGTACTAACCTCAAGACGTTGTAGCCCAGGAACTCAAAGAGACGACACATGCTGTCCCCGATGATTGTGGAGCGCAGGTGACCTACGTGCATCTCCTTGGCGATGTTTGGAGATGAGAAGTCCACAACCACCTAGAAAACACACACACATCCACAGAAGATTCATCCACTGGTTTTCGTGGGACATATCAGATTCAAGCACATTTAAAAATGGAAAAGGGCAGCGGTTGGGTCTGTAAAAGCAGGACGTTTGCCAACCTTCTTCTTGCTCGCTAAGGGAGGAGGTTGGACACCGTTGAGTAGCAGGTTGGTCAGCAGTTTGGACACAAATGATCTCTTAAGCTGAACATTGATGAACCCTGAGAGCACAAAAAGCAATGTAACACCCCTCAGTTCATTGAGCACATGACTCTAATCAATTAAGCTAGAATCCTTAGTTGCTAAATCCATTTTCGGACTTAGAAATTAATGATATATACCCATTGATTATTGAAGAATATAAATGCCTCATGAGCTCAAACTGTCATACCCCATCAGAACCCAAAATAAGCTTGCTTTGCTCCAATGTCAGTCCTTGCATCTATAGCTCAGTCTATGAATTAGTGGTCACATTTCTCCAGGCCCATCCCTCAGCTTTGTTTTTGTTTCAACGAAGGACTCTAGCTTAAATATTGTATGAGGGCAAAAACCTGGTCCAGCAATTTCTGTCTTCTCAATGAGCTCATTGTCAGGAATGTTCTGCAGAATCTTCTCAGCGATCTCCCTAGGGTTAACTTTCAGGCCCTTTGATTTCATCATCTGAAACACAACAAGTCCAAAACAATTACACTCCCATTTCATTCACCCCCTAACAGCTCAAATGAAAGTTGTGCTGTTGATATTTAGGCTATACGCAAAACAATCTCAGAAAGAGCAATAGATACAGACTGAAAGAAAGAGTTACAGTGGGAGAGAGATCGGAGGAACAGAGACGCAACACAAACACATATGAAAACAGGTAACAAAAGAAGAAAAGAAGAGTAAGTGAAAAAGAGAAAGAGATTCAGAGAGAAGAAGAGTCAGAGAATAAGATCCATCAGTGTTCTAGTCCCACCTGGGCCATGGCCATAGCGCTGTTACACTGGTAGTCCCCAAACTTTGCCTGCTGGTTGGGGGTGACGGTCAGGGGAGGGTTCTCCAGGTCGGGGCAGGCCTCCCGGATGGCCTCCCCAAAGATCTCCTGCAGACGCTGGTTGATGTTCATCATGGTCTTACTGCACTGGCTTCTCTCCTCTTGCAGACTCTAAGATAGGGAAAATAGACAGAGCACTTCAATACAATGTATAGAGGACAACCTATAGATAGCAACCCAGCATCTCTCCTCTCCTCCTACAGAATATTTGGGGGAGAGAGACAGCCCTTCAGTAGAACTTACAGAGCAACTCAGCCTCTCTGTCTCTTCTGACCACTAATGAAAGAGGACATAACAGGTGAAACTAAGCATTTAGTCAGCTCCTTTGATTGTCTGATGGCGCCGGAGAAGATGGCTGCCGTTTTACAGCCCTCTAACCAATTGTACTATTATGTGTGTTTTTTCGCGTTATTTGTAATTTATTCTGTACATAATGTTTCTGCCACCATCTCTTATGACCAAAAAGAGCTTCTGGATATCAGGACAGCGATTACTCACCTCGTATTGGACGAAGATTTTTTCTTCAACGAGTCGGACGCGAAGGATATTCTACAGACACCCGACAAGGCCCAAATCCCAGTCATTCGCATGAGAAAGAGACAGATATCGTGGACGTAGGCCGGGGTGCCTTGTAAGGTTTCGACAGCGAGCGAGTAAAACTGCCTCTTCCATCAATCCTATTAGCCAATGTTCAATCATTTGAGAACAAATTGGATGACCTAAGACTAAGGTTATCCTACCAATGGGACATTAAAAACTGTAATATCTTATGTTTCACCGAGTCGTGGCTGAACGACGAAATGGATAACATACAGCTAGCGGGCTATACGCTACATCGGCAGGATAGAACAGCTGACTCCGGTAAGACAAGGGGTGGCGGTCTGTGTATATTTGTAAACAACAGCTGGTGCATAAAATCGAATACTAAGGAAGTCTCGAGTTTTTGCTCGCCTGAGGTAGAGTATCTCATGATAAGCTGTAGTCCACACTATTTACCAAGGGAGTTTTCATCTATATTTTTCGTAGCTGTCTACCTACCCCCACAAACCGATGCTGGCACTAAGATTGCACTCAATGAGCTGTATAAGGCCATAAGCAGACAGGAAAACGCTCATCCAGATGCAGCGCTCCTAGTGGCCGGGGACTTTAATGCAGGGAAACTTAAATCCGTTCTGCCTAATTTCTACCAGCATGTTAAATGTGCAACCAGAGGAGAAAAAAAAACTCCACCTTTACTCCACACACAGAGACGCATACAAAGCTCTCCCTCGCCCTCCATTTGGCAAATCTGACCATAACTCTATCCTCCTAATTCCTGCTTATAAGCAAAAACTAAAGCAGGAAGTACCAGTGACTCGGTTAATAAAAAAAGTTGTCAGATGACGCAGATGCTAAGCTACAGGACTGTTTTGCTAGCACAGACTGGAATATGTTCCGGGATTCTTCAGATAGCATTGAGGAGTACACCACATCAGTCACTGGCTTCATCAATAAGTGCATCGATGACGTTGTCCCCACAGTGACTGTTCGTACATACCCCAACCAGAAGCCATGGATTACAGGCAACATCGGCACTGAGCTAAAGGTAGAGCTGCCGCTTTCAAGGAGCGGGACTCTAACCCGGAAGCTTATAAGAAATCCCACTATTCCCTCCGACGAACCATCAAACAGGCAAAGAGTCAATACTAAGACTAAGATTGAATCGTACTATTCTGGCTCTGACGCTCGTCGGATGTGGCAGGGCTTGAAAACTATTACAGACTACAAAGGGAAGCACAGCCGTGAACTGCCCAGTGACACAAGACACAAGCCTACCAGATGAGCTAAATCACTTCTATGCTCGCTTCGAGGCAAGCAACACTGAAGCATGCATGAGAGCATCAACTGTTCCGGATGACTATGTGATCACGCTATCCGTAGCCGATGTGAGTAAGACTTTTAAGCAGGTCAACATTCACAAGGCCGTAGGGACAGACGGATTACCGGGACGTGTACTCCGAGCATGTGCTGACCAACTGGCAAGTGTCTTCACTGACATTTTCAACATGTCCCTGACTGAGTCTGTAATACCAACATGTTTCAAGCAGACCACCATAGTCCCTGTGCCCAAGGACACTAAGATAACCTGCCTAAATGACTACCGACCCGTAGCACTCACGTCTGTAGCCATGAAGTGCTTTGAAAGGCTGGTCATGGCTCACATCAACACCATTATCCCAGAAACCCTAGACCCACTCCAATTTGCATACCGCCCCAACAGATCCACAGATGATGCAATCTCTATTGCACTCCACACTGCCCTTTCCCACCTGGACAAGAGGAACACCTACGTGAGAATGCTATTCATTGACTACAGCTCAGCTTTGAACACCATAGTGCCCTCAAAGCTCATCACTAAGCTAAGGATCCTGGGACTAAACACCTCCCTCTGCAACTGGATCCTGGACATCCTGACGGGCTGCCCCCAGGTGGTAAGGGTAGGTAACAACACGTCTGCCACGCTGATCCTCAACACGGGGGCCCCTCAGGGGTGCGTGCTCAGTCCCCTCCTGTACTCCCTGTTCACCCATGACTGCATGGCCAGGCACGACTCCAACACCATAATTAAGTTTGCCGACGACACAACAGTGGTAGGACTGATCACCGACAACGATGAGACAGCCTATAGGGAGGAGGTCAGAGACCTGGCTGTGTGGTGCCAGGATAACAACCTCTCCCTCAACGTGATCAAGACAAAGGAGATGATTGTGGACTACAGGAAAAAAAGAGGACTGAGCACGCCCCCATTCTCATCGACGGGGCTGTAGTGGAACAGGTTGAGAGCTTCAAGTTCCTTGGTGTCCACATCACCAACAAACTATCATGGTCCAAACACACCAAGACAGTCATGAAGAGGGCACGACAAAACCTATTCCCCCTCAGGAGACTGAAAAGATTTGGCATGGGTCCTCAGATCCTCAAAAAGTTCTACAGCTGCACCATCGAGAGCATCCTGACTGGTTGCATCACCGCCTGGTATGGCAACTGCTCGGCCTCCGACCACAAGGCACTACAGAGGGTAGTGCGTACAGCCCAGTACATCACTGGGGTCAAGCTTCCTGCCATCCAGGACCTCTATACCAGGCGGTGTCAGAGGAATGCCCTAAAAATGATCAAAGACTCAAGCCACCCTAGTCATAGACTGTTCTCTCTGCTACCGCACGGCAAGCGGTACCGGAGCTCCAAGTCTAGGTCCAAAAGGCTTCTCAACAGCTTCTACCCCCAAGCCATAAGACTCCTGAACAGCTAATCATGGCTACCCGGACTATTTGCACTCCCCCCCCCCCCCCCCCCCCCCCCCCCCCCCCCTCCCTCCCTCCCTCCCTCCCTCTTTTACACTGCTGCTACTCTGTTTGCTATTTATGCATAGTCACTTTAACTCTACCCACATGTACATATGACCTCAATTACCTCGACTAGCCGGTGCCCCCACACATTGACTCTGTACCGGTACCCCACTGTATATTAGCTCCCTACTGCTTTTTATTTTACTGCTGCTCTTTAGCTATTTGCTTTTATTTTTTCTTAATTAACACTTTATTTTACATTTTTCTTTTAAAAAACTGCATTGTTGGTTAAGGGCTTGTAAGTAAGCATTTCACTGTAATGTCTACACCTGTTGTATTCTGCGCATGTGGCAAATAACATTTGATTTGATTTGTATGTGAATTAACAAGAAAGATAGCTCAATCTCATTACATTAATGTAGCCAGAGTGGCTTGTGGAAGTTCCTACAAGTGATCACTCACCCTTTTGAGGACATTGAGGCGGTATTTGAGCTTCACGTTCTCCTCTTTCAGCCCATCCAGGTGTGAGGACAAGCCCAGGTTCTGTGGGTTCTTCAGGCTCTCGATCTCTGCAGTGAGGGAATGGATCTCCAGCTCCTAAACGGAGAAAGGGTTCACTGTCAAGAAAATGTTGGTTGAGGTACAATGTATGACAATATTCAGGACTTTGACTCATAAACTAAGCTTTAGCTACTGATATCAGCACAGATTGAGGAAATCAGATGTCACACCCATCAGAACAAAACTGAAACCTTCAGATAGCTAAGTTTGCTAGCAAATAATTGTCTACTACAGTATAATGTCGATATATGATGAATGATAGCTAGCTAAATGTCTAGATGGGAAGGGCCGCACACTGCATCTTCCTTCATCATCAACATCAATGAAGGTGTTTTCAAGACAACTGGGAACTCGGAGAAGAAAAAAAAACACTAGGTCAAATCATGACGTCAGTGATCTTCAGGTCGAAAGTCAGAGCTCTAGAAAGATGCCCGAGTTCCCGACTTTCAATTCCGAGTTGGATGACGGTTCAATACATTTTTCCCAATCGGATCTTTTTTCGAGTTGGCAGTTGTTTTGAACGCGGCATTAGTGACAGCTGACTTACCGGTCACCTGTCCAGTGGTGTAAAATACTTATGTAAAAATACTTAACTACATTTTAGCAGACGCGCTTATCCAGAGCGACTTACAGTTAGTGAGTGCATACATTTTTCATACTGTCCCCCCGTGGGAAACGAACCCACAACCCTGACGTTGCAAGCGCCATGCTCTACCAACTGAGCTACAAGACAGCCTACTACTTAAGTAGTTTTTTGGGTATCTGTACTTTACTATTTATATATTTGACAACTTTTACTTTATTACATTCCTAAAGAAAATAATGTACTTTTTACTCCATACATTTTCCCTGACACACAAAAGTACTCCTTTCATTTTGAATGCTTAGCAGGGCAGAAAAATTGTCCAATTCACGCACTTATCAAGAACACCGTTGGTCATCCCTACTACCTCTGATCTGGCAGACTCACTAAACACACATGCTTCGTTTGCAAATAATGTCTTTGTGTTGGAGTGTGCCCCTGCCTATCCGTAAATTGTTAAAACAAGAAAATGGTGCTGTCTGGCTTGCTTAATATAAGGAATTTGAAATGATTTATACTTTTACTTTCGATACTTAAGTATATTTTAGCAATTACATTTACTTTTGATACTTAAGTATATTTAAAACCAAATACTTTTAGACTTTTACTCAAGTAGCTAGTATTTTACTGGGTGACTTCCACTTTTACTTGAGTCATTTTCTATTAAGGTATTTGTTTTACTTCTACTCAAGTATGGTAATTGGGTACTTTTTCCACCACTGCATCTGTCTTTTCCCACACACAAACACTGACTGACTGGCTAAGATAACACTTAGACTTAACTCAAGAGCGTCTGCTAAATGACGTAAATGTAATAGCACATTTCAAGGCAGCTAGTAAGCTGCTGCAATATTTACAAGCAAGTTAGCTAGCTAGCTGCCTTGCCACACATTACGTCAGCAACGAGCCCACATGTCCATGTTAGCCGTAACGTTAGCGGAGCTACACTTGCTTAATTTCAGTGCATTCTTGCAAATCAAGAGATATTCGTAAAGTATCAGATCTGACCTGCTGTTGAAGTCGGGACGTGTATTCAGACACAGGATCTCCCATTTTCGGTACAAGTATAGAACAATAAGTTAGCGTTTGCTTCTGTTGCTAAATGAGTTTTAAGGATGTGACTTGAACCCGGCAGCTTAGATGAGGAAGAGGTAATGAAGTTAAATGTCGGAAATTTCATTTACCGCCCTCGTGTGGGGTACCCAATGTACTACCACAGACGAATAGGTAGGTACTACTGCCATAACGTTATGCTTGAACTTTATAACATAGCAACATTTTATTGCTACTTATTGCAGTTTAGTTTTTTGTCAAAGCGTTTGTCAAAATTCAGTGCTCTGCAAATTACCTTCATTGACATTAAATACACCACAGATACACAAAATAGAGGGGAAAGCACAGGCAAGAGTAGAACAAAAGAAATCATGTTTATTTGTGAAACTACAAAACATTTTTTTTTGTGCTGGTGAAATATTTACAATTCTGGTTGACAGTACAGTGTCCATGATAAAATTCACAGCTTTCAGGAGTCTCACTATAAAGGAAACCAACAGCACACCCAAATCACAAAGTGCAATAAATACCATGCTGTATTTCTCAAACCATCTCCATACACATACCAGGCTCATTGCCATCCTTAATACAACATAACAAATAATAATAATAATAAAACAAAAATGCATTTTAACTTCAAAACAATAATTATATCACCACCTACATGAAGACAAATCATTCATGACCAGCATCAGTTTCTGACATGATTTTCTGATTACTCGAAGCAAGACCTACTACATAATTTGTTTCTGATGAAATTGACTTTTCAACAATATACATGCCGGGTGGTGTTATAGAAGTACATTTGAGCCTTTAGTCAATCGTGACTAGCTTCAGTTAATCACATTGTACTGTTCCATCCAGACACAGTGTAATCCAATCAGAAGTCCTAATGTAAGACCTCTCTGTTCCCTCTCTCTATACTGGAGTAAATCGTGATTTCATTTTAAGTAAACAGTTCACATTCAAATGCAAACAGTACACATTATTTGAGGCAACAAATAATGGATGGTGACCACAATTTCAACTCCGGTTAAAATCATATTTAATCTAAACGGCACACTGTCCAAAGGATCCATTCACAGTATACAGTTAATGTCCGATTCCAGTAGAATAGATTGTTGTGCCATGAACAGTGAGTTTCCTTTACAGTGGTGAAGTGCAACATTGTACAGTTTGTAATATTCTAAAGGATGGAAATGGTCCAAAGGAGAAAAAAACTAATATTTTTGTAACATTATATTTCAAACTAAATTAAACTGTGTGTTGGTGTTCAATTTGCAAGGGGTCTCTAGCTAATTGTGTATGACAGAGGCTATAAAGACATCGCACTAACCTAGAGAGGGCGCAAGAATGCAACCCATATTATATCAAGTTGAGGGACTAAGACAGTGTGTTCCTGTTTGCGCCTGTGTGATTAACTACACCTTTAAAACAGAAAAGTGAAACAAAATGACAACATAGAGATTGACAGTGGAGTATCACAATAACCCAAGAAACATTCTTTATCACTAGCTAAAGCTCACAGGTCCAGTTTTTTTATGAAAAGAGTGCACATCAAGGTAAAAGACAACCAGTAAGGAAGTAAGGAAAGGGTAGATGAAAAAAGTATAGTAGGAATGAAACGCTGTATCTGATCTAACATTATTAGTATGGGGTGGAGTAGAAAATCCTTTCTGATGTTCAAATCAGGGTATCATTTTATATGCAGAGTATGAAACATGGAATGTATTCATCAAACTACAAGGCAATGTCAACTGGGCTGAGACACTGGACACCAGTGAGTTCTGCTCATCATTTGCAGAATGTTAGAGCCAATTCATGCCCATTCAAACAAGGTCATGTGCTATTACATCAATTCAGTTCCTGGGCCACTCAGGTGTCATCAACACTGAAGGTGACTGAGGAAGGGAATGTGATTAATTCCACTCTGACTCCTTTCCACATTCAGAGTCATTGTGCTCATTCTATGGCCATATTCAATAAACGTGAACCTGTTTGTTTCAATGTCATCCAGACCTTTGTGGATTGGGCAAATCGCTACAGCACCACAGTGGTATTAGCCTAGTGTTGAATTGAGCTTTATGTCATCTCTGACTACATCAGATATTGGGGTGCTACGTATGTATGGTGTTAAACAGTGTTCCATTGAGAGGGAAAGAAGCTAGCTATGTTTCTGTAGAAAATAAGGTTACATTTCTGGCTTCTCCAATATGAGTAGAATGTAATTCAGGCCTTATATAATAGGTATCACAATCATGCTTGGTCAACACCAAAAAAGGCCTGTGTGAGTAGGATTTGTTAAAGAGCATCTCAAATCTCCAAAACACTCCAGACATTTGCATCTGTGTTGAATATGTGAACAGGGGCCCTTGCCAATGTATATATCCCCTTATGATCAACCCTCCAAACTCACATCAAACACATCTCTATCATCTCAAATGCCATCCAAGTGTTTACAGGGAGTGAGTAGCAAGCTGACTGTTCTGCTCGTCCAGATCACCCACCCTGTACAGTTTCCAGTGGCCTAGTTATAAACAGCTCTCATTTCTCCCTGTAGATCCACTAACACATTTCACTTCTTCTTCATCACATTTCATTAACACAGACGCAGGCACTACGAGTCGCCTGTGAAGATCACCGACATGATCAATCGCTACACAGAGACACATATGTGCTCATGACTCTACCACTGACACATAGAGCAGTGTTGAAAGCCAGTGTTGCCAGGCAAGGCACCATGCAGGACTTCGTCATGTCTTCTAACAGAGAGAAGGCAACATGGCTGGTTTAAGCAGCTCCATATGGTGCTAGTAGTGTAGCCTGGTTCCACATCTGTTTGTGCTGTCTCGCCAACTCCTGTGGTCATTGATGTGACAATGCTCCATGCAGGATGGATACAGAGACCGACCTCATATTATTGATCTCTCTATGTACCAAAGCTTTGTCAGTTTGCTACAAGAGTCCCTAGTACAGCCCCAGACTGGGAGGGAAGAGGCTCTTTGGAAGGGGGCTCATTGACAAATAACCCAGTACAACGCAGGTAGTGTGATAAGGAAAGGTTCACATAGAAAGTACATTTGAGAGATGCAAAAAATGCGAACAGAAGAACAATTGGGATAATGTTTGTATGGTTCTTCAGAATGTCCAGTTACAAGGAATTTAAGGGAGGGGGGTAAAAGGGATGATAGCGGGAAAAATGATCAGACTTTAGGTTAAGATATATATACTGAACAAAAATATAAACGCAGCATGTAAATTTTGGTACCATGTTTCATGAGCTGAAATAAAAGATCACAGACATTTTCCATACGCACAAAAAGCTTATTTCTCTCAAATTTTGTGCACACATTTGTTTACATCCCTGTTAGTGAGCATTTCTCCTTTGCCACGATAATCCATCCACCTGACAGGTGTGGCATATCAAGAAGCTGGTTAAACAGCATGATCATTAAAAGGTGCACCTTGTGCTGGGGACAATAAAAGGCCACTCTAAAATGTGCAGTTTTGTCACACAAAACACAATGCCACAGATGTCTCAAGTTGAGAGAGCGTGCAAATAGCATGCTGACTGCAGGAATGTCCACCAGAGCTGTTGTCAGAGAATTGAATGTTCATTTCTCTACCAAATGCCGCCTCAGTCGTTTTAGAGAATTTCGCAGTATTTCCAACCGGCCTCACAACCGCAGACCACATGTAACTACGTCAGCCCAGGTCCTCCACATCCGGCTTCTTCACCTGCGGGATCGTCTGAGACCAGCCACCAGGACAGCTGATGAAACTGAGGAGTATTTCTGTCTGTAATAAAGCCCTTTTGTGGGGAAAAAACCAATTCTGATTGGCTGGGCCTGGCTTCCCAGTGGCAGTGCCCCTGCCCAGTCATGTGAAATCCATAGATTAGGGCCTAATTAATTTATTTCAATTGATTGATTACCTTTTATGAACTGTAACTCAGTCAAATCTTTGAAATTGTTGCATGTTGCGTTTATATTTTTGTTCAGTATACTTGGGAGTTCTCAGTTGCTCCATGGTTTTTGGATCACTTCACTTGGGTTTTGACTCATACAATAAATGTGGAGTTTATCGTCAGCAATGATCTTCATCAAATGCAAATTAATGATATTCAAATGCACTTCTTTTGTTTTTCACAATCATAATGTGCTTCGTTAAACGGTGATTCAACAATCAATCCAGGCCGGAGAGGAGCACTCCTCCCACTTCTTCAACCCCATCACGCTCTTTTTTAGATTCCTATTTTAAAGTGCACAAACTATCCGATAAACTACCTGAGTATTAGAGAGAGTTAGTGCAGTTCCTACACAATGCTGAGAGATAGTGTGTGCACCAGTGAGAGTCACTACAAGAGCCATGTACAATACAGTATAGATGGCCTGACTGGTAATACATACACAGATGCCATATACAGTATACAGTGTGTGCAGTAATAGGAGAACACAATGCCACTAGGGACAGACAGCCGGTTACAGTATACTGTACAACAAACCACTCATCCGGTCATAGTACACCATCATACAATCAGAATGTTGACTTTGTAGATGTGTTGTGCTATAAATAATGTTGAAGTAAAGTACCTCTGGAGGTCTATATACACATCTTAGATTACAGCGAGTAAGTGGTCCTGGCTAATGAAAATAACAGCATTTGTCATCTCTATATTTTCATATTTCACACAGAAAGCACTGGTGTGGTATTGGAATGACGATTTTACCGTAAAACATGTAAAGATAGCTACCAACATCCACTTATTAGTAACAGTAAAATAATGCTACAGAGAGTGGAGAAGAAAAAAAAAATGCTCTAGTTGCTAGGTGCTAATAACAAGAACTATAAAGAGCAACTGAGAAAAAAAAAAGAAAAGTGTTTTAAAAATGTGATGTTTTTTCCTATACATTATTATTCTCCATTCTTCATAATACCACCAGAAGTCTGTGTCAGAGTAATCTCCTTGGAAACAGCAGTTAAGACTGGAATACTTGAAATGCGCTACACGTCATCGGCAGGCAGATCGGGGATGTTGGTCTTTGCTCGAGTGAAGAAGGCCATCTTCTCTCTGAAATCAGAAGAGTTTCTATCTTCACATGAGCCTAAAAAACACAACTAACCTCCCCTTCTATACAGTGAACAGAACAGATCTTTCTTTTGAATGGTGGGCTATGTGCAGTGCTTGACTTGGGCATGACATCACCGGAGCTGAGTACCGGCACCTCAAATGTTCTACTGCTTGAGGTCCTGTTCCCCTTATAGAATATTAGCTCAAAAGTATTGTGGAGCTCCTGCACCTAAACATTACTGGCACCCAACATGATTACCGGCCCTATTTCAGCCCAAGTCAAGCACTGGCTATGTGTTCACTGAGGCAAACGTCTTTCAGTCACTTCAGAGCCAGGGTCATTCCATCCCAGTCCACTCAGAAGGACAAGCACTGGTCCACATCATAGCCATTTTCCCCATTCAAAATTCCATATCATCTTACATTCCTAGACTAACTGGCATATAAATGGAATGGACCACAAATTGTACTTCATCCAACTGGACCTAATGAGACCTTGTGAGAGAAGCTAAATACAATTTACACATTGACATTCATCCAATACATGGGGAACAAGATATGGCTTAATGGATCAACTCCTCTTACAGGAGGTATGTTACACTGCACTGTTGCTGTAATGTAATGTATTCTACTGTACTGACCTGAAGGACTGGACCTCTGGCACCTCTTTCCTGCTCTGGCCTCGGATCTTGTGGACGTCCTTGGCCGCAGCACGCATCATCTTCTCCACCCTCTGCTCCTGCAGCTGCTCCTCACGGGTCTGCAGACACAACACCACCACACAGATGCTTAGAGAGAAGCTGGAACATAGGCTTAAACAACTCCTCCTGGCCAGTCAACAGCTAGAACAGCATTTAACCCCTCTCTTCATATTTCACAGGTGTGTATTGGAACAACGATGTATAATGAAATCTAAATGTATAACTACTAGGTGAGAGCCTCCTATCTGTCTCAAAGTATTTTTATGAACTGGCAGCCTATTCCCTATATAGTGCACTACTGCACTAGAGGATGCAATTCTAGAGGCACCCAAAAACGTTTTGTGACAGACCGATTGTTGCGGGGGGTCAGTGTCTCTCCCTCTCCCACCTGTTTCTCAGCCTGTCTGAGCAGCATGCGGAAGCGCTCGTCGTCCTGCACCCAGGTGGGGAGGTCTCTAGTGCCCTGCTGCCGGGCCCTCTCCAGCTGCTCCTTGAGCTCCCTGAGGACTCGCAGCTCCTGGGCCAGCCGCGTGTGGCGAGTCCTGGACACCTGCAGGTCCAGCTCCAGGTCCAGACTGGTCCGCAGCAGCCCGTCCAGGCCCCGCATCGGCACCGGGGGCTGGGGGGAGGAGAGGAGGGAGAGGAAGAAGATGGAAACGGTGAGTTTATGATTGATACATTACAGACACTCTCTCTCAGACATGAACACACATGTCTTTCTCTTCCTCACACACATAGGGAGGTACAGGGAGACAGAGCAGCCATTTCCCAGTGGCCCCCTCTCCTCTCCCGTCCCCTCCCCTCCTTTCCTCTCACAGCAGGCAGGCAGACAGATATGTCCTGGACATAGATCAGTCCTTGTCCCAGCATTAATAGAGGCCAGAGAATGTCAGGCCACATTAACAATTCAACCAGCCATTAAATATTAAGACTCACTTTTACTGAAGGCCGGGTCTCTGGTTTAGGGAACCAAAAATGTAAATGTCTCTCTTTGAGAATATCTAATAATGTGGCCACAGCTTGAGACTTGACTGCACTATTAGACTGTCAATAACCAGAACAGTGGGAACAGAGCATAGCACTGGAATTGATAGAGCGAGACTGAACAGGAAGAAAATGTGCTTGTTATACTGAGAACCTTGGCTAACAGAGACAGAAAATGAAAGTTAAATGGGTATTTATAGCGTAAAAACATAGAACGACAGAAAGTATCTCTATGGTGGGATAGGTACTAAGTGGGTAGTGTCTACCTTCTTCATGCGCATGCTGCGTCTCTCTGATGCGTTCCTGATGAATGGAGACTTCTTAGACAGAGTGGAGCTGTCGCTGTCACTGCGGTTGATCTGATGATCACATAGTAGAAAGGCAAAAACAAACAGAATTCAGAAGGTTAGAACAAAAACGGCAAGAATGACAGCTTTTGTTGGGTTAAGGATGCTTTGCAAAGCTCAACTGAAAACAGTAGTCAAAGTGAACTGTATTTTTTATCTTATCCAGAGCAAACTTACACTATATATACAAAAGTATGTGGATTTGGCTGTTTCAGCCACACCTGTTGCTGACAGGTGTATAAAATCGAGCACACTGCCATGCAATCTCCATAGACAAACATTGGCAGTAGAATGGCCTTACTGAAGAGCTCAGTGACTTTCAACATGGCACCGTCATAGGATGCCACCTTTCCAACAAGTCAGCCCTGCTAAAGCTGCCCCGTCAACTGTAAGTGCTGTTATTGTGAATTGGAAACGTCTAGGAGCAACAACAGCTCAGCAGCAAAGTGGTAGGCCACACAAGCTAACAGAACGGGACCGCCGAGTGCTGAAGCGCGATGCACGTAAAAATAATTTGTTCTCTGTTGCAACACTCACCACAAAGTTCCAAACTGCCTCTGGAAGCAACGTCAGCACAAGAGCTGTTCGTCTGGAGCTTCATGAAATGGGTTTCCATGACCGAGCAGCCGCACACAAGCCTAAGATCACCATGTACAATGCCAAGCGTCGGCTGGAGTGGTGTAAAGCTCGCCGCCATTGGACTCTGGAGCAGTGAAAATGCGTTCTCTGGAGTGATGAATCACGCTTCACCATCTGGCAGTCCGACGGATGAATCTGGGTTTGGCGGATGCCAGGAGAACGCTACCTGCCCCAATGCATAGTGCCAACTGGAAAGTTTGGTGGAGGAGGAATAATGGTCTGGGGCTGTTTTTCATGGTTCGGGCTAGGCCCCTTAGTTCCAGTGAAGGGAAATCTTAACGCTACAGCATACAATGACATTCTAGACGATTCTGTGCTTCCAACTTTGTGGCAACAGTATGGGGAAAGCCCTTTCCTGTTTCAGCATGACAATGCCCCCGTGCACAAAGCGAGGTCCATACAGAAATGGCTTGTCGAGATCGGTGCGGAAGAACTGGCCTACACAGAGCCCTGACCTCAACCCCATCGAACACCTTTGGGATGAATTGGAACGGCGACTGCGAGCCAGGCCTAATCGCCCAACATCAGTGCCCGACCTCACTAATGCTCTTGTGGCTGAATGGAAGCAAGTCCCCGCAGCAATGTTCCAACATCTAGTGGAAAGCCTTCCCAGAAGAGTGGAGGCGGTTGTAGCAGCAAAGGGGGACCAACTCCATATTAATGCCCATGATTTTGGAATGAGATGTTTGACGAGCAGGTGTCCACATACTTTTGGTAATGTAGTGTATAATAAGGGCAATTAAAAAAATAAAATAATTGGCTTTGCATTTGACTAAGTTATTATTTAATTTTTTTCATTTTAGCAGACGCTCTTATCCAGAGCGACTTACAGTTAGTGAGTGCATATATTTTCATACTGGCCCCCCTGTGGGAAACGAACCCACAACCCTGGCGTTGCAAGCGCCATGCTCTACCAACTGAGCTACAGGGGATAGAGTAGATACAGTATGTACTAATGTAAATCTATATCTAGTATAGATATGCACTAGTATATTCTAGATATGTACTAAATATGTCCATGACGAGTGTGTTTGCTCACCCGGCAGATGTACTGGCTCTGGGGCCCAGGGGAGAAGGTCTTGGAGCGGATGATGGTGTTTCCCCGGATAAAGGGGTTCTGCTGGGGCACATCGCGGGGTCGATGCTCCTTGGGCCGGACCACCGAGGAGGCAGCACGGTGGTGGTGGAGGCCGGTACTGGTCTCCTTGTTCACCTGGGGACAGAGCACGAGATCAGTCATTTCACATAGTCAAGCTTGGCTTACACATTTACTGTTATGTTCAGTTACAACTGTGATCATGCCAGTCACAGTCATGTCTTAGTTACAGCACATTTTGAGTCTGCATATTAAGGAGTTTGTAGAACTGTTGAGTTTGAAACAAATGAACATACATGTTGTTTTCACACAAATACTTAACATCCTCTGTAAATAGGTAAAATACTGTAATTAAATCATATCAAATGAAATTGTATTCATTTATGCATATGGTATAGTTGATGGAGTCTCTACTTACCCTCTCCGTCATAGTTCCTGTTTGAGTAGGTTTGGCCGCCACCTTCTCTCCCTCCCATTGGCTGCTCTCGGGATATAACTCCTCCTCTTCCTCTAGAGGCTCCTCTACGTGGTTGTCTTCCTCGTCTTCAAATACATCTCCTTCCAGCGCTTCACTGTGCCTATGGAGGGTTGAAACACCGTCAGACTGACTGAGGGAGGGAAGGAGAGGGAGCAACCTGTCTGAGTTATTCACCTATCCCAGTCTACCTGTGAGGGGGTGGAGAGGTGGCTATTGTGCCACTGGGCTTTCAAAATCGCCACTAAACGTCTGAGCTTATTCCCACGGGAGAGATAGATGGGGGGGTGTATCAGAAATTCAAGCACTGTCATTGTGTGTTTGAACCGGCTGGGTGGGATTCCGGATGTGTGTGTGTGTGTGTGTGTGTGTGAGACGAGTATGGAAGAATGGCCTGTCCTCCATAGAGGTTGATAGGGGGAGGAGGAGGAGAGATGAGAAGACAGGAGAATAAAGGCATAAAGGTGCTGTTGTTAGCGTAGGGCGAGCTCACCATTCATCCTCCTCTGGTGCACCCTCCAGACTGCCTGCTACTCTCTCTGTGGTGGGGACAGAGCACTGGAACACACACACACATTGTTACTCATCTATTACATGCATTCATTAGATACATACAGTATGTTTATAAATTAATAACACTTCTATGTAACACGTCTATATACAGATTTACAATAACAGACCCATTTCATTTTGAAATGCAGCCTATTGTTATACAGGAAGAATGAAGGTCTATGTTACCCTTTCAGACTGTGTAGCCATCCCGGTCTCTTTGTCCTTGCTATTGATCTGGGGCATGAAGGAGTAGCTGAGGAGGTTGTAGCACTTGACACACCTCTCCCCAGAGGTGTTGACATCAGCCAGGCTTATCTGAGCACCAGCCTGCCCAGAGGAGAGGAGGGAGGAGGAGGGAGACATTATAAGAGTTAAAAGGCGGTTTACTGAAGGATGTTATACACTGACGTAACAGACTTCATGCATGAGACAGTACGGAGTGTCAAAGGGACAAAAATCCACTTATGCTCACTTATGGCAATAAACCACTGTAATATGATTCAATAACAACAGGAGTGAAAGCTTAAAAGGTATACATTGGGATTTCAATGTACATTTAGCAAACACACCACCGGCAGTGTTTCTATTGTATATGGGTGTGCTGGTGATAAGGACTATTTGTTATGTTGACGCTAACTTACAGATGAGTGTCGTTAAACTCACCAGACACTCCTCGCGGCCAGACGGGCTTGTGTGGCACACGTCCACCCTCAGGGTCTTCTGCCGCAGGACATTGTGGGCCATCTGGATGCCGAAGACTTCGTTGACCTCCACGGCATCCTGGGGGAGAGAGCCGCGCGTCCGGAAGAGGCAGCGGGTGGACTCAGAGCAGGGGAGGACCGCCACACGGATGTACCTACAGAGGGGACACACAGTTAAACACCTAGATAATGTGCACACAGTTGAGTGTACCGTTGAGGACAAAGGACACACAGTACTTTTAATACAAACACACCGACTTAAATGAGAAAATTGGGTACACAGACTCCCACACACAGACAGCACGCAGAGCATTCGGAAAGTATTCCACATTTTGTTACGTTACAGCCTTACTCTAAAATTGATTCAATAAAACATCAATCTACACACAATACCCCATAATGACAAAGAGAAAACAGGTTGTTATTTGTTGTGTGAAAAAATACAATAAAATAAAAACGGAAATACCTTATTTACATAAGTATTCAGACCCTTTGCTATGAGACTCGAAATTGAGCTCAGGTGCATCCTGTTTCCATTGATCATCCTTGAGATGTTTCTACAACTTGATTGGAGTCCACCTGTGGTAAATTCAATTGAGTGGACATGATTTGGAAAGGCACACCTGTCTATATAAGGTCCCACAGTTGACAGTGCACGCCAGAGCAAAAACCAAGCCATGAGGTCGAAGGAATTGTCCGTAGAGCTCCGAGACAGGACTGTGTCGAGGCACAGATCTGGGGAAGGGTACCAAAACATTTCTGCAGCATTGAAGGTCCCCAAGAACACAGTGGCCTCCATCATTCTTAAATGGAAGAAGTTTGGAACCGCCAAGACTCTTCCTAGAGCAGGCCGCCCGGCCAAACTGAGCAATCGGGGGAGAAGGGCCTTGGTCAGGGAGGTGATCAAGAACCGGATGGTCACTCTGACAGAGCTCCAGAGTTCCTCTGTGGAGATGGGAGAACCTTCCAGAAGGACAACCATCTCTGCAGCACTCCACCAATCAGGCCCTTATGGTAGATTGGCCAGACAGAACCACTCCTCAGTAAAAGGCACATGACAGCCCGCTTGGGAGTTGCCAAAAGGCACCTAAAGGACTATCAGACCATGAGAAACAAGATTATCTGGTCTGATGAAACCAAGATTGAAGCATGTCTGGAGGAAACCTGGCACCATCCCTACGGTGAAGCATAGTGTTGGCAGCATCATGCTGTGGGGATGTTTTTCAGCGGCAGGGACTGGGAGACTAGTCAGGATCGAGGGAAAGATGAACGGAGCAAAAGTACAGAAACATCCTTGATGAAAACCTGCTTCAGAGCGCTCAGGACCTGACTGGGGCGAATGTTCACCTTCCAACAGGACAATGACCCTAAGCACACAGCCAAGACAATGCAGGAGTGGCTTCGGGACATGTCTCTGAATGTCCTTGAGTGGCCCAGCCAGAGCACAGACTTGAACATCTATGGAGACACCTGAAAATAGCTGTGCAGCGACGCTCCCCATCCAACCTGACAGAGCTTGAGAGGATCTGCAGAGAAGAACGGGAGAAACTCCCCATATACAGGTGTGCCAAGCTTGTAGTGTCATACCCAAGAAGACTCAAGGCTATAATCGCTGCCAAAGGTGTTTCGACAAAGTACTGAGTGAAGGGTCTGAATACTTATGTAAATGTGATATTTCCGTTTTTTTTAAACATGTTTTTGCTTTGTCATTATGGGGTATTGTGTGTAGATTAATGAGGGGGGGACGACGACAATTTAATCAATTTTAGAATAAGGCTGTAACGTAACAAAATGTGAAAAAAGTCAAGGGGTCTGAATACTTTCCGAATGCACTGTATGCTCACAGACAGTCATCTGAGAGGTGTTTGTTTCACATAACCTAACAAGTAATGACAGTCATTCACTCCTAAAGGAAAGAGAAAAGGCAACTTTGCTACATACATTTTGTGGTTGGGCAGCAGGGTGAGGGCGCTGCAGTTGGAGAGCTGCATGATGAACACGGTGAAACGCTTGTCTTTCACCTCGTACTTCAGGCCCAGTCTGACCTGGGCACAGCCTAGAGGACCTCCCCTCTCCTCACAGCCAAGCAGCAGCTCTGCTGGGGGGACAGGCCTGGGAACAGTGACACATACAACAGGTTTAGGGGTAGATCCACAAAGCAGCTATCAAATACAGTACCTGGAAGCCAGTCCTGGTTTGTGCTTTAGCTATTAACCTTACATTTGAAGTCATGTCACAAAAATTATAGGAGGTGATATCAGTCGAAACAGATCTGGCTACCAGACTTCAAAACAGCACAGTAAGTTGTGAGAGGGACTGGCAACATACAGTATATGACAAAAATACCCTCACGCTCAAGGGCCAAACGGTGCAAACAAAACACAATGCAAATGTGCTGGATGTTTGCTTGACAAATAGTACTGCAGACAGCTTGTCTCCAGCGAACACTTGATGTAATCCAGAGATACTGTATATAATGACGAGATGGTCTTGTCTCGAGCCGCCCTAACAATGGGAGTCGTTGTCCCAAAGGCGGGAAGGCAGGCAATCTGCTTATTGGTCTGCTTATCGTGGACAGATTTTGACGGCAGTAAACCCTCTCGATTTGCCTCTTCCGCACTGATCTGTCTGATAACTCCCAAACACTCATGGGATTGCAAAAAATAAGTTTGGCTACAATATGCTGTCCTAACATTCAAAAATATTACCAAGGTGACATTGTCCACTGAACCCCCTTTCATCCTAAAAAATAAAAAAATAGTATTTTTTATTTTATTTTATTAGGATCCCCATTAGCTGCTGCCAGGGCAGCAGATACTCTTCCTGGGGTCCAAACAGGATTAAAACAATTATATCACAACAGAACGCAACAGCCTACATCCCAAATAAACAATACATCATGCAAGACATCACTACATTACTACTCTACCACCACAAATTCACAACACAACATTTACAACACTACAATATTACAATGTGTGTGCGTATGCGTGTTTGTGTGTGTCTTCACAGTCCGCGTTGTGCTGTGAGGTGTTGTTTTATGTTTTTTTTAAGTCCGATTTTACTGCTCGCTTGAGTTACTTGATGTGAAAGAGAGGTCCATGTAGTCATGGCTCTACAGTATGTGGTACTGCGCGTTTCCCAGAGTCTGTTCTGGACTGTGAAGAGACCCCTGGTGGCATGTCCTGTGGAGTATGTATGGGCGTCTGAGCTGTGTGTTAGCTGTTTGAACAGACATCTTTACTTTGAGCTAGGAGAGATTGACATGCATGTTATTGATATTAGGCCTCCGGGTACATTTACGGGCCAGCCGTGCTGCTCTGGGCCAACTGTAATTTGCCTATGTCTTTCTTTGTAACACTTGACCATATGACTGGGCAGTAGTCCTGGTGTGATAAAACTAGGGCCTGTAGGCCTTGTTTTGTTGATTATGATGTCAAGAAAGCAGAGCAGCGCTTTATCAAGGACAGACCTCTCCCCATCTTAGCTACCGTTGCATCAATGTTTTTGACCACGTCAGTTTACAATCTAGGGTTTCACCAAGCAGTTTATTCTCCTCAACTTGATATATTTAGGACTAGTTTATCACTTGCCACCCATTCTAAAACTGACTGCAGCTCTTTGTTAAGTGCTGCAGTGATTTAATTTGCTGTGGTAGCTGACGTGTATAATGTTGAGTCATCAGCGTACATACAGTGAGGGAAGAAAGTATTTGATCCCCTGCTGATTTTGTACGTTTGCCCACTGACAAAGACATGATCAGTCTATAATTTTAATGGTAGGTTTATTTGAACAGTGAGAGACAGAATAACAACAAAAAAGTCCAGAAGAACGCATGTCAAAAATGTTATAAATTGATTTGCATTTTAATTAGGGAAATAAGTATTGGTTGGCTGTTTGAACCAGTAATGGGTGACTTGCTATTCTTGGGTAGCGGAATGATTTTTGCTTCCCTCCAGGCCTGAGGGCACACACTTTCCTGTAGGCTTAGATTAAAGAGATGGCAAATAGGAGTGGCAATATAGTCCCCTACCATCTTCAGTAATTTTCCATCCAAGTTGTCAGTACCAGGAGGTTTGTCAGAGTTAACCTTACCAAAAACGATAAAACTGTAGCTAATATTAATGCTTTTTTTTGTCATGAGCAAGTCTACCTAATTCTACATCTAGCTAAGGTGTTTTGTGTGGAAGAATCAGTATTTATGAAATTCTAAATCTGCACAAAAATGTGCAAGCTAACGCATAGTGTCTACTTACTGGCTGAACTAGTCTCAAATAAATCCATATGAAACGAAAGGCAGGGATATTAACAACGGCAGTTCACACACTGCTGAATACTCCCTCTACATAGCTAGTTAGTGTAATGAAGTTCTAGCTAATGCACAAATGACTTTTCATGATATCTGTTCTGCAGTGATTAGTGCACCGAGTTCTAAAGCATAGCTGACTGCTCTCTGTGACGTTATTGTGTTGGCCAAATGTTACAAAGTAGTGAGGCACAGTGCCAGTTGTCAGAGTCAAATACATGCTGATTTCTGATAACAGTCCCATAACTTGCCGTACAACTTCATCAACAAGCTGGCAAACTAGCTACCGTATGGCCATTCAAACAAGCTTGCACTAGGCTGCTAGCTGTTTGCTCAGCTTATCGAGCATGATTTGCCGTAGTAGCCAGTGCATCATAGCTACCGAGAGCGGAGTGATTTTCAGATTTAGGAACTAGTGTTAAGCACAATGAGGTTACGTCTCATTCACATTACATCTAAGCAGTCCGTTGCGTTCCACCAGATGTCATTAATTTCAATGGGGACCATCCACAACAGAGTGGTACCGCAGCACCCCCTTGCGGTTGAAGGCTCAGTTGCGAAACGGATGCCACATACTTTGACATTTTCCAAACTTTGTGTCATCTTCAGTGCAGGCAGAGTCAGTCAATAAAACAGGAAGTTACCCAAACGTGACAGGTATCAGTAAACATGAATATAAACTAAACTTATTTGCCGATGATCTGCTCATATACCTAACCAATATTGAAAACTCAATGCATCTCTTGCTAAAAATATTTTCAGAATACTCTTAACATTTCTTTATCCCATTACTCAACAATATGAAAGCAGATCTTTTAAAATGGAACAATCTTCCCATAAATCTTACAGGTAGAATAAACCTCTTCAGAATGGCATGGCTCCCAAAGTTTTTATATTTATTCTCAGTAATACCAATTACCCCACCGAAGACATTCTTTTAAAAAATGTATACTCGGTCATAACAGACTTCATTTTGGCAAATAAAACTCATAGAATAAAAAGGGACGTTTTACATCTCCCTAAGTCTGAGGGTGGTTTTAACCTCCCAGTCTTGGAATTGTATCAACTTGCCACCCAAGGCTTTTACTTGAGACATATTGTTAAATGCACTAAAGACGAACAATGGGTACATATTGAAGATGTGCATGCTCATCCCCAGAAACTTTTCATGTCTATTTTCAAAAGGATAAAGCTAAGAGCATTAACAACTTCATAGTTAAGAACACTATAACAATATGGAAGAAAATGAATTGGATTCTACAAGAACCAATATCACTCCCTAAAAACACAACCCTATGGAACAATCCTTCAGAATGCACCGATAAATTGGTCCACATGTAAAACTAAAGGCATAGAAGCCGTCAATGACTTGGTAATAGGAAATACATTTATTTCCATGACAGAATTAAAACTGAATTTTGGACTAACCAATGCAGATATTTTCAAATAGATGCAACTTAAAAGTTTCATATCACAACATTTCGATTGGAAATCTTTTGGACATCAGAGCAATCTTGAAGGAATCCTATTTGAGTCAGAAAAGGGTATTCATATGATAGGTAAGATATACAAAACTTTGCAGAGAGCCTATCCAACTGACAACCCCTTAGAAAAAAATATAAACTATTGGAACCAAGACATAAAAATAACTGATATTGGCACAAGATGGAGGGAATGTTGGAACATAACTAAAGAAATTACAGGTAACGAAAATGTACCCTTAATCCAGTATACTCATGTATAGAGACCAAAGTTCACAAAGTCTACAGAACAACGACAGAGTCATGTCTTAAGTGTAAAACTAACGACTCAATCCATGCCTTCTGAGAATGCTATAAAGTCCAAAAGTTATGGGCGGAGTTAGAAAGTTGGCTGTTAGAAGTATTACAATGTAAATTTACTTTTAATCTGTCTGTCTGCATATTTCAAGACATGTCATATGAGGGGGCAGTGAGATACCCGATGGGTTGGACGATACTCTTCTTGTCAATGGTCTTGAAAAAACATTTACTTAACTGGAAAATCAACCAATCCTCCATCGTTAAGACAATGGAAAAATCTAATGCGTCATTATCTGAATATTGAAAGAGCGTGGGCGACAGAGAGGAACAAAATGATGCAATTTGAGGACATGTGGAAGAGAATAGTGCAGGCACTGGAGATGGGGGTGAGAACAGATGGGGCAGGAGTGATGTTGTTGATGTTTGTGTGCGTCTGTATGTTGTCTCTTGTATGTTTTGTTTTGTTTGGAGATTTTTTACAAATAAAATCAAGAAAAAAAAAGAAACGGAATTGACCAAACCACAGAACGGCTTTATGGGATATTTAACAGCTTGTAAACAATTACCCATTCCTATAAGTGAGTACTATTTTAATAGTAATGTTAAATAATACACATTGACTGTTGAGCCAATTATTTTATAAACCCGTTTTAGTTTATTGTGATGTAATGACGTTTGTTTTTTATGATAATTATTAGATGGAGGTCGCTAGCTACAGTATCTTCAACCAAGCCTAGCTTTTAGCTAGCTGCTCTGTAAGCTAGCTTAACTTGCTAGAAAGTTAGAGAAACAAGTTAAGGAAAAAGTAACTAAACATGTTTTATGATCACCTGAAACAATATGTTTCTCATGTCTTGAATGAAAATATCATATTTTGCAATCTCCCAAAATAAATGTGATCTTTGAAGAGACTAGGCTCTTCATCTTGTCATGCATTGTGAAACCCTAAGCTCTCCATCCAGTAGCTGAACGAGATTGCGTGATGATGCCGTACGCCGTAATGAAATATGTCACGATGTGTACGTGGCATTAGGTGGATGAGCAAAATTAGTGGTCAATCTTCGTGTAAAGATAATAATAATTTTAAGACAATCATGGTACCAATAATTGCTTCTCAAACACCAGATGTATGTCCTTGAAACGATTATTTAAAATATGTATATATATTTTTTTTTTAAACGCACACAAAGTTAAGTCCCCTGTAGCTCAGTTGGTAGAGCATGGCGCTTGCAACACCAGGGTTGTGGGTTCGTTTCCCACATGAAAATGTATGCACCAGTATGAAAATGTATGCACTCACTAACTGTAAGTCGCTCTGGATAAGAGCGTCTGCTAAATGACGTAAATGTAAATAATTGAGTTGCTAATGGCACCTGCAGTACCCCCCTGTTGGCCTTTAACTTCAGTTACTCAATGAGAGGAGGCAGCACTGAGCTAGCCTGCAACGCCACTTCTTGTAGCTCAAACTGCGCATGTTATGTCTCCATGAGAAGCCATCTGAACCAACTTAATTTGGCTTCAATGCGCTATTGAGTCTTTACATAGGCATGAATGGCGTTATGTGATCGATGGCTTTGTCCATTCATATATACAGTCATTGATTGAGACAATGTTCACTTTAATATAGATAGATAGGGGTGTTAATGAAGCACTATCTTTTCTTACTATCAGTGACGGGTCAGACTCCAGTGTAAAGAACACCTCTCCTCCAGGTGACCCAGTGGCTACTACAGTACCCACCTCTCCGAGGGCTCGTACACCCCGCTGTCACCCGCCACCGACTCATCAGACACTGCTGACGTCACACCCATCTTCTTAGACCCAGCCCCTGCCGTCCCTCGGACCTGCGCTACGCCATCTATGTGAAAATGGGGTTGGAAAGAGGAGGATAGGAAAAGAGGAGTGTAGAGAAAGACAACACCTTGTCACAACCTTTCCCCCGTTGCAGCCATGGGAACCGGTGTTGAGTTGCATAGCTGGAGTAGGTTCACTTTACAACACCACCACACAGGTAACGGTGGGCCAGAAAGTATTTGATCCCCTGCTGATTTTGTACGTTTGCCCACTGACAAAGACATGATCAGTCTATAATTTTAATGGTAGGTTTATTTGAACAGTGAGAGACAGAATAACAACCAAAAAATCCAGAAAAACGCATGTCATAAATGTTATAAATTGATTTGCATTTTAATGAGGGAAATACGTATTTGACCCCTCTGCAAAACATGACTTAGTACTTGGTGGCAAAACCCTTGTTGGCAATCACAGAGGTCAGACGTTTCTTGTAGTTGGCCACCAGGTTTGCACACATCTCAGGAGGGATTTTGTTCCACTCCTCTTTGCAGATCTTCTCCAAGTCATTAAGGTTTCGAGCCTGACGTTTGGCAACTCGAACCTTCAGCTCCCTCCACAGATTGTCAATGGGATTAAGGTCTGGAGACTGGCTAGGCCACTCCAGGACCTTAATGTGCTTCTTCTTGAGCCACTCCTTTGTTGCCTTGGCCGTGTGTTTTGGGTCATTGTCATGCTGGAATACCCATCCACGACCCATTTTCAATGCCCTGGCTGAGGGAAAGAGGTTCTCACCCAAGATTTGACGGTACATGGCCCCGTCCATCGTCCCTTTGATGCGGTGAAGTTGTCCTGTCCCCTTAGCAGAAAAACACCCCCAAAGCATAATGTTTCCACCTCCATGTTTGACGGTGGGGATGGTGTTCTTGGGGGTCATAGGCAGCATTCCTCCTCCTCCAAACACGGCGAGTTGAGTTGATGCCAAAGAGCTCGATTTTGGTCTCATCTGACCACAACACTTTCACCCAGTTCTCCTCTGAATCATTCAGATGTTCATTGGCAAACTTTAGACGGCCCTGTATATGTGCTTTCTTGAGCAGGGGGACCTTGCGGGCGCTGCAGGATTTCAGTCCTTCACGGCGTAGTGTGTTACCAATTGTTTTCTTGGTGACTAAGGTCCCAGCTGCCTTGAGATCATTGACAAGATCCTCCCGTGTATTTCTGGGGTGATTCCTCACCGTTCTCATGATCATTGCAACTCCACGAGGTGAGATCTTGCATGGAGCCCCAGGCCGAGGGAGATTGACAGTCCTTTGTGTTTCTTCCATTTGCAAATAATCGCACCAACTGTTGTCACCTTCTCACCAAGCTGCTTGGCGATGGTCTTGTAGCCCATTCCAGCCTTGTGTAGGTCTACAATCTTGTCCCTGACATCCTTGGAGAGCTCTTTGGTCTTGGCCATGGTGGAGAGTTTGGAATCTGATTGATTGATTGCTTCTGTGGACAGGTGTCTTTTATACAGGTAACAAACTGAGATTAGGAGCACTCCTTTTAAGAGTGTGCTCCTAATCTCAGCTCGTTACCTGTTAAAAGACACCTGGGAGCCAGAAATCTTTCTGATTGAGAGGGGGTCAAATACTTATTTCCCCTATTAAAATGCAAATCAATTTATAACATTTTTGACTAGCGTTTTTTTTCTGGATTTTTTTGTTGTTATTCTGTCTCTCACTGTTCAAATAAACCTACCATTAAAATTATAGACTGATCATTTCTTTGTCAGTGGGCAAATGTACAAAATCAGCAGGGGATCAAATACTTTTTTCCCTCACTGTGTGTGTGTGTGTGTGTGTGTGTGTGTGTGTGTGTGTGTGTGTGTATATATATTCACATTAATATTTTTCTTAATGTGTTGCTGACACTGCCATTGCTCTGATTTGTAATGTGTTGTGTGGATCTCAAACTGTTGCAAATTATTTAAATAATTCAAACATTCATTCTTTATGGATCACAATGGAGATTACTATATACAGTGGGGGAAAAAAGTATTTAGTCAGCCACCAATTGTGCAAGTTCTCCCACTTAAAAAGATGAGAGAGGCCTGCAATTTTCATCATAGGTACACGTCAACTATGACAGACAAATTGAGAAAAAAAAATCCAGAAAATCCCATTGTAGGATTTTTAATGAATTTATTTGCAATTATGGTGGAAAATAAGTATTTGGTCACCTACAAACAAGCAAGATTTCTGGCTCTCACAGACCTGTAACTTCTTCTTTAAGAGGCTCCTCTGTCCTCCACTCGTTACCTGTATTAATGGCACCTGTTTGAACTTGTTATCAGTATAAAAGACACCTGTCCACAACCTCAAACAGTCACACTCCAAATTTCACAATGGCCAAGACGAAAGAGCTGTCAAAGGACACCAAAAACAAAATTGTAGACCTGCACCAGGCTGGGAAGACTGAATCTGCAATAGGTAAGCACCTTGGTTTGAAGAAATCAACTGTGGGAGCAATTATTAGGAAATGGAAGACATACAAGACCACTGATAATCTCCCTCGATCTGGGGCTCCACGCAAGATCTCCCCCCCGTGGGGTCAAAATGATCACAAGAACGGTGAGCAAAAATCCCAGAACCACACGGGGGGACCTAGTGAATGACCTGCAGAGAGCTGGGACCAAAGTAACAAAGCCAACCATCAGTAACACACTACGCCGCCAGGGACTCAAATCCTCAATGCGAGACGTGTCCCCCGTTAAGCCCTACATTTTCCGGGCCCCTCTGAAGTCATTTGATGATCCAGAAGAGGATTGGGAGAATGTCCATGTCAATGAAAAAAAAAAAAAAAAAAAAAAAAAAAAAAAAAAAAAAAAAAATTTAAAAATTTTTGGGGTTTTTAAAAAAACTCCAAAAAAAACCCTTTTTAAAGTTTGGAAGGGGGAAAAAGAAACTGGAGGGTTTTTGCAAAACCCCAAAACCCGCCCCAAAACCTAAAAAATTTGGGAGCCTGACGTTGGCAACTCGAACCTTCAGCTCCCTCCACAGATTGTCAATGGGATTAAGGTCTGGAGACTGGCTAGGCCACTCCAGGACCTTAATGTGCTTCTTCTTGAGCCACTCCTTTGTTGCCTTGGCCGTGTGTTTTGGGTCATTGTCATGCTGGAATACCCATCCACGACCCATTTTCAATGCCCTGGCTGAGGGAAAGAGGTTCTCACCCAAATTTGACGGTACATGGCCCGTCCATCGTCCCTTTGATGCGGTGAAGTTGTCCTGTCCCCTTAGCAGAAAAACACCCCCAAGCATAATGTTTCCACCTCCATGTTTGACGGTGGGGATGGTGTTCTTGGGGGTCATAGGCAGCATTCCTCCTCCTCCAAACACGGCGAGTTGAGTTGATGCCAAAGAGCTCGATTTTGGTCTCATCTGACCACAACACTTTCAACCCAGTTCTCCTCTGAATCATTCAGATGTTCATTGGCAAACTTTAGACGGCCCTGTATATGTGCTTTCTTGAGCAGGGGGACCTTGCGGGCGCTGCAGGATTTCAGTCCTTCACGGCGTAGTGTGTTACCAATTGTTTTCTTGGTGACTAAGGTCCCAGCTGCCTTGAGATCATTGACAAGATCCTCCCGTGTATTTCTGGGGTGATTCCTCACCGTTCTCATGATCATTGCAACTCCACGAGGTGAGATCTTGCATGGAGCCCCAGGCCGAGGGAGATTGACAGTCCTTTGTGTTTCTTCCATTTGCAAATAATCGCACCAACTGTTGTCACCTTCTCACCAAGCTGCTTGGCGATGGTCTTGTAGCCCATTCCAGCCTTGTGTAGGTCTACAATCTTGTCCCTGACATCCTTGGAGAGCTCTTTGGTCTTGGCCATGGTGGAGAGTTTGGAATCTGATTGATTGATTGCTTCTGTGGACAGGTGTCTTTTATACAGGTAACAAACTGAGATTAGGAGCACTCCTTTTAAGAGTGTGCTCCTAATCTCAGCTCGTTACCTGTTAAAAGACACCTGGGAGCCAGAAATCTTTCTGATTGAGAGGGGGTCAAATACTTATTTCCCCTATTAAAATGCAAATCAATTTATAACATTTTTGACTAGCGTTTTTTTTCTGGATTTTTTTGTTGTTATTCTGTCTCTCACTGTTCAAATAAACCTACCATTAAAATTATAGACTGATCATTTCTTTGTCAGTGGGCAAATGTACAAAATCAGCAGGGGATCAAATACTTTTTTCCCTCACTGTGTGTGTGTGTGTGTGTGTGTGTGTGTGTGTGTGTATATATATTCACATTAATATTTTTCTTAATGTGTTGCTGACACTGCCATTGCTCTGATTTGTAATGTGTTGTGTGGATCTCAAACTGTTGCAAATTATTTAAATAATTCAAACATTCATTCTTTATGGATCACAATGGAGATTACTATATACTCCACTACACCCCACCTCATAGTAACACAAGTGGTGGTGTAAAGTACTCAAGTAAAACACTTGAAAGTACTACTTAAGTAGTTTTTTGGGGTATCTGTACTTTACTTTAATATTTATATTTTTGACAACTTACTTCACTACATTCCTAAAGAAAAGTATGTACTTTTTACTCCATAAAATTTCCCTGACAACCAAAAGTACTCATAACATTTTAAATGCTTAGCAGGACAGGAAATTTGTCTAATTCACACACATATCAAGAGAAGATCCCTAGTCATCCCTACTGCCTCTTATCTGGGGGACTCACTAAACACATGCTTCGTTTGTAAATGCTGTCTGAGTGTTGAAACATGCCCCTGGCTATCCGTAAATAAAAAATAGTAAATGATGCCGTAAGGAATTTGAAATTATTTATACTTTTACTTTTGATACTTAAGTATATTTAAATCCAAATACTTTTACTCAAGTGGTATTTTACTGGGTGACTTTCACTTGAGTCATTTTCTATTAAGGTATCTTTACTTTTTCTCAAGTATGAAAATTGGGTACTTTTTCCACCACTGCACAGTCGCAGTTCATACAATGACTCTTCTGACAATGCTGTACCAATGTCAGATAATAGACAGTGACTGTACCTTTAAGCACCTCTCCAGTCATGGCCTGCTTGGTGTCCATCTCCACCCCTCCACCTCCACGGTGCTGCTGCTCCTCCCTGTCCAACCCCAGCTCTGTCAGCCTGCTATGCAGCTCCACGTCCAGCCCCCCCAGGCCCCCCCCCACTGCAAACCCCTCCCCTGAGAGGAATGTGGAGTCCGTGACCAGGGGCGAGCAGGGTGGCGAGAGCGACGACAACGAAGACCTCGGCGACAGCGAGCTCATGGACCTCGGCGTCTCTGAAAGTCTCAGCGCCTGTAGCCTGGTGCCGGCCTCCGCTCCCCCGCCGACAACACCCCCCGTGTCCCCCCAGGTCCCGGCATCGACTACGGGGACCACCTCGTGCTCGTGGATGGTGGTGATGGAGCTGGAGGGCCGGTAGCTGATCCCCGGGCCGCCCTCCTGCAGTAGGGTTTCCAGTTTGTTCTGGAAGTCGAGGTCTCCCAGCTCGGGCTGCTCCAGGTAGATGTCGGTAAAGCTCAGGGAGGAGGTGGAGCCCAGGGAGGATGTGGTGGCCAAAGAGCCCCGGCTGGAGGTCAACGAGCCACGGCTGCTGCCTGACGAACACGACAGCGTGCTGGCCGACAGACTGTAGGGAGAGAGGGAAGAGAGGGTTGGATGGGGATAAGGAGGGAAGAGAGAATGAGACAGAAAGAAGGCATAGAGAAGAGAAGAGAGAGGGGATGGGTGTAGATGGGGAGAAAGAGAGAGGCAGAGAGGAGAGGATTGGAGGGGGAGAAGGAAGGAGGGACATAATGAGACAGAAAGAGGGCAGAGAGGAGGGAGAGAGAGAGAGAGAAAATTGGGGCCAGAAAGAAAAGGAGAGCGGGAGAGAGAAAAACAGAGGGAATGGGTGATAAAGCGAACGAGGGACCAAGCGACAGAGATAAAGAGAGGGAGAGAAGACCACAGTGTTAGAAGCGCTAGGAGCACACTCCAGGCAGACCTATGCCTTCCGTAGCCATTCCCCTGTCTTTGTGGGCACTGGAAACCCTATTTTCCTCCCCTCTTTTAGCCCTCCGTGACTTCAAATGCAGTTTCTGCTCTACAGCAAACACCCTAATTATGGCTTGGCAAGCGCATAAGGAATGACACAGGGGAGTTTCTCTGCATTTCAGCCCTTTGATGTACTGTATATCAGCCAGAAACAGAGGATGAATTAGGCATGATAGGAGAACAAAAACACAGAGACAGACACAGAGAGAGAGAATCGCTATTATTACAGTTTGTGCCGTGAAAAAGTATTTGCCCCCTTTCTGATTTTCTTTATTTTTGCATATTTTTGATACTGAATGTTATCTGATCTTCAACCTAAACCTAATACAGCGCATTCGGAAAGTATTCAGACCCCTTGACTTTTTCCACATTGTTACGTTACAGCCTTATTCTAAAATGGATTATATTCATTTTTTTCCTCATCAATCTCCACACAGTAACCCATAATGACAAATCAAAAACAAGTTAAGAATGTTTGCAAATGTATTAAAAATAAAACAGAAATACCTTATTTACATAAGTATTCAGACCCTTTGCTATGACACTCGAAATTGAGCTCAGATGCATCCTGTTTCCATTGATCATCCTTCAGATGTTTCTACAACTTGATTGGAGTCCACCTGTGGTAAATTCAATTGATTGGACATGATTTGGAAAGGCACACACCTGTCTATATAAGGTCCCACAGTTGAAAGTGCATGTCGATCAAAAACTAAGCCATGAGGTCGAAGGAACTGTCCATAGAGCTCCGATACAGGATTGTGTCAAGGCACAGATCTGGGGAAGGGTACCAAAAACATTCTGCAGCATTGAAGGTCCCCAAGAACACAGTGGCTTCCATCAATTTGAAATGGAAGAAGTTTGGAACCACCAAGACTCTTCCTAGTGCTGGCCGCCCGGCCAAACTGAGCAATCGGGGGAGAAGGGCCTTGGTCAGGGAGGTGACCAAGAGCTCCAGAGTTCCTCTGTGGAGATGGGAGAACCTTCCAGAAGGACAACAATCTCTGCAGCACTCCACCAATAAGGCCTTTATGGTAGAGTAGCTAGACAGAAGCCACTCCTCAGTAAAAGGCACATGACAGCCCGCTTGGACCTTGCCAAAAGGCACCTAAAGGACTCTCAGACCATGAGAAACAAGATTCTCTGGTCTAATGAAACCAAGATTGAACTCTTTGGCCTGAATTCCAAGCGTCACGTCTGGAGGAAACCTGGCATCCTCCCTACGGTGAAGCATGGTGGTTGCAGCATCATGCTGGGGGGGATGTTTTTCAGCGGCAGGGACTGGGAGACTAGTCAGGATCGAGGGAAAGATGAACGGAGCAAAGTACAGAGAGATCTTTGATGAAAACCTGCTCCAGAACACTCAGGACCTCAGACTGGGGCGAAGGTTCACCTTCCAACAGGACAACAACCCTAAGCACACAGCCAAGACAACGCAGGAGTGGCTTCGGGACAAGTCTCTGAATGTCCTTGAGTGGCCCAGCCAGAGCCCGGACTTGAACCCGATTAAACATCTCCTGGAGAGACCTGAAAATAGCTGTGCAGTGACGCTCCCCATCCAACCTGACAGAGCTTGAGAGGATCTGCAGAGAAGAATGGGAGAAACTCCCCAAATACAGGTGTGCCAAGCTTGTAGAGTCATACCCAAGAAGACTCAAGGCTGTAATCCCTGCCAAAGGTGCTTCAACAAAATACTGAGTAAAGGGTCTGAATACTTATGTAAATGTCATATTTCTGTTTTCTATTTGTAATACTTTTGCACAAATTTCAAAAACCTGTTTTTGCTTTGTCATTATGGGGTATTGTGTGTAGATTGAGGATGAAAATAAACAATTTCATCCATTTTAGAATAAGGCTGTAACGTAACAAAATGTGGAAAAAGTCAAGGGGTCTGAATATTTTCCAAATGCACTGTATTAGATAAAGGGAATCTGAGTTTACAAATAACAACAAAAATTTATACTTATTTTATTTATTTAATTAACAAAGTTATGTAACACCCAATCCCCCTGTGTGAAAAAGTAATTGCCCCCTTACACTCAATAACTGGTTGTGCCACCTTTAACTACAATGACCGCAACCAAATGCTTCCTGTAGTTGTTGATCAGTCTTTCACATCGCTGTGGAGGAATTTTGGCCCAGTCTTGCATGCAGAACTGTTTTAGCTTAGCGACATTTGTGGGTTTTCAAGTATGAACTGTTCCTTCTATTAAGGCAAGTCGTCCAGATACTGAGGCCGCAAAGCATCCCCAAACCATCACACTACCACCACCATGCTTGACTGTTGATTTGAGGGTCTGACTATGGAACGCAGTGTTTGGTTTTCGCCAGGCATAATGGGACCCATCTCGTCCAAAAAGCTGACTCAAGTTTGGCAAAAAGCACCTGGAAGCACCTGGATGAGCATCAAGACAGATGGACAGATGAGTCAAAAGTATAACGTTTTGGATGACATGGGTCCCATTATGCCTGGCTAAAACCAAACACTGCATTCCACAGTAAGAACCTCATACCAACGGTCAAGCATGGTGGTAGCAATGTGATGGTTTGGGGATGCTTTGCTGCCTCAGGACCCAGACAACTTGCCTTAATAGAAGGAACCATGAATTCTGCTCTGTATCAGATAATTATACAGGAAAATGTCAGGCCATCCGTCTGTGAGCTGAAGCTGAAGCACAGCTGGGTGATGCAGCAAGACAATGATCCAAAACACACAATCAAGTCTACATGAAAATGGCACAAAAAAAAAGAACAAATCTGAAGTTTTGTGAAGTTTTGGAAAGTCCAGACCTAATCCCAATTGAGATGTTGTGGCAGGACTTGAAACGAGCAGAGCATGCTCGAAAAGCCACAAATGTCACTGAGTTAAAGTAGTTCTGCATGGAAGTGGGCCAAAATTCCTCCACAGCGATGTGAAAGACTGATCAACAACTACATTAAGCATTTGGTTGCAGTCATTGCAGCTAAAGGTGGCACAACCAGTTGAGTGTTAGGGGGCAATTACTTTTTCACACAAGGGCATTGGGTGTTGCAGAACTTTGTTTATGAAATAAATGAACTGTCATTGTTGTGTTATTTGTTCACTCAGGTTCCCTTTATCTAATATTAGGTTTTGGTTGAAAATCTGCTAACATTCAGTATAAAAAATATGCAAAAGTAGCAAAAATTAGAAAGGGGGCAAATACTTTTTCACAGCACTGTACTTGTTTGATTATCACTGTTTACCTATTAAAAGAGCTTGAATACAGTATAGGGCGTTCCTTCACTGCTCTAGAATGTAGTGAAATACGGGTAAATTCAAGAGGGTGCTACTAAATTAACGTCTAAACCTAGTTTTCATTATGAATCACATACTATGAATCATTAGATTGTTCTCTACAATATTACAACCTTAATATGCTTGTACTTAACAGTGTTGATTAAATAAGAACGTTAGTTTGTTGTGAACGTTGCTAATTTAGACCGCGCAGCTCTTGGTATCTTTTCCATATTTCTGCGTTGGGAGGTGGTAACATTAGGAGGCGTTTCAGCGCTTTGGACCAATCAAAATGAACTTGATACCCTCGTCATTTTCATCTACAGATCTGTGGCTCTCTATTCCTCTAACCCCGGTCAATCAATGTTAAGAGGGGCCGTTTCTATGGCAATTTAAAAGGGGGAGACTCAGAAATCCATCATGAAAATTGGAACAGATTTTTTTTCAGGGAGTGATTTCATTTAGAAAAAGCCCATGTTATCACACACGAACCTGCAGCCACTACCTACCTTATCAGTTGATGATTGAAGTTAGCACCGTTCTGCCCATGGAGCACTGACAGTTCTATTGAGCAGCGACCACTTTTTGGCCATAGCCATAATGACATTCTATTCACTCTAATCACGCTAAATTCTCAGAGTAAATAGTCTGTAACTTTTGAACTATATATGGTAGAGACATGTTGTTTTTCTGATGAAATTCTATTGAATTAATATTTTCATAAACATTGAATTAAATAATAATTGTATGTGTGAACACCCTATACAGTATACGGCTCTTACAGAGACTTTGCATCATCTTATAAAACACAGCTTCAGTTTCACAGTGAACACATTTCTGAACTGCTAATTTGTGTTTGCGAGCTTAAATTCAAATTGACAAGACTATGTGACTGAAGTGAGGAGGAACCACTAGCGGTTGAAGATAACAGGAGAGCTACCCTCTGAGGCACCTTTCATCTTGAGCTTTTAGAGAACATTTTAAATACTCTTTGTCCTATCCCTCCCTCATACTCTTTTAAGACCAACACTCCCTCATAGAACTGAATGAACCATACAAGCCACTCAGAAGATAAAATACCGTAGTCTAGAACAGACCTCGTGAATTTACGGGGTTCAAGAAATGAAAGATAAAATCCTTTCAGGTGAATGAGGGGAATGTGATCTTCACCATTCCCCAGCTCCCCTGTAGACCTTGGATTAAAGTTTCACTCTTTCCCATCAAAGGGTAGCGAGTAGGCTTAGGGGACCAGGCAAGGCCGGGTTGTGATGTTTATTAAAATACCTGATGAAACAGCTTGCAACTCTACAGTTGCCTCAGAGGGAAAATGGGTTTGTTGGATGAAAGTGTTGAATGTTCAGAAGCACTAAGCCCATTTTGAGATGTGAGAGGTTAGATAGGAGAAGAGACTGTGCTCAGAAGTGTGTAGTGATTAGTGAACAACTTTAGAGCAGAGAGTACAGTAGTAGTGTACCATTACACCTTGGTGACTGTAACCTCACCTGACCAAGACCTCCATGGTTAAAAGGTTGCCATGTCTCCATGTAGACAATAAAATGATGTCTTAATCGGTTTTCATTTTGAATGTGCACATTGAGTTGTGCAATAGGAGTTTAAATGCTTAGTAGATACATTTAAGTGAGTGTGCCTCCTGAACTGACAGTGTGGTAGTGTTGGGAGACAGTAGCTGAATGTGTTGTATAGACGGGTGAGTGTGTGTACCTCTTGAGCTGAGTGTGTAGTGATGAGGCCAGGCGAACCATCTCCTCCAGCTCTCTCACCAGCTTGTTTCTCTTACAGTGCAATCTCAATCTGATAGAAAACAAAACATGTTAGGTCACAGCCTGATTGAAAAGATATACAGCATTATAGACACAGTTATAAGAACAAAAGACAGACACTTCTGTCTCATAAAATACATCTTATTATCCAGTTCTTTATTTATTGGGGGAGTGTGTCAGTGTGATGAGGCTTTAATGGAAACAGGCCATAACATCGTAACTGAGTCTTTTGATCATCTTCCAGGCCGCGGTTACAGAACCAGCAGTTAGAAAAAGGCATCTTTTGTGTCCAACCTACATCCCCGGTTTGTGCCGCTCAGGTTACAGGAAGGGAGAAAGCAGAGAGGGAACTCAATGCAGTTACAGTATTGAGCACAGAGAACAAGGTAGCTGTTTAGGAAGGCTAGAGGGGGAATATGAATATGAGAGAGAGAGAGAGAGAGAGAGAGAGAAGGGAATGTGTGTGTGTGTGAGAGAGAGAGAGAGAGAGAGAGAGGAATACGAGAGAGTGTGCCGCAGCCACAAGGCCCAATTGTTGTAGTCCCCTTGGTTACTTGATCCAGTGCAGGTGTCCAATCACTAAAGGGTAAAAATGCACCTTACAGAGGGCCAGTGATGGGTAAAAGGCTAGGGGGGAGGGGGGAAGGGGTTCTACACTACAGTACATACACTATCCACGTCTACAGTCTGTGATCCAATTACAACCATGAGCCATGAATGTCATGAAAAAAGGTTATGCGGATCGAAGCATCCAACACAACAAAAGGTGCACAGGTGTGTTGTGTGTCTGGGAGTAACTCTTACAGGGTCAACATACACAATGTTAGGTTAACATAGAGAGCACAGTGTTGATGCTTTTCAACCTGTTTGACAGTGTTTTCTTGAACCCAGTTGGAGACGTCGGTCTGTTTTCCAAAGCTAGTGTTCAGTCTAGTTTCTATTTGTTACAGAGCCACGGGCCCAGTCCATCACCAGGTCCACATCAGGGAGTAGACCTTTTGTGTTTATGTAACAGTCATATCAGGTGCTGCACCTGAGGCACTTGCACAATGTCTTTTCACTACCTATCTATTCCCCATCTGTGAGTATACTGCAGCCTAGTTCCAGTGGGATTCCAATGGCCCCCTCTCTCCTTCACACATCAGACGCGCCGACCCGTTGTCTGGCTAGCTTTGAAATGTGATGTATAAATGAATAAAAAATGCACTCTTTTGGTGAGGTGCTGACTAAAGGAAATATAACTAACGCCAAAAAGTGGCAATAAAAGTTTCCTGCGAAGACAGAAGAGTGGATTACTTTAATTTAAATCTCCTGTATCATTGTATGTGACCATGATGCTTTCCTGGTGTGCAGCTCTAGTCCCCCTCTGTTATCCCTCCTTCCCTGACCGTGACCTTACCCAGGGATGGAGTGATGGCCATCCCTCAATATGTCTGTGAGCCGTAGGCTGACCAATGTTTCCCCCACCATTACTTAGTTGGAGATAAACGAAAGAGGGCACATCACTCCCATCACCTCCCCTGCTCACCTCTCAGTCAGGGCCTTGCTCTGGTTGTCCCTGGCAGCCTGCAGGTCTCTCTCAAGCATCTTCTTCTCAGTCTCAATCTTCTGCTGGTCATTGGGCGCTCTCTTGCAGGGCTTGATGTACTGCAGCTCCTTGAGTAGCTCCTCCTTCTCATTGATGAGGATCAGGCGGTCGCGCTCTGGGTCTAGAAGCCCCGGCCAAGCCTCACTGTCCAGTTTGGCTATCTGCACCTCGATGGTGGCAATCCTGGGGGTGGAGGGAGGAGAGCATAGATATCATATAATTCATGTTATTTTATGTTGTATTTAATTGTGTGAAGGAGAGAAGGTTTAGAAGAGATATAATATGGCTTTCAATATGTTATATAAGTCATTATAAGGGCTCATGAATGCTCATAGCAAGTTATAAAGTCACTAGACTGAAACTTGATGATGGGTTGTGTTGGGAATGAGTAATCTGGGTCAGGGGTTTTCTTTTTTGGGAATAATATTTTAAAGGTTGTTTTTATGTGAAAAATAATTATTTTATAAATATAGCTGCTGCAACAGAATACCATCATGGATACCATTTTAATGTCTCTGTGTCCAGTATGAAGGAAGTAAGAGGTAGTTTCACCAGCCAATGCTAACTAGCGTTAGCGCAATGACGAAGTCTACATGAACAGTTAGCAGGCTAGCTGTTCCTGTTCATCCGACTCTGGGGAAGTAGATAAATGGCTTCATTGCCAGTCATCGGAGCTAATTAAATGGGGGGTTTTATGTATAGAAAATTCTTAGGCGGGCCATCTGTTTCAATATAGAAAAACTGTTTCTGTGTCAACTTAAAATGACTAGAACCAGATAGAAAGCATGCCAAAAAGATATTGAACTAACTATCTACAGTGAGGGAAAAAAGTATTTGATCCCCTGCTGATTTTGTACATTTGCCCACTGACAAAGACATGATCAGTCTATAATTTTAATGGTAGGTTTATTTGAACAATGAGAGACAGAATAACACAAAAACGCATGTCAAAAATGTTATAAATTGATTTGCATTTTAATGAGGGAAATAAGTATTTGACCCCTCTGCAAAACATGACTTAGTACTTGGTGCCAAACCCTTGTTGGCAATCACAGAGGTCAGACGTTTCTTGTAGTTGGCCACTAGGTTTGCACACATCTAAGGAGGGATTTTGTCCCACTCCTCTTTGCAGATCTTCTCCAAGTCATTAAGGTTTCAAGCCTGACGTTTGGCAACTCGAACCTTCAGCTCCCTCCACAGATTTTCTATGGGATTAAGGTCTGGAGACTGGCTAGGCCACTCCAGGACCTTAATGTGCTTCTTCTTGAGCCACTCCTTTGTTGCCTTGGCCGTGTGTTTTGGGTCATTGTCATGCTGGAATACCCATCCACGACCCATTTTCAATGCCCTGGCTGAGGGATTCCTCACCGTTCTCATGATCATTGCAACTCCACGAGGTGAGATCTTGCATGGAGCCCCAGGCCGAGGGAGATTGACAGTTCTTTTGTGTTTCTTCCATTTGCAAATAATCGCACCAACTGTTGTCACCTTCTTACCAAGCTGCTTGGCGATGGTCTTGTAGCCCATTCCAGCCTTGTGTAGGTCTACAATCTTGTCCCTAACATCCTTGGAGAGCTCTTTGGTCTTGGCCATGGTGGAGAGTTTGGAATCTGATTGATTGATTGCTTCTGTGGACAGGTGTCTTTTATACAGGTAACAAGCTGAGATTAGGAGCACTCCCTTTAAGAGTGTGCTCCTAATCTCAGCTCGTTACCTGTATAAAAGACACCTGGGAGCCAGAAATCTTTCTGATTGAGAGGGGGTCAAATACTTATTTCCCTCATTAAAATGCAAATCAATTTATAACATTTTTGACATGCGTTTTTATACCATCTTTGAGAACTAACAATCAAATAAAAGCTAGAAAGTCAAGGAGAATTACATTCCAAATACCGGGCATTCAGGGCACATGTCCATTGATTTTGTTATTATGTTTGAGCAGAGGAACACAGCATTATCCATGGCAAAATGCATAGAATTGCATTGGAGGAAGCGCTTCCTAAGGTTACGTTTTTAATATGCTAGGTAGGCTACACCGGTTGTAAAGCGGATTAATGTGCTTAATTTTAAGAATTGAGCAATAGCAGCACAATAAAGCTGGCATCCTCTTTTAAATAGTGGCCTGTCAAAACTCTGTTTTCACACGCGACTGCGCAATTACTGGGCTTATAAGAACGTTTCACTAGGCTCTGTAGGCCATGGGCTCTCCAACCCTGTTCCAGGCATCCTAGGCCTATATGCTACGCTTGGAGTGATTTGGCCATTTTAGTTGTGATACGAACCATATGGGAAAAAGTAGCACCAAAAAAATGTATACGCTCTTTCTTGCCTTAGACTGCATCATTCACATGTGATAATATTCTCACCCATCAGACTATTCTCAATTTAATCTGGTCTTTACATGTACTAAATATTATGTGTGAAATTAGTTTTGATTTAGAAATGGGCCATTATCATGCACCTGTCGGAACAGGGGCGGGGTAAAATGACTTCATCCGTATGCTCTTGAATAGGGAATGGTGTACGCTCTTCCTCAGTTCATTTTCATGCCAGCCTGGTAGGCTACTCCGGTTGTAAAGCGAAGCAATGTACTTAATATTAGGAAAGTTGATGAATAAATATAGTAGACCTAGCCTATAGAAAGTTAATGGGATCTTCCTCTTTTTAATAGAGGCCATCAAAAGTCTGTTTTCCCACGCAATTGCATATCCTATGGAAATGTTGCGCAACATGGGCTTATAGGAACACATTTCATTCCATGCATCAACCAGCTATGAGGAGCTGGCTCTCACTGCGCAACAGGTGATCCTATTCCGCTCAAACTCTGAATGTCAGGGCTCTCATGAGCACTAACAATGAGCACACAGCCACACAATCTCCATTGACAAACATTGGCAGTAGAATGGCCTTACTAAAGAGCTCAGTGACTTTCAACGTGGCACGGTCATAGGATGCCACCTTTCCAACAAGTCAGTTCGTCAAATTTCTGCCCTGCTAGAGCTGCCCCAGTCAACTGTAAGTGCTGTTATTGTGAAGTGAAAAAGTATAGGCGCAACAACGGTTCAGCCGCGAAGTGGTAGGCCACACAAGCTCACAGAACGGGACAGGCGGGTGCTGAAGCGCGTAAAAATAATCTGTACTCGGTTGCAACACTCACTACCGAGTTCCAAATTGCCTCTGGTAGCAACGTCAGCACAATAACTATACGTCGGGAGCTTAATGAAATGGGTTTCCATGGCCGAGCAGCCGCACACAAGCCTAAAATCACCATGCGCAATGCCAAGCATCGACTGGAGTGGTGTAAAGCTCGCCGCCATTGGACTCTGGAGCAGTGGAAACACATTCTCTGTAGTGATGAATCACGCTTCAACATCTGGCAGTACGACGGGCGAATCTGGGTATGGTGGATGCCAGGAGAACGCTACCTGCCCCAATGCATAGTGCCAACTGTAAAGTTTGGTGGAGGAGGAATAATGGTCTGGGGCGGTTTTTCATGCTTCGGGCTAGGCCCCTTAGTTCCAGTGAAGGGAAATCTTAACACTACAGCATACAATGACATTCTAGATGATTCTGTGCTTCCAACTTTGTGACAACAGTTTGGGGAAGGCCTTTTCCTGTTTCAGCATGACAATGCCCCCGTGCACAAAGCGAGGTCCATACAGAAATGGTTTGTCGAGATCGGTGTGGAATGACTGGCCTGCACAGAGTCCTGACCTCAACCCCATCGAACACCTTTGGGATGAATTGGAACGGCGACTGCGAGCCAGGCCTAATTGCCCAACATCAGTGCCCGACCTCACTAATGCTTGTGGCTGAAAGGAAGCAAGTCCCCACAGCAATGTTCCAACATCTAGTGGAAAGCCTTCCCAGAAGAGTGGAGGCTGTTATAGCAGCAAAAGGGGGACCAACTCCATATTAATACCCATGATTTTGGAATGAGATGTTCGACGAGCAGTTGTCCACATACTTTTGGTCATGTAGTGTCCCTTTCTAGCTAATAGACTATTATTAGAGTTTACACTTCCTCTTCCAATGAACTGTGGGGCAGTCAAAACAATGAAACTGTCTACCAATTCTATTCATTTTAAAATGTTAATTACTTCTACTTGCAAATATCATTCACCTGATGAGAAGACAAAATGTTTCTTCTTTTTTTTTATGTGCTAACATATGATGGGGTTCCCTGGGTCGCCGGTTGGCCTGGTCAAGAAAAGTTTGAAAACCCCTGATCTGGGTTACACAAGTTACCTTCTTTTTGCTTCTTCATACTTCAGGCTCAGTCGAACCTTCTCTGCCAACTTGTTGGTGTTGGTCCCAAACTGGATCAAACAAAAGAATAACAGAAATGAAGGCGTGGTGTGACAAAGCTACATTCTGATCAATTAGTGATGCAACCAGTATCTGTGTATCATTCCATGGCACGCTTCCAAAGGTTACACCTGGGTCCTGCTCATTAGGGCACACCAAAGCAAAACATTTTAAAACAGAAAACAAAAACAAGTGTTTCTTATTGGACAAGTCCAGGTAGTGCCTCCCAATTTCAGTAAATTTTCTTCCATTTGGTGCCAACTGAACACAACCCCCTCTCACCTCAGCAGGTATGTCTGTCTGGGAGCTGGTGTCGGAGTAGAGGCGAGGGATGGACAGCTCAGAGTTGGCTAGGGAGGGGCTGCTGCCCCACAGGTCAGACTGAGAACCCACTGAGTCCAGCTGGAAGCCATCCTTAAGCACCGCTAGTTTCTACAGGGAGAGGAGACAGACACATACAGGCTTGACAAATCAGAGAGGAGTCACGGATAGTATTTTTTAAATATATTTTGCTGTGTGTCTTGCATTCACAAAGCTCCTGTCCTATGGTTTAAATCTATAACACAGACCATAGTCGTGTTCATATAGATAGAGGAGTCCAGTACATTGCATAAAGATGTGTTTTTGCAACAGTGGACAAACATGGTAACCTACTTAAATCAATGATAAAATCAGTGCAGTCAGTGATAAAATCAGTCCTGATCTTCAAGGTTGTTGATAAATATACATGGCTCAGCACTGAAGCCCAGAGTGGAATTAACCTTATCTTTAATATTGAAGTACACAATTCAAGTAAAAACAGCAAAGAGAAGACTGGCAACCGAGGCTCTCGCTGGACACAATGCTGATGGAGTAGGACAGGCTTCATACACTGCAGTCAGACAGACACTACAAATCCCACACACATACAACTGAACTGTCAGCTGCAGAAGGCTGGGGAGGGGAGGCAGCCCGGTAGAGAGAGAGAGAGAGAGAGAGAGAGAGAGAGAGAGAGAGAGGGAGGCTCTGCATTATTAAACACAACCCAGCCCCTACTAACAAAAACACAGTGTTTGTTGTTTTCTACTGCTGCTGCCACCAAGATTGAAACTGGGGCACTTTTGATGTGCGTGCGTGTGTGCATGTGTGCGTGCATGAGCGCACGTGTGTGTCCCAATCCCTCAGTCAGAGCAGAGGAAGCCTGAAGAAGGTAGGCGACTACCAACCCCTCCTCCGTCTCAGCTTCTAAAAGACTTAGCCTGCTGATGAATCATTGATTGAGCAGCAATGTCATGGCAGGAATATGCATGAGTCTGCAGTACCATGCTGTCTTGTCTGTCTGTCTGCTACTCAGCCCAGAGGCGCTGGGACAGGAGAAGGGAGACGGAGTGGTTGCAGGGGACAGAGGTAGCGAGGGAGACGCACCAGCAGAGAGAAAACACTGTGCCGTGTGAGACGAAGAGGAACACGAGACCGAGACGACTCTGCAGTGCCTGTCTACCACCTTCCTTTCCTCTTTCCCTTTCTTCTTCGCTCTCTCTTCCCCTGCCTGACCATCAGCCCATCTCTTACCATCTCCCTCCCTCTCTGCTCCTTTCCCTCCTTCCCTCTCTCCTGCCTTTCCCTGACAGTCGGCCCAGACCAAAACAGCCACCCTTTCCCCCCCCCCACTCCCGCATCCCCTGATCGTCTCATGTGAAGCTGACAGGCTGTCATCTACCCATAGCACTACAACAACACCTGACCCCCATCCCATTCCACCCCTCCACCACCCTCTCCCGCTTACCTGCATGAGCTCCTGTTTCTCCTTCTCCCCGGAGCTGATGGCGTCCCTGATGGACTTGACCTCGTTCAGGATGGCCTGCGCCTCGTGGAGCTTGAAGCCGTACGGCGCGCTGGACACCTTGTGGTCGATCCTGGAGGGAGGGGAGGAAGAGGGAGAAGGTGAGAGAGGGATAAGGTGGGAGAGGGATAAGGTGGGAGAGGGATAAGGTGGGAGGGGGATAAGGTGGGAGGGGGATAAGGTGGGAGGGGGATAAGGTGGGAGGGGGATAAGGTGGGAGAGGGATAAGGTGGGAGAGGGATAAGGTGGGAGAGGGATAAGGTGGGAGGGGATAAGGTGGGAGGGGGATAAGGTGGGAGGGGGATAAGGTGGGAGGGGGATAAGGTGGGAGGGGGATAAGGTGGGAGAGGGAGAGAAAGTGAGGGAGAAAGAGTGAAAGAGAGATGTTGGAAACAGATCAGACAGTGATATAGGTTATGAAACTGTGAATCAGTGATTAGGGCTAAATACTACATAGATAGCACTATCAGACGTACATTTTTGCTCTCAGATTATTAATCTTTAGTTTGGTGTTTGTTAAAGATGTATGTTGTTTAAAAAAAACATGTTTCATTTTCACTACGATAATACTACAGTGACACTTTTAAACCATCCAGATCTAATCTAGACAGGGGTGAACAATAACAAAACTAAGGATCCAGGATGGGAACCAAACTGGATTTTAAGGGCCACAGGTGTCGAGAGAGGAAAGAGCCTGAAGCCCAGACAGTCAGCTACACAGAGAGAGACCGTCCGTGGCAGCAGCATCAAATATGTAAAGTCAGTCATCAACAAGTCATGCATGCAGTGGAATAACAGGTCTTTCCACATTCTTCAGAGAGCAAAGGAGGGAGGGAGGGAGGGAGGAAAGGAGGGAGGGGGCAACACTCCTCCACTGCAGGCCAAGGAGAACTAGAACAAGTGAAGCATATCCAAGCCTTTTCCACCTCAGTATAAATGGATGCCGTTAGAATAGATACTCTCCTTCTAGTTCGGTCTTTTGTTATAAAGACCCTGAAGTATTTTCTCTGGGAATGGAGAGCTTAGGACAGACAGAGGATGTTGCTGTGTTCGATTATTAGTACGGTTTCATGATTGTTGGTAAATGTTTGATAGCAAATGAAGGTTTGAAATTTGATAGCAAAATGAAGGTCACGGAAGAACGGTTGGAATCCAGTCGAACAACTATGTAGCTTGTTATTCGTAAAAAAAATAAAAAAAACTCACTGAACTGAGCCAGGGCCCATCTGTCTTTTTCCACAACACAGATTCAAGAGGCGGCACTCCAGGCACTCAAAGAGAAATGTGTATCACAGACAAAAATAGTGATATTTGACCATTTTGAAGGTCATCATCAAATTCACTGTCAGTAAGTGAATGTCAGCGAGCTGCCTTTTCGACTATAGTGAGAGATGAGGGCCTCGAGTGTGTTGATGTGTTGACAATGGGAATCTTTTTTACGGCTGTATCGAAAAAAAGCAGAAGCATATTACTACTAGTAAGTGTAATTGTGATTGTGTAACGAGGTCGGGTTGCACTTACTCTTTCAGCGTTTCAAAACCCTGCTCTTTGTGCTGCAACTCCTGTTTCATGCAGGCTAGGTCCCTCTTCAGCTTATTCACCTGAGAGAAAACACACAGGAAGAGTTATTTCACTGAAATTAAAATTCCCCAGTTGTAATACTATTGATTACGGAAGATATGATTATCCGGCTATATTTGGGAACAGCTGATCCAAGTAGAACCGATTGTGTTTGTTTCGTGCAGAAAAATAATTTGGACATGCAGTACCAGTCAAAAGTTTTAGAACACCTACTCATTCAAGGGTCTTTCATTATTTTGACTATTTTCTACATTGTAGAATAATAGTGAAGACATCAAAACTATTAAATAACACATATGGAATCACCCTTTGCCTTGATGACAGCTTTGCACACTATTGGCATTCTATCAACCAGCTTCATGAGGTAGTCATCTGGAATGCATTTCAATTAACTGGTGTGCCTTGTTAAAAGTTAATTTGTGGAATTTATTTCCTGCTTAATGCATTTGAGCCAATAAGTTGTGTTGTGACAAGGTAGTGGGGTATACAGAAGATAGCCCTTTTGGTAAAAGACCAAGTCCATATTATGGCAAGAACAGCTCAAATAAGCAAAGAGAAACAACAGTCTATCATTACTTTAAGACATGAAGGTCAGTCAATACAGAACATTTCAAGAACTTTTAAAGTTTCTTTAAGTGCAGTCGCAAAAACCATCAAGCGCTATGATGAAACTGGCTCTCATGAGGATCGCCACAGGAATGGAAGACCCAGAGTTACCTCTGCTGCAGAGGATAAGTCCATTTGAGTTACCAGCCTCAGAAATTGCAGCCCAAATAAATGCTTCAGAGAGTTCAAGTAACAGACACATCAACATCAACTGTTCAGAGGAGACTGTGTGAATCAGGCCATCATGGTCGAATTGCTGCAAAGAAACCACTACTAAAGGACACCAATAAGAAGAAGAGACTTGCTTGGGCCAAGAAACACGAGCAATGGACATTAGGCCCCTGGAAATTTCTCCTTTGGTCTGGAGTCCAAATTTGAGATTTTTTGGTTCCAACCGCCGTGTCTTTGTGAGACGCGGTGTGGGTGAACGGATGATCTCCGCATGTGTACTTCCCACCGTAAAGCATGGAGGAGGTGGTGTTATGGTGTGGGGGTGCTTTGCTGGTGACACTGTCTGTGATTTATTTAGAATTCAAGGCACACTTAACCAGCATGGCTACCACAGCACTCTGCAGCGATACGCCATCCCATCTGGTTTGGGCTTAGTGGGACTATCATTTGTTTTTCAACAGGACAATGACCCAACACACCTCCAGGCTGTGTAAGGGCTATTTTACCAAGGAGAGTGATGGAGTGCTGCATCAGATGACCTGGCCTCCACAATCACCCGACCTCAACTAAATTGAGATGGTTTGGGATGAGTCGGACCGCAGAGTGAAGGAAAAGCAGCCAACAAGTGCTCAGCATATGTGGGAACACCTTCAAGACTGTTGGAAAAGCATTCCAGGTGAAGCTGGCTGAGAGAATGCCAAGAGTGTGCAAAGCTGTCATCAAGGCAAAGGGTGGCTATTTGAAGAATCTCAAATATATTTTGATTTGTTTAACACTTTTTTGGTTACTACATGTTTCCATATGTGTTATTTCATAGTTTTGATGTCTTCACTATTATTCTACAATGTAGAAAATAGTAAAAATAAAGAAAATAACTCTTGAATGAGTAGGTGTTCTAAAACTTTTGACCGGTAGTGTAACTCACTATTGCCTGATCGCAAATATGATTACATATTATTAAAGCAAAACATTTGCTTATTGTTTTTTTAATGAAATGTGAAGTAAAGAGGGGGGAAACATCCACAAATAATCCAACAGAATGTGTTACTGTTGCACAACACCAACCGGCAGCTCTGGGATTTGTCCCAAATGGCACCCTATGTAGAACACTATATAGGGAATGAGGTGCAATTTGGGACCCAGCCCTGGGTGCAGGTCTCAGACAAAGATGTCACTTACACACATTCCTCCTTTACAATGAGAAAGAGAGTTGGACACTCAGTCACTTAGCAACAGTCCATTGGACTAAGCCTTTTTTATGCACTAATGTCTGCAAATCTTAGGGATGAGAATTAAGCCAAAACAGGAGACTTAAGGACACATATGGGTATACACATCCATTCCTAATGATTACTGAACACAAGTAATGCAGGCCATAGATGGAGTACGGAGATGGTGTAAAAAATAGCGGTTTCTTACCCTACTTTTGGAAGTGACTATCTCGGCTTTGAGGATTTCTGGGTCATATTTACTGCTGGAGGACGATCTGGAATTCACTGTGGGAGATAAGAGCCAGGGTGTTATCTAATCATCTACATCGCGCTATTCAACTTCAAGGCCCTTCTCATCAATCCCCTGTGTGTTATCAAACTACTGTAAATCACCACTTCAAGTCTGAGCAACGGCAGAGGATTCCTCTTAGGAATGAAGTCAAGTTAAATTAGTAGGGAGTAGCTTTACTTCCCCAAAAAGTTTAATAACTGACAACTTGAGTGAACTATGATGTGCTGTAATCCTGTGATCAAATTGATGTGCACCTCCCCAACAGAGGTGTCAAAAGTGTTGCATCAGTCAGAAGAATAATAAAAGATTACCAATCATTCTAGTTCTCTCCTCCTTTGCCGCCTAGTCTCTTTGGTTCCTTGCCCCCCGTTTACGTACAGCCCTTCAAGCTTCCTGGCTTCTCTGCCCCATTTTGACCCTCATCACCCTGGCTACCTGCACACCTGTTCCTTCTGCCACCCCCCCCTCCTTCCCGGCTGGTCCTTACAGCTGGTCTGAGAGGTGGACTTGTCCCTCCAGGCGTCGTTGAGCTGGCGGTACTCCTGCTGGGCCAGGCGAAGCCGCTGCTCCTTCACCTGGTAGATCTCTTTCTGGGCGCTCAGCGAGTCCTTGGCCACGTCCAGGTACTCCCGCAGCATGACCTCCTGCTCCCGCTGCCACTGGGCCCGCGGGTCCTCCAGCTGAGTGCTCTCTGATGGGGGAGAGGGGGATGAGGAAAGAGAGAGATCAAGGGGAGAGGAAAGGGAGACAGAACATAAGAAACAAGAAAGAACGAGAGAAGAAATGTTGAAATAATTTTGGATCTTGATTTTAACATGTGTTTCTTCACAAATGTGTGATGAATATTGGTGCCGGAAGTTAACGTTATGGAGAATTGGACTCACTTGTGTTATGGTCCACATAGTAGGCCCCGACATTGGGGTCGTAGGCCTCCTCCCAACCCACTGGCAGTTCATCTCCAATGCAGTCAGCAAAAGTCAGAGGTTTAGTCTGCCTGAAAATCACACACACGAAACAGTCAACTGATGGTAAGAATTAGCAGTGTCACAGCAAGAGTAAATCAGGATGACCATGACAAGATAGTGGGCCATCCAGGGTCCATGCAAAGATAGATCATTTGGTTGTCACAGAGACTTTTGCTCAGAGTGAAACTGAACGGGTTCCTTTTTCACTTTATGAATAATGAAAAAGGCCTGTTCTAAATGTATCTCTCAGAGGAAAAGGCTTTGTGGAGAAAAAACACAAATTCCCAAAAAGCTGGCAGCTGGTGCCGGGTCCTTTGAGCGACAGTGTGCGCATTATCCCATTATTTGATTCATTCCACTGTCGCTGTCCTCTCACCCCTGCAAATCCAGTTCCCTAATCACTCGGAGCTGAAGGCCGAACTCATCATTACCCTCCGAATAGCGCGGACTCGCTGTCTCACTAGGCCAATCAGAGGGCTTTAAATAGGCCCAGAGCTTAGCATGAGGCACTCACTGGCTGTGCATTGGCATGCAAGACGTCTTCCAGTCTGTCTGGAGTGGACACCAGGCTAGACATCTCTTAACCTCTTCAGACAGTGATGAGTCTTCAATAACTCATTTGGGTAGTGCGTGAGTGATCCCCCCTAAGGCTTCTATAATTGTATTTTGTGAACCGCATGATAAAACAAATCCTGTTTCTTTCCAGCCTTTTCCATAAGCTGTGTGATCCAGGAAATACCAGGCATGACCCACCCTTAGGAAAGCACTTCCCTGGAGGATAGAGTTTTTTCAAGATTCTGTTTCTGTTGAATCTATGTAAACCCATAAACTACTAGACCTACTGTATGGGCAGTATGTGTGAGTTGCTTACAAATACAAGCATTAGTTGGTTTCGCCTAACTAATGCTTCACTGTCATCAAGAAGCTTAGCTAGCTAACTTGCTATCAAACAAGCTAGCTATGTTTTGACTCAAAGTAAGGGGATGGTGTTTGGAGTTGGCAGGCTCGTTGAAGTTGTTGAAGTTTTTAGCCGTTTTCTCCAGTGGTTAGCGTCAATGTGGACTATTCTGGACAGACTTGCAGTGTGCTTTTCTGGTGCCTTCGCAGCTGTCGTGGCTTTACCCAGGTGGGTGCTACACATCGGTAGTGGGGAAGTCTGACTTCAGAGATTACTACTGAGAAGCGCTGCTTCAGAAACGGCAAGGGCCACGGTGCCCTGATGAAAGGCTCTGGACCAGTCTGAAACCTCCTGATGTGCCCCCCTCAGCTTCATCTCCGAACTGCTTCTACTCTACTTTTCCTCCTGGCGTTGACTGCTCAAGCCATGAATGAACTACCCTGCCTGCCCCTGCCATGATCATTCACCCATTGACTTTGGGGGGGGGGGTTTCTTCAAAATTGAATTTATTTTTTTGTTTTTTTTGCTTAAAGTGCTTTGGATTGTAATGAAAAGCGCTATAAAAGTTGTATAAATTATTCTCATTATTAATACTCCATGCAAACCGAGTAGGCCTTTATAGCGAGAGTGGCTTTCTGAGTCCCTAGTTTTTGATTTTACAGGTTTAACATTTAGCTAGGTGTTTCACACAAAGACAGGGGGTCTGGCATTTCCTGGGGCCTCATTTATCAAAAAGGTGCGTGCGCACAAAAAAAACAACCTTGCAGTTTTCCCTCAAATGTTGGTATTTATCCATTTTGAACTTGACGGGAAAGTGTGTGCGCATCTCCACGCAAATCTCAGACCATGAATACGCACAACTTCTAGTGGTTGATCAACTGTATTGCAAGCAAATAGTTATTTTTGGGGAAATAGAGGTGTTTGATTCACAGAAATTCTAATAATGGTAAACTAATAAAAAACATTAAAACGTAGGCCTAATGATAAAACAGATGCATTTGCAGTTGGTGAGAAGATTGCATAGCAGCATGTCGCTTAAGATAGTGTATTTATCTTACCTTTATTAAATAGACCCAAATCAATCATATTGCAGGGCATTCCTTTTCTGACGACTGGTTTATTTCCGCTAAACAACAATAATAGGCTACCATTTATCCATCACTCATTCAATAGCCAACCATGCTCGAAAGTAAATAGACGTGTAGCCTATGACAGTATGGGTAGGCTACAGTATTGCTGTGCAATAGCCAGGAGTGCAACATAGTAGCCTATTTAATCTCAGAACCTATACTTAGGCAGGAGATAAAAACACAATCATGTATTGATAAACAAAATATTGAACAACTCATCTTTTGTGGGCTATATGCAGCATTTACTTTTAAATTGTTCAATAGACAATCAATCTTACAGAATGTGCAGCCAGTGTTTGGCACTCGCTATAGCCGGCATGCATTTTTTGTTTTAAAAAGTCACTGCAAAAGATAAAACATACTGCCCACACCTCTACAGAAAAATGATCAAATTTGCCATTGCACTTTAGAAACTGTCATGATCCAGTTCCAACATCTCCAAATCATACAGCAAATGAGGGCGTTTTTGTACCATCATCAAAAAGAGACCATCGCACTCTCACAGAAGTTTGGTTGGTGCGTAAAACCCATGAATTCAGATAAATAAAAAGTAATAATGGGTCCGCATCCAAAAATGTCACATCCAAAAATGTTGCATAAAGCTTTCCTCATTATTATTTTTTTCTCACTACATCAGGGACAGGGTACACAGACGTTTCGGCTTTGCAGCCTTGTTCAATGTGTAGGTGCAAATCTTTTACATTCAAAACAGCATTTGTAGGGAACACAGGTGAACATCTGATGAGTAGCAGGTGCTTCTAATCAGTTTTTGTTACCATAAACAGTGAATGGAGGGCATTTTCCAGGCTGGGTTGTAATGCTCGTTCGCGAGCGCAGAAATATAGTATGGCTCTGATTTATCAATGAAAAGATGCGTATATGTTGCGTGTGACAGTTTGAAATCCCAATAGTTTGTTACGTACGCAAATCCTAGAATCTCCACGTACGCCAACATTTTTATTTAGGCATGGGTTGATAAATGAGGCCCTAGGTGAGCTGCAGCATTACTAGTTAGTCGAGTGTCAGTGTAAAAAACACTAGGCAGGTTTGCATACAAAGTCAAACACAGGTGATAATGCTCTAATGCAACGCGACAAAGCATGCAGCGGAGTGCAAACATGGGCAGCATAACTGAATGATGAGTCAGACTTTCATTCATCGCACTATAAATTCCTCAAGTCAGATTTATGAGGCTCCAACCTACATTTCATAGCACTCAAGGTCCAACAATAAAATAGAGCTGCTAGCTGCTTCAGCTCCCCTCCTGCAACGGCTCGGTATCTGGGAGATAACATTCCATTCAACTGACAGAATGCGTTGGGTCCGTGCGTCACCATGAGGGTGGATAAACAATATGTCTGGCTGAGGTATGCGAATGCAGCCCAGATACATACTGACAGGGCAGGGGCCCACAAGATGTATGCATGGTATGAATGTTGGGCTGAGTCCTCCAGTTACCATCTCCATTAAGCCTAACAGGCTTCATTCTTGAGCTTAAAGGATAACATTCCTCAGGTATGATTGGCTAAGGGGACCAAAGAGCAAAAGTTTTCATGATTACATGGTCAGATTGCCATGCTACAATACCTTTGGGATATCTTGTAGTATTTTAAAATGTTATAGGCCTGTAATAGCTGTAGAATGTATAATACCTGTATAATAGAACTTTGGTCACACTTAGCTGGTACGTTCTTTGGTTCCACAGTGAGAGGTGTTTGTGGAAGCACATTTTCCACCAATAGGAGACCAGTCTAATGGGAATTCATTATCATCATCAGTAGGCCTCCTAATCATAACTCATTTACATTTTTACATTTTTAGTCATTTAGCAGACGCTCTTATCCAGAGCGACTTACAGTTAGTGAATACATTTTTTATTTTTTTATACTGGCCCCCCGTGGGAAACGAACCCACAACCCTGTCATTGCAAACGCCATGCTCTATCAACTGAGCTACATCCCTGCCGGCCATTCCCTCCCCTACCCTGGACGACGCTGGGCCAATTGTGCGCCGCCCATGAGTCTCCCGGTCGCGGCCGGCTGCGACAGAGCCTGGATTCGAACCAGGATCTCTAGTGGCACAGTTAGCGCTGCGATGCAGTGCCTTAGACCACTGCGCCACTCCTCATCTGCTGTTGCTCAGCACGGCCAAATAAATGTCCCAGTGCTAAACAGCTATAGAAAGATATGTAAAAGTCCAACAACAGTTTTGGGCCAGTCTGGTCTGGTTATTTCAGTCTGAGTTCACTACTTTGAGAATGGCTGCGTCTCATCTCAGACTTAGTACTCTGGGCTGGCTTCATGTTCTACTGTGCCCCCCATACAGATCAGTGAACAGCATAGGAGACATGGTCCTGTATGGCACAGTTGGTAGAGCATGGCACTATTGATGCCAGGGTTGTGAGTTTGATTCCCATGCCCACCCATATATAAAATGTATGCACGCGTGACTAGTCGCTGTGGATAAAAGTGTCTGCTAAATGGCCTATATCATATATTAGGAGACTGGCCTATGATTTACGGAAGGCAGACCCTTTACAGTAGGCTATGTTCCTCACTTGGCTCAACCCCTCTCCTCTTGACCGCAACTCTTTCCCAAGTTGTGATGTTGTACTTTGACCCTGTGCACATTGGCAAGCAGTGAAAATGATTTTAAATGAATCAGTCTTTATTTTACAGCCTCTGTGCTCAGCCCTCCTCAGCTGTGCATTTTAGGAATGTGTGTTGAGGTCTTTGTTTACAAAGTTCTGCCATCTTGGTCTTGCTGCTACCAAGCCAACTAGTGGCAATTCACCAGGGAGGTGGGGAGGTCTGTGGCGTTGCTTCTGTCATGTTATTGGGCTTTTAATGATGGTTCTGTGTGCTGACTGCAACAATGACAGCCACCAAGGGAAACAGGACTGACTTTTGACACAAAGCCTATTTTCAAAATCTTGCAATATGAAGGCCTATCCTTATCCAAAACCAAGGCTGAATTTTAAAAAAATCTCCCATAATCTCAAACATTCCAGAACTAAGCTATTAAAGAGTTTTTGTGTCAAAGTCTGAGGGGATTTAAGTAACTGGTAAAACGAAATTAGTTCCACAGTATGGTTGACAGTGAGTTTCTGTACAAATGAGATCCTGGCTGTCCTGACCGCGTTCTAAGTATTGTAAGCCTATTACACTAAAAGTTTACAAGGGGAAAAAACTAACTCAAACCTCGAGGGATAATTTCTAATTAGAGGAATGCAAATGAATGACGCGTTGACCATGAGCAACATTCCAGAGGAAAATCTTCATGTTTTTTTCCATCAACACCCACTAGCCCGGGCAGCCGCTATGGATCTCCACTATTATCTAGGCTTAATGTGCCAAGCCAGTAATAATACACTTGTCCTCCGGCGATCGGTTCGTACATTTACATTTTAGTCATTTAGCAGACGCTCTTATCCAGAGCGATTTACAGTTAGTGAGTGCATACATTTTTCATACTAACACATCCTCCTTAATTACCTTTAATGGCGTGCCGCCTGGAAAAAACGGGGAAAGTATGCATACTGTAATTAAACACCATTTACCACCACCATTTTCGGACTTCATGCGGGGCGCAACATCAGGAAGTAGCATTAGCCACTCTAGCATGATGATGGAAAATTTTGTTTTATTAAGACAATACGCGAAATGTCTTTAAAGCTAGTTAGCGGAAACCGATGCCCGTGCAGCCTGAATGGAGATTGTTTTATGTACGAACCGGTCATCGGGGTAAACTAGTTTATTACCGGCTGGGCACATCAAACTCAGACGATAGTGGAGATCCATAGCGCCCACTCGCTGCTGTCCAGGCTAGATTTATAGCATACTTTGTTACATTGTGTGTGACACCTAAGAAAATGTGATGTAAACTCACAAAGATTGCATTTGAGTCCATTCATGAAGTGCCAAGTGAATCATTAGATTATGATGGATGCTGTCTGTTGTTGATAGCACATATCATCAATCTATCAGCAAGACTGAACTGCTTTTAGGGTCACTGCAATGTCATACCATACCTGTCTCTTGGATCAATCCAACTAGTGGCGTGGTTGATGTGGTCGATGTAGTAGACTTTCCCGTCAAAATCCCGGGATTCTTCCCAACCCTCTGGTAGTGGTAACTCCTTCCTTGGCATGTCAGACGAGTCTCCATGTAATATGCTCTGCAAGTCCTCTAAATTCTATCGAAGGTAAACCATGTCTTGTTGTGTGAGGTATTTTAAAATCCCAAATGTGAAAACCATCACTCGTTTCCATCAATTCAAAATTCTGGCCTGTGTTGGATTACGTTTTAATCCATAACGTCTCGCCGTGAATGTTCCCAGAGTACGAGTAGAAAAGGTTAGCCAAACAGTGGGTGTTTTCACAACGAAGCAATGTGATACAATTTCCTCAATTAAACAATGTTTCCAGCACTGATGCGTAAATGATTTCTCTAAGGAATACAAGTTATTTTGTAGCCGTTTAGCTCAGCAGTAGGCTAGCAATATTACAACCATGCTCACATTGGAATTGAGAGTGAGTGATGTTCCACGAGATAAATCCCTAATGCGCATTTGAAATCCTCGTTGTTCAATGCTAATTTGTTCGTCTATGTACAATACATTGTAGAACATAACGAAAATGAACAACTTAATTATAACTTTTCAAGCGGGTTGTCCAGGGATTGTGTCGGGACAGCTCGACTCCTTTCTGGCTATTCAGATGAACCGAAAAGTGTATTTGAAGTCTGCAAAGCCAGCCAAGGTTTGGCGTACGAGTAGAAAGGTTACAACAATGTCTCACCATCCAACAAGAAGCTTTTCTTAAATATTTTAGAGCCCTTTTCGCTCACTGGCCACCATGTTTAGCTAGCGAGAACTATGCTAACCAGTCAGCTAGCAAGTAACCCTCTCGTGCTCTATCAAATCTTCCCTTATTCCACAGAATTAAGCGGCATTTATCTCCACATTCACGGTAAATGTTCCTACAAAATTCCGGTAAATCCACATTGAAGTTGTCTACTTAGCTATCTATCTATAATCGTTAGTTAAAATGTTTCATTTTCTCCTTAAAGGGGCAGTAGCAAGTCGCCTTCCAGAGGACTGTTTCTGTTGGTCGCTATTCGCACCCGTGTGAAGCTAGCCACAATAAGGATTAGCCACAATAGTGGCGTTTGCGGTTTTCCTTCAGAATAAAAGTCCCAATTGAAAGTGATTCAAACGAATACAAATAGTGGAATCGTGCCATATTTGGACCATGTTAAACAAGGTCGGAATGTTGTTATATAAATTCAGCAAAAGACAATAATGAGTTTATGTGGCTCATTTTGCACTGGTTTTTAGAGTCCCACAATAAGAGCTAAGATGCTAATATTTGTGTAAACTTTACATAGTTGTGTTCTGTGGGTGTCACCGAGTAGGCTGATACCCCCATTTCATGGGTGCACAATCCATAGGTTAGGCTGTACAGTACTATATGAATGTCCAATACACACAATAGACTGACTGACTGGAAAGGTGATTTCCCACAGTCAAAGTCCTGCAATAAGAGCGAAGACGCTAATATTTGTTTAAACTCTACACAGTTGTGGTCTGTGAGTGTCACTGAGTAGGCTGATACCCCATTTCATGGGTGCAACATTCATAGGTTAGGCTGTAAGTATGCCCCCAATGCAATTATAAAGTCTAATACATAGGCTACACAAAATTAAATCAAATCAAATATTATTGGTCACATACACGTGTTTAGCAGATGTTATTGCGGGTGTAGCGAAATGCTTGTGTTTCTAGCTCCGACAGTGCAGTAATATCTAACAAGTAATATCTAACAATTTCACAACATATACCCAATACACACAAATCTAAGTAAAGCAATGGAATTAAGAACATTTAAATTAATATATGGACGAGCGGCATAGACTAAGATACAGTATATACAATTTAGTCATTTAGCAGACGCTCTTATCCAGAGCGACTTACAGTTAGTGAGTGCATACATTTTCATACTGGCCCCCCTGGTCCCCTGTGGAAATCGAACCCACAACCCTGGTGTTGCAAGCGCCATGCTCTACCAACTGAGCTACACGGGGCCACGAGATGAGTAAACATTATTAAAGTGACTAGTGTTCCATTTATTAAAGTGGCCAGTGATTTCTAATCTATGTAAATAGGCAGCAGCCTCTAATGTGCTACTGAAGGCTATTTAACAGTCTGACGGCCTTGAGATAGAAGCTGTTTTTCAGTCTCTCGGTCCCAGCTTTGATGCACCTGTACTGACCTCACCTTCTGGATGACAGTGCGATTTCAACAGATTTGTACTATTTGGTGTAAAATTAACTAATTATTGTCTTTTGTTGAATTTATATAACAACGTCGTTCAGCATTATCTAGGCCAAATTTGGCATGATTCCACTTTTTGTGTTTCAATCTTTCAATTGAGGACTTTTATTTTGAAGGCAAACAGTAAATCCTCTATTGTGGCTAATCCTTATTGTGGCTAGCTTCACACAGGTGTGATTCGCCACCGCTCAAGGCTCGCGATGCTGTTGAATGACGTCATACAGGTGCTTCTCTGCACTGGGGGCTAATTTATATTTCTAATTTTTGCCTAAATTTCACATAAAATATATGCATGTGCCATTTCTGAAAAGACTGCGTACGTCATTTTTTTTTTTAGATTCATACACTTGGCGCACACCACTTAAGGGCACATCGACAGATTTTTCACCTAGTCGGCTCGGGGATTAGAACCAGCGACCTTTCAGTTACTGGAACAACGCTTTTACCCACTAAGCTACCTCCCGTTATAAAATCAGACCTGTTGTAAACTGTGCGTATCATGAACAAGCGTTATAATTCTGCCGGAAATCACCCACAGCCATAAAGTCAAAATTGGCTATATCGTAAAAATTTTAGGACGTTAACAGGGCACACTTCATCTTAACTTCTCCACATTTACTGGATTGGTTGAACAATGCAGAAGAGAACGTCCCACGACAGTTTTTTTTCTTCTTCTTGTCAAGACCAGTGTGCAGGGAATCTAGTTTCAGGCGTTTGTTTTATGACTGTTCTGTTAGGTTATGGTGACAATATCGCCCTTATTAGATGTGCGCTTGCTGAAGGCAAAGCACAACTCTAGATTTCTTACATACTCTTATTAATGAGACTTGTGACAGCAAAAGTCCCAGTTTAAATCTTCATCATACTGTACTTCTGACTTTTTAATGTCCACACTTTAGCAACTGCACAAATTATTTCTGACATACTTATTGTGTGGCTTGCGAAAGCAGCCACAATTCAATATTGTAACAATTATTTCCAACTTATTATTGTTATTTTGAACACTTCTCATCTTACAACGTTTAAGGTAGAAACGCCATTCAAACTTTAAAACGTGTAGATTAGGTTGCTTGCATACAACCTTTTGACCTTTTTTCCCTCCATCCACTTGCATGGGATTTCCTCAACATTCTAAAGCTCCCCAGTGTGACATCATCACTTCCATCTTCCATTAACTGTAAATGCAACTTTTGACACAAATTAGCTACTTTGACCACTTTTACTTACCAAAAGTAATGCCCACTACTGGCTACAACTACTCACCACAACTACTGAAGCACACAACTACTGACCACAATCACACAATTACTGATCACACAACTACTGACCACAATCACTGCTCACACAACTACTGACCACAACCACACAACTACTGAACCACAAAACTAATGACCACAATCACACAACTACTGAGCAAAACCACAAAATTACTGACCACAAGTACTGACCACTACAGACCACAACTACTGACCACAACCACACAACTCCTGACCACAACCACACAACTCCTGAACACAACTCCTGACCACAACTAATGACCACCAGTGGTGTAAAGTACTTAATTCGTTTTTTGGGGTATCTGTACTTTATTTTACTATTTATATTTTTTACAACTTTTAATTTTACTCCACTACATTCCTAAAGAAAAGTATGTACTTTTTACTCCATACATTTTCCCTGACACCCCAAGGTACTCGTTACATTTTTAATGCTTAGCAGGACAGAACAATTGTCCAATTCACGCACATATCAAGAGAATATCCCTGGTCATCCCTACTGCATCTGATCTGGCGGACTCACTAAACACAAATGCTTCGTTTGTAAATTATGTGTTGGAGTGTGCCCCTGGCTATCCGTAAATAAATAAAAAACAAGAAAACTGTTCAGTCTGGTTACTTAATATAGGCATTTGAAATGATTTACCACACAGCTACTGACCACAACTACTGACCACAACCACACAACTACTGACCACAACCACACAACTACTGAACCATACAATTGCTGACCACAACCAAACAGCTACTGACCACAACTACTGACCACAACCACACAACTACTGACAACAACTACTGACAAAAACCACACAACTACTGACCACAGGCACACAATTAATGACCACACAACTACTGACCACTAATGACCACAACTGACCACTACTGACCACAACCACACAATTACTGGCTAAAAGTAATGACCACAATCACTGACCACAATCACTGACCAAAACCACACAACTACTTATGACAACCACACAGCGAGTGACCACACAACTACTGAACCATACAACTACTGACCACAACCTCACAACTACTGACCACAACTACTGACCACAGTTACTGACCACAACCACACAAATACTGACCACAACTACTGACCACAGCTACTGCACACAACTCCTGACCACAACAACTGACCACAACCACACAACTACTGACCTCAACTACTGACCACAACCACAAAACTACTGACCAGATCCAAACAACTACTGACCACAACACAACTACAGACCACAACTCCTGACCACAACCACACAACTCCTGACCACAAGTACTGACCACAACCACACAACTACTGACCACAACCACTAAACTACTGACTACAACTACTGAACCACACAACTACTGACAACAACCATTGACCACAACCACACAATTACTGACCACATAACTACTGACCACAACAACTGACCACTGCTGACCACAACTACACAATTACTGGCCAATCAACTACTGACCACAACTGCTGACCACAACCACTAACCAAAACTACTGACCACAGAACTACTGAACCACACAACTACTGACAACAACTACTGACAACAACCACACAACTACTGACCACAACCACACAATTACTGACCAAACAACTACTGACCACAACCACAGAAGTACTGACCACAACTACTGACCACACAATTACTGAACCACACAACTAATGACCACAACCACACAATTACTGACCACAAATACTGACCACTACAGACCACACCTATTGACCACAGCTACTGACCACAACCACTGACCACAGCTACTGAACTACACACCTACTGACCACAACTACTGACCACACAACTACTGAACCATGCATCGAATGACCACAACCACACAACTACAGACGACAACCACAAAACTACTGACCACTACAGACTACAACTACTGACCACAACCGCGAAACTACTGACTACAACTACTGACCACTACTACATACCACAACTACTGAACCACACAACTACTGATCAAAGCTTCTGACCACAACTACTGATCACAACCACTCAACTAGTGACCACAACAACATAACTCCTGACCACAACTACTGACCACAACCCCACAACTACTGCGAGCTGTTTTATTAACCCATCAACTGCTCTCTTTCTAGATGCAGTAAGTCATGTCAGAAGCTAGCAGATTCATTACTTACCAACAGCAGCTGCAAATTCCAATAAAACTAGATCACGTTTTGAAGTTCACTTTCTTTGCTTTGT